CACTTTCGTTTACACAAGTCACTCCAGAAATCATTGGCCAATACATTCGTCCATACAAAATGTACTTTTAATGGTTATTTCTTAGTCAATCGTTTATACATTTAAAAAAAATGACAGAAAAGATGACAAAAGATTACTTTTTATTATTTCTATTTTCTTGTTATGTCTGGTCCCAAGCTTTTTCATTGGACAAAAAAGTGGTGTTGGCATTTGATTGATTGAAAAGGTTTAATTCACTTTCAATGGAGTGACTTTTTAATTCTCATTCTTGTTTTTGACGCCGTAAAGGAATACGTTCCATGTTTCCCTCTTCATTGACCGTACATGTATTTATTGTGCTGATTTTATTCACTGAATAAGTATCAGTACTTTTCATTCTGATTCAACCTGATCTTGTTACGTATATTACCTGTTTACGTTTACGTAACGCGACGATGCGTTTAAATCCACCACCCAGCCGTGAAAAGAGCGTAAGCACAGTAAACAGACAACGGGCATATTTAAACAACGACGTGCACAAATTAAACAAGTACGTGCCATAGGGGCCAGGAGGACTGACGGTCGCTTTGAGAAGACAACATGGAAATTTGTTGAAAATTAAAAGGGTTCAATTGCCCTGTTTAAACCTGTTGCCCTTGCCTGCACCTGTTGGGTACATGCACCGTCGTATTGGCACAGGTGGACACGGTGTTTTTACTACTTTCATTATTTTCATTATTATTATTATCATTGCCTCTTTGCTCTGTGAGGTCGGGGGATGCCCCACGCGCACTAACAGAATGGTTTTAGTAAACTCTGCCAGAGAAACACTGATTTTAAGTTAAAGTAGTGCGACCTTTGTCATCGATAGCAGATAATTGAATACAGTGCGTGATACAATACGACGCTCATCAGTCGTCCTCCTTTTATTGTAATTACCTTAAATGTGCGGGTGCAACATTGTACGGTGTTTGTCTTCTTGTTTGCCTACGTGGAAGTAGTGCATAAATAATAAATACTAATCTATCGTAAAATTATGTGGAATGACTTCATGGATACTGTTTTACGAAAATCCATAAAAGCAAAGCGAATTACGTAATAGCTGTACAAAAGTAGCAAATGAAGAAAAGTTAAAAGCTTGACTATATTGATTTCTCCCAATATCTGATTTCCACCTTGACCAGGGGGTCACAGCTTACATTAACCACACTCAAATCTGCTATCCGCTCGGACACATGTATAAAAACTAGGATCAAGGAGAGCGAAAGGTATGGCTAAACAAATTTTTCTATTTTCTATATAAATTAATGAATAATATTATCCTAATCGTCCCAGTCATAGTTTACTTATATGATTATGAACTTAAAGTAGTTGCATAAATAACTCGTTGGACCTAGGGGATATTTTGACGGTCTAATACTGAGCACTGCCATTGAATATGTGCCTCCCTTGAGGCGCACGGTAATCTATTACTATAACTATTTTAGCCACTAATATTTATACAGCTTTATTCGTGTAACAAAGTTTGCAAGCACTGGCCACAATTGAGCTCTATGATCAGTTACTGAAAGTCAATGACTGTAGAAATCCCTGCCGGTAAACTGTGAATCAACGCATCGACAAACAATTGCCAACAAAAGAGGTCCAACCCCGACATACATGTAGCGTTTATAGGTATAAAGGAGCTACACCGGAGTAGCCTAGCAAACCAATTTGCTACATTATACCTGCATTATATCCAAGTTGAAAAACACAATACTCAACTTAAGGCATGGTTTTGTTAAATAATCACCACAATGCGGTTAAAATTGGTGCGACGCGTAATTTCCCGCAATACGTGTGATTTTTTCCACTTCTCTATCGAAAAGGGAATGGTTGTAAAACCATGTGAGAGAGAATGGTGAATTTTAACAGGTATTCCCCCCTAGCGGCAATGAGATCGACACTCGCTTAAATAAGAAAATGCATAATATAAATATGGGATTATGTAATGACACAATGGCTGACCGGTAATAATATACAAGTAACTTCTAGATCAGTAGAGCCATAGTATTTCGCGAGGACCCAACAAACTATTCACATATTTAAGGCTTAGGTTTCCGAAATGTTCACTCACCCCTTACAAACAATCGGGTCCCCAGCGTAATTTTGTCCATACGGGCTAGAAAATTTGAATGCCAGTCACGGGGCATTCATTTGAACTGCTCAAATCGGCTGCTCTGTATCTCGGACAAAACGTCTGGACTTCACGATAAAAAGGTAGGTAAGACATACGTGACTATGTGCAGAAAATCCAACTTGAGATTTAATGCACAAAAGGTGAAAAACCTGGAGGCATTCACCATTTTAATAGCCAGACGAAAGATCGTTTCCTTAAAAGCACAACTATTGTGCGACACACTAAAATGTCAATGAAGCCGTGCAAGAACCTCAGAATCCGTGCTTCCTGTCAGTCTTAGGAGAGATACGCCAACCATTAAAAAGTATTCCTAGTGGACAAGTAGAACAGGTAATTTAAACGCTACCTGGGTTAGGTAATAGTTATCTTGAAAACAGGACAGACAGGAAGAGGAGGCTAGAGAAAGATGGAACACCTATCTTCAAAGCTTGATCGCTAGGTCTCCGACAGAAACGTCTTCTAGAAGTCTAAGAATTAGACGCCTACTACCCTATATATGGAGGTACATATTATTGAGCAATTTGATAGTATTTCATTTTGATTGAACCAGAGTATTAAGTTCCTTGCATGTCCGGTCTCTAGCGACCCTAGTAACAACAGGATTTCGTTATCTCGCAAACCTGGCGTTTTTCTGTAAAATAGAGATTTATTTCTGTAAAATGAAGAATATTGGGGCTTACACGAGAGATGACATATGATAGGGTTATGGAGGTGACAGTGGGAACTCTAGTACACACGGTTTAGGTACGGGTCAGTTCTGCATCTGTATAGTGATGGTAAATGTTACTGTAACCGAGCCAAATGATGCAACTATTAACATGCCACGGTGCTGCTGCGAATTCAGTTGACAATAAATGTCATCCAGACTGCATGATCTCCGCTCGACCATTTGACAAACCAAGGCAGTTTATTGTAAAGAACCAGTGATTTGGGTGTCCTCTTTGCTCCCACATAATGCCTACTGGTCACAAGTAACCAGATCAAAGGACATGCTTGACTACCTATTTTCAATTCCACGCGGTGCGGTAACATGAAAATGGTGTTAAACCGTGTGTTGATGCAGGCAGGTATCCGTCCCCGGAAAGCGTGCCAATATCATGAAGATGTAGATTATTTATTCTCTTGTAGATCAAAAGATTGCGAAATGCGCTGGATAAACACCCAGATTAAAAAAATAGAGTCCCGTTCAACCGTTCAACTGCAAAAAGCGACGAATATGGTTATTTCTTGTAATTTGTGCTTTTTTGTGATTTAAATGTCTACATTTCCCGTCTATTATCTGCGATATACTACACGCCTACACTCAGACAGTAACACGTGTGCCTGGGATTATCTATTCAGTTACTGTGTAACGTTTTCTGGTTTTCCATTATCATCGAAAAATATAATTTTGCCAGCTGACCTTAATGATGTATGGGCGCAACAAATGCCACCCTTGTAATATACGAGTACATAATATGTGCCTGAGATTTTCTATGTTTTTACTGTGTGACATTTTTCTGGAATCCCACGCTCATCGAATAAAAAAATGTCAACTTACCATAATGATATATATGGGCGCAACAAATGTAACCTTTGTTAAGCGTAAGCATATAAAGGGCGTTCGTGTCCTGTCTGTTTCCACATTCATAATACAAAAAAAAGGGACATCTATTGTCGCCAAGACGTGTATGTGCGAAAGGGGGTAATAAACTTTTTGTAAAATACGTCTATTCACATGAAGATGATGTAGACATTACATCGTCCCTTGGCAAGCTGTCAGTCCCTTGCCCATACAAACACTTATGTGCTGGTTTTCATTTGCAAATCGCTTAAAAACTTAGCGAATAATACGAGTTCAAGTTTAAAGGGATGAATTCTGACTTCTGTAGACTATTGGATAATAGGTGGTAGTCTATTCTAATTCAACTGTTTATGTATTTCACTTTAAAGCTGTACCTCACCGCAATGCATCGTACTGGTACACCTTCATATAATATTCTCTGTGGCAGAGTCAATTACCCCTAGTATACAGGGATGAGGATTGGCGCTAAGAGGCGTGCACAGACGCAATAAAGAGTGTAAATTGCATTTCATTAAGAACAAATTCAATAAAATTGATGTCTTCCACATTCGGCTTATGAGTATGTATAGTATTATGCGAGGAAATCACAATAACCCATTCATCGCTTCGTGGTATTGGTCATTTACTACAGATATAGCTGACCGTCTTTTGACTTCGGGATGGGCCTGAGCCATTATTGATGATATCCCAATCGACCAAATTAATTGTGCGTATCCCCACTTACCGGCCAGGATGTTATCATATCATTATTTAAGATATTCACAAACAGGTTCCATATCAGATTCATACTGATCTCCTCAATTTTGTTTTTCTATCACGCCACCGACAACCTTTAAATTATAACTATTTCAATAAAAATGTTTACTTTTAAATGTAAATGGACAAAATAATCCAATATACGTAAATCCTTTTTGCTCACTTAACCTACAGTGAACGTGCTTTTGAATATAGACTTATCCCTATGTGTATATTGTTTCATAAATTGTTGGCATACGATCAATTTTTCCATTTGCTGAACAGGGCATCTCTTTTCCGCTCTCTCTGCTGATAGTCAACTCACGTCGTCTTTGATGTTCGATCAGAAGTTCACATATCTCAAAAAAAAAAAAAACTTTATTTGTTTACGAAGAGGCGGCTCGCGGGATTGACAGCGAGGTTTTTGGTATGCGCGTGTCGGAAGCGTGCACCTGAGCGTCCCGGAGTGTTCGTGGTGCAAAGTGGGTATTGGATGAAACACCGGGAATTAATTATGATGGGAGATCTTCTTTCTCTTTACAGCTAAAGGCCAGAAATACTTCCACCCCGAGACCGAGGTAGAAAAGACAGAACATGTAAGTGTATATAAATTTAGCGCTGAGCCAAGGAGAGGTGAAGTAGGTAACACGAAGCCATTCATACAGATGAGAAGTGATCTGTGGGATTCTACGTTCATTTTATGTGAAATACAATTGACAACACTCCACAGACAATGAATACAGTAAGGATCTTTGGGGTCCTCGCTGGACTGTGCCTTAACCTAGGTACCTTTATCCTGGGGCAAGACACACGCCGGATTAAGATCGGTAAGTTAGTCCAGATTTCTCGAATTAAATACTGTTTAATACACCTGTAGCCTTTTATTGTAGCGTCTTACTTTAGAGCAGATGTAGACGTCATATTTAAGAATTGAATTGAGTCAGTATTTGGTGCCCTGTTTTTCATTATGCATTAACTCCCCCCTTTTCATGTGTACATCATCTTCACGCCTTATGATACAGTTACCTGACAAGGAATTTATATACAGCACATTTGACAGGATTGTAACCTAACAATATCACGACACATGCGGGTTGATGAAATTATTACTGCAACTGACTCTCACTCTTTAATAACGTGTCTGTAGTTGGAAGGCATATCTTGCCATATACTACTGCACATAAAGATAAGTTTCAGAGTATGTACACAATGACTGCGTATGTTTTTTTCTGTGTGTGTGCGTGTGCGTGTGTGTCCGTGCGCGTGCGTGCGTGCATTGCGTGCTTAACTCTTTACAGGTGAATATCAATAGGCATTTGTCGAAATGTATGTGTTTGACAAGCTGGTATGCATAAAAATTTTAAGCAGAACTTATTTAGATTTTTTAAAAAATTAATATACGTGTCCAAAAGACTAAACCAAATGATACATCTTTATTTTTATTCGAAACAGAACGCTTGTTTATACATTGGAACGACGGAATGCAAAAATTAAAACCTAAGTTCTCGGGAGTATTTGACTCGTACATTTAAACTGCCATAAACTCAAAATCAACTAGCAAGCTGCCATTCTCCCGAGGCTTTTTATCTCAGCGATTTACGAAATGAATATTCCCAAAGGATTACCCAATAACCCCTTAGGTGAACCTTGATTGAGTGGGAGTGTGCGGTATGAATAAACTGGATGAAGACGCACGATGAAACACCCGCAGATCTTGTTTACCTAGACGGGACTTTTAACTACTTGAATTTAACATAATGGCGACTACAACCGACTCTTATTCACGATTCATTTGCGTTTTTTGTGAGTCTGACAGGTCGAAAAGTTTTTCTCTTTCTGTTTCCCTTATTTCTGCAATATATTTTCTCTTGGGTCAAGAATTTCTGATTTCTTTAAACTAATGTCTATTCTTTTATGCCCATTTATTGCAATCAATGATGGCCCTATCACATTTGTAAGTCTATAATATGATGAAAACGGAAGAGAAATAACTTATAATTGTGGATAAATGTATCGACCTTTTATATTGGAAATCACATGTTTGCGTGTCAGTTCGCAATACTCCTTCGCTAGAAATTGCAAGTGTTAGTCTCTCTCTCTCTCTCTCTCTCTCGCTCTCTCTCATTCTGACAAAAAGGATTGGTGCCGTAGTTGTTGTTGTTTAAAGTATCGATGACTCTACCCTGATCGTTATTTCATCAGTGCCTTTCCGTACCCCGCTTCTCTCCAATTTCCTCTTTTTTACACCCAGTTAACACACCTCCAGTGTTATGGCCGAAGCATACACCTGTCTCGGACTGCTGCCCACTGGCTATCTTGCAGACATTTTAGGAGTAATCTTCCTTCAGATGGTCAGCCATGATCGTATTTCCCCGGAAAACCGCGCTGATTGAAGCCGCGAAAGTACGGGCGATATAAACACGTTTGAGTGTCAGACAGGCTGTAAAATTTAAAAGGAAGTATTGACAATAAAATCAAAAGTTCAAAGTTTTACAGAATTTCAATTAAAACAGCCGTTGCACCAGGTTTGCGACCGCTGGGAGAACGAGTTTTATGTTCACCCTCATCCCAAAGTTTGGACTTTGACAATAATTGATAGTTAACATCAGACTCATATATTAGTGTTAATAAACTTTTAACATCGCAGCCTTTTTAGTTGCATATTTTTGAAATGGGCAGGAATTCATTCGTCAAGCAGTCTCAATCCCGATGTAACAAGGCTCAAGGAAGTGTGTGAGGGAGAAACAAATAGATGGTTCAGCGCTGGTGTCCGATCACTTAAAGCTCATTTCAACAACCAATTAACCCTTCAACAATACTCCCATTCACTTAATGGGCCCTTAATCAACATCTTTCTTAATAATGGGAAACGGTTTGTCATTCAGAATTGGAGTCCTCGCTCATATACCCTGTGATTTAAGGCAGCATTGCACTTCTCTTTCGTTAAATTGAATGGTTTTTATGTTGTACCGGTATATCAGTTTCACCAAGCATGATTAATCAATTTTATATGGGTGAGCTCTATGATCACACCAGTAAGCTGATACCGTGTGTTTTAACCCATCCTTGAAAAAGGACGTTAAGGTGGGTACTCCAGTGAAGTTACGGCATAGGTGATGCCTTGTAAAAACACGCCGCTGAATTTGCAGCACGTAATTGAGAGCATGGAAGCAGCACCAGGGTGCTACTGTAGAACACCTATATGAAAACACGTCAATATATATATTTAACGAACGGCTGAAAGATATTTACGACACTTTTAATGAAATGGGGAACCTCGAATTTATAAAACACTACCTTTAAATAAACACCTCGAAATATTACAAAATATTCCATTTTCTATCAGAGCTTGGTAAGGGCATTTTCTAACTTTTTGTTCACTGTTTTGCAAATGGCAATATATCTAATTTGCAGATTAGATTTTCACCAGTATTTTCACATTCAAGGCAAATGATTGTTTTTGGCAGACATTCATCTTTAAGTATGTGAAGTACGTCTAATAACACAGAAGTAGAATAGAAAATGGAGTAGACGATGCCATATGATAAAAAAAAACTGAAAAAAAGTATTTTCGGTTTCTGCTTTGGCCATCCGGATGACCAGTTGTTCTGTTTGCCAATACAGACCTGCAATTTAACGATATCTGCCTTATTTAGATGATTGGTTAACTATGCCTTGACCAATAAACTTTGTTGGTTATTCCAATATAAGCCAATCAGTCCGATTTTAATTTGATAAATGTTGTGATGGTCAGATAAATCTGTAGTACAACTGACCCATGCGGGATGTAGATTTAATCATTAGAATTAAGTAGGAAATTCTCAGTTTTATGGAAGCAGCCGGCAGCGCAGGTGTCCAGTCTTTAGACTCACGATTGACGTATCTGTAGTTTGCCTTTGCTATCAAAAGAAGCGTATCTGAAACACCCGATTGGCGTATTAATTTCTACAAAATATACATCGGCAAAATAAACAGTTTTTTTCTGCTTATTTATTTTTCAGAGGCAGCAAAGCGTGCTATACCGTGAGAAAAATATTTTAAAAAATCACATGACGACTTGCCACGAAGTCAATCAACGTTATATATTATAGAAGACTGCGCGAGAAATCAAATATCGTAAAATCGTTATGGAAATATAACCTAATCACTTTCTTGAACCTAGGACATCGGTTAAGTTCCAACATGGCAATGGGGAACTCTACTTAAACTGATTATACTACCATTTCATTGGGTTTGCTGGGCCATTACAATAGGTCAAGAAGAAAATTGCCCAACGATTCTCAAAAGAATACACTATAAATCTAGAATTTGACGCATCACCTTTTGGGTGTCTGTGTCATTACCTCGCCCACAGCATCAGAACAGTGGGGTCTCTGCGTTCATTGTGATTTTACTCTTTTATTTGAACTCTACATTGGAATTACGTTTTACAAACAATTCAAATGTGATTTTTATAACAGACTTGCGAAAAAAACACCCAGTCTTTCAACTGAATATGAATTAGCAGATTAAGATTAAAATAGTAACTTAAACATAACTTTCCTCGATGCAGGCGAGCTGTAAGCAGTCATTACGTTGTTTGACATCCACACCTAGGTTAAATGACTCGTGTTATACATGCCACATTCCGGATTACCTGTTATCATCCACGCCTAAACTAAGAAAAATAAGTCCGTTAAGCTAGATGTCTCCGTCAGACGTAAGCAGGTGGGCCTGGATAATGACCCATCACTGGTAACAAGCCAGTCTGTTTTTCTTTGGTCAGCGCCCCGGTATTGACCGTGTTTTTTGATACAACGAATTTCACCATAAGCGCTTCCAACGTAAATAATAAGTCTTATTTTATTAACACTCCCAGTTATCGCATTCCGTAATAATCCCAGAATGTATACGGTGCGCTCCCACGAGGCTGGGCAATACGCACACATGTTGTCAGTTCATATGTTTACAGAACTGTAACCAACAGTAACCACAAGTGTTGGCTATTCTCTATGTATCTAAGAATAAATTGTTATACAGTTCAACAATAAGGAGTCACTCCTTGTAGTTTCAGCTGTAGTTTTACAACCAAAGTTGACAACAGTTTTTCTTCATGCTTCTGATCAAAGCATCCTAGTAATGCAGTTGCATTCGCCACTTTCTAGTCTTTAGGACCTACTTTTTTATGAACTTGTATTTCAATGCCCCCCCATATTGAGAGGGGATAACAAAAAGTTGTGAGCGTCACAGACAAAGAGCAATCCATACTGCCTTACTTTCGATTCAGTCCCTGTCTAACTCCACACAAGTCCATGGTACCCAATCGGTAGAAATTTCAAGTTGAAACATCTTGGTCCCCAACTAGCCTCCACAGCAAGTGTCAGTTCATCATCTCCAAATATTTTTTTTTCAGTCTGGGAAAGTGATATAGATACATGTTTTGTAAGGCTGTTTTTCTCTTGCTAGTACTATTGCTGACCTATGTTTGCATGCTGTATGTGTGTGTGTGTGTGTGTGTGGGGGGGGGGGTACAGTGCCTGAATTGAGTACCATGGAGCCATGGTACCACTGCTCACACGTACTTTTGGTTGGAAAATGCATCAAATGCCTTGAAAGGAACTGTTAGATGTGCGTTACTTTAAATGCCTTTGTCTACAACTGATGGGTTGCTTCTTCCTCTCTTCTCCCTGTTACATGTAGTATTGTTTAGTGCTGAGATACCTTGTTATATATCGTAGATATCGTGGATAAACTTATAATATGCAGTTGTTCAGGACGGCAATGAACTAGTTAACCTTCAGGTGCAGTATATGTCAGTCAAAGGTCCATGGGAAACATTAGAGGTGTAGTGACAATGTGTTTTGTTTGTATTTCTTCGCACGGGGACTAGGGTTATGGTAAATTCCACTTGGGGCTTAACATACTGGCGGATCAAAGGTTTTGATGAGGGGGAAGGGGTGAGGGAAAGAACATAAAATGTAGGCGAGGGGAACTTTACTTTTATGTACTATTTTGGGGAGGGGGGGCAACAGGGAGAATGTGGTTTCTCCAAAGACGAGAAGAGGGGGCACGTGTCACTCTGTTGCCATTGAATTCTTCATTGTCCTGCATGTGCAGGTGTCCTTTGCCTTTCGTGCTTCAGAACTGTTGTGATGCGAAGTCGTATGCAGTGAACAGTCCATTATGATATATCTCTTTCTATTTTTTTAGTTTGCCAATGTTTTCATACATGTATACAGGTGGCAAACTAAAAAAATAGAAAGAGATATATTATACGTTTTTCTACATTTTTGTCTTCCAATGTGTACTTTTGTTGACTCTGCCATGATCGTCCGAAACAAATGAGTGCGATATTTCCAACAACCCGCATGCCATCCAAACAGTACATTAACGTGAAGCAGGGTACGTGTCTGGGCTCTCTTGCATTACTTAAATTCCCATCCGAGAGAGTCTTGGACGCAAGTTGTTGTTTTTTTTTCTAGGCTTCACATCCATATCATGCGATTTGGACTTTTCTTTCATCTTCATAGGTCTGCAGTTTGGTCTATCCAGACGTGCTTTTGGAAAATAATATCTACAAATATAATTCAAGATACTCAGACAAAACATGCACGTGATTTATTACTTGTGCAACTGTCCTTTGGGAATATAACAAAAGGCCAAAAATTGTCCATCTACAAGAACATTTCCGATTACTTTTTGATGATAAAGAACAGTCAATAATTTCTGGAGTCGGAAAATCTTTCTGAGACATTTCAGTGAAATCGTGTACAAAAAAAGCTGCTTGATTGAATTCTGTGAATTCTGGGGTTGTAATTTAAAAACGTTTTCGTCTAATTACCATGAAGATAACGAACAGCTGAACTTGTTCCATCCTGGTGTGCTGAACTCTGTGTTCAAGTGAGAACATGCTTAATGTGTGATAAATATACTCTGGCTGTATATGTAACAGGGTATATCTATATTGCATTAAGGGCATCTATACTGGTAGGCCGACTTGTATCGCGCCGTAAAATGTGTTGGACTATTTTTCTCGGTGCATTTAATAGGATCATTGTTGCGAAATCAGCTGCCGCTTCTGGTGATATTTAAAATAGTAGAAAACTCCATTTTGATGTACGCATTCATCAAAATTTCTTCCATTATTGGTATATAACTAGATAAAATGTGAGAAAAAGTCTTACGGGACACTTTCCCAAAACCTGACAAGAGCCATGCGCCGCTTTGTTTGAAACAAAGGAAATACTATATGTTTCAACACCAAGTGAGCTTTTAAACTTGTCGTTACATTTATTGGATAGTAGGACAGGGAATTGTCACAGGTATCACATGTTGCTTCAAGGTTCACAAAGATGTTTACATATGTATATAATTGGCTGTATTTCTCTGCTCTACGCGTGTGTGTCCATGCAGAAGATATCTTAAACACGACTGGACATGGCACTTCATAATCCGTGTCCTTTTTTGACACCTGCGTCACAAAATTAAGGTGTCACTCATATTGGTGTGTAATTTTCTGTCAAGGTCACAGAATTTACTTTTTAAAAACACACGTTCGCCGGAAAATCTTATCCTTTAGGTACTCTTGATGCGTTTTTATCTCCACGTACATGTTCAAGTTTTCCAATATGTACATGTAGCTTTATTGTATTCATGTATCAATATGTAGGTTCACAGATTTTGATAAGTTTTTGCTTTTATTACATAAGTCATTCATATAAAAAAAACTTGTTATCAACACTTGTTGTCAATAAACAGCTGTAGAGTAGTAAAGAGACAAGCGTCCTCGATGGACTACGTTGAAACGACGGTTAGATAAAAGTTGAGAGTCTCCGTTGAAATGATGTTGGACACTATCCAAAACAGGGTCTGATGTACGCCACGTTGTTTTGAGATGATGTTGATTTGAATGCGAAGAGGATAAAACTTACTCACCGTTATGAACATCGACGAGTTAAACGTCGACAGACCCACTAGGCTACAACTCCAATATTTATTTTTTAGAACCCATTCTACCGTAATTTTTCAATCACAATGAAATGCATATCCCTGACATGGCCAATAATCACTAACTGCCTAGGGATAAGTTGGAAGCCAAATTTGACGTGTTTATAATTGACTTACAATGCTTATATCGATAATCAACGCCCACTTGGGAATGAACTTCAGTCCCCGGCGATATTAAGCCACTTCACCTTAACTCATTCTCTTAATCGCAGTTCTGAAATTCAATTTGCTTATTCTTTATGACTATTTAAGTGCAAAAGGAGCCCCAGTTATGAATAAAAGACGACGATATCTAGCTAGTTTTTCTGTGAAACGATACAAATAAGACAAAAGATATACAGCACCTTATCCGGACGCAAAACTACTACTTCTAATTTGTCACTAATTTACAGTGCAATTGTTGCCTTGTTGCCGATACTTCTCTGGGGGTTTATTTGAATAGATGCACGAAGAAAACAAGGTCTTAATCGCCTGTATATATGTTTATATGTTGTCAAGAATCATGATAAAGATTATAGAATTATGATTTTAAAGAAAGTATTTAATTACCATATATATATATTATATATATGACAAGCGTCATAACGAACTTTGCGTTACCAACAGCATTGAAAATGACTGGGTGCCTAAATGTGCAATTTCCAAGATGATTTTTTTTACAAATAAAGTTTTTTTTTCTGTCTAGGCGCAGTTTTCGAAGGTGCTAGCAGCATTGAGGAGCTGGCGTTCAAGTATGCCGTAAACAAGGTGAACAGCGAAATCAGCGCCACTCTAAACGGGGTGACGTTAGAGTACGAGTTACAAAAAGTAACATCAGATAGTTTCCAAACTTCAAAAAAAGGTAAGTCACGGGCGCTTTCAGTAACTCAATCCAGAAATGATTCCCGACATCCTTCAGATGACAGATAGAAACAAATTATTGGTGTTCATGGTTCAGTAATGCGATGTATATGTAGTTTTGAAATGGAATAATTATTCAAACTAACCACATTTTGCTTTTATTGACCTATAGAAAACTGGACAATGACGTATAGGGAAACAATGACCCATAAAATTACCCATCGGACGTCAAAGGATTCATTCGATATCACGGCAATTAGTACTTGTCACAGGTGCCATAGGTTTTGACTTCAAACAAATAGCTTGTTAGCTTGGCAATATAATAAATTGGACCTCTCATCACAAAAGACAAAAATACCAAGCACTGAACTCGACCTTAGGCCTCCTTCCAAAGAAATTAGGAAATCGGGGAAAAATAAAAGAATGCGACATTGCTTTTTAAAAGATAAAACTTCATATGGCAAGAACGTTTCTTTTAATTTTGAGTACGAAACGGAGACTTTCACACACACATTCATTCACACACACACACACACAAGAAAAAAACAGATCAATGCTTAAAAAACACATTTAAAAAGCGTGGAAATGACGAAGGAATATAACTAGTGCATGCAAGCATTGATGGTTTACCATCTCGTACCACATCATTTACCAAGGCCACAATGCCGTCTGCATTTTATGAAAGCGCTGGCTGACCCTTACGAAATAAATTGCTTGTAACTAGTGTAAGGGCCCACAGCATGCTTGTCAATTCAAGCAAAGATGGTCGGTTGTGTGCAGTAGTATCATTACAAAAAAAGGCATTTTACTTTTTCCTTGCAAACGATGATGGCTATATATATGATCCAGACATTGTGCGTGCGCCAGATGTTCAGTGTTAAATTTATGATAACGGTGAGGAGTTAACTGGAAATGAAAAACAAAATGAACTTTGAGTATCAAAAGTTGCAGAAAATTTTTAATACCATTTATCAGTAAAAGCACATCAAATCTTTCATCCCAAATATCAGTTTGAAAGAAAGCGAGAATCAGCAGTGGTATAGATAAAGTCATCTTACAAAAAGAAAAAATGGCATGTCTGTAGCAAAAAAGCGCAGATAATAACATTAAGCACCAGTTTGTCTGGCGCTGTTCATCTTCTCACAAAAAAGAGCAGGTATCTGAAGGACAATGACGAACAAGATAATGACACCAATTTCACCGAATGCCATTTTTCGAGATTATACAAGCCTACTTGGTAGTTCTGTGTGAACGGTAAAGCTCCGTTTTAATAATGGGCTAACTTGAGCTGTTTGAGGTCTGCATATGGTTTGCTTTACAAAGCATTTTTGATAAATCAGTTATCTTGTAGACATTAGGCCTACCTCATCATTGATAGCGACCATGCTCGGTTGTTTTATTGAAAGAGAGGTCAAAGTTACCAAAATCCCTGGGCGTTATTCCATACACACGTATGCACACAAGCACACACACACACACACACACACACACACACTCATGCGCACACGCGCGCACGCGCACACACGCACACAGTCATATTCTTTACTTTTAGACCAAAACTTTAAATTTCTATTACACTTTTTATTTTACAATAATGAAGGCCATAAAACACTTTTATTGAAAAACAGAATGTCAAATTGTTGGGCAAGATGAATGCGGTGGATTGAAATAGCCCTGTGTGCGGTGTGGTCTTCTTTAAATATGTTACAAGCAGCACAGAGCAAAGCCTAAGACAAACATATCAGCCTCAAATCAAAATAGTTAGCAGTTGCGTGGTATAGCATAATAGGTCAGAGCCGGAGTCATCTGGTCGCCGTGTGAATGGCCTTAGCGTTCTGAGCAGGGCCTGCAGGTGAGAGGGTCTGGAAGCTTCAACCGCAGTTTAATCACTGCAGCTTATCACAATAAACTACCAAAGGTGCATTTACCGGAGTATATTATACCTCTCCAACTCAGCCCTCACCTTAAGGCATCCAGCTTTGGCTTTAACCATCATATTCACATAGCTACTGGGCCCAGACGTAAATGTTTAATGTAAGACATTTACCCTACAACCTCTATTTATTTATCGTTCTTAATTCGATGATGAAATAGATTATTCCATCTCACAAAAAACGATTTTGACATTTCAATGAATACCTTATGTACACATATGAGAAAAAATATGTTATTGCTGTTTCCCGTACCGAACACGTCTCATTGGCAGCATTATCTTGATTTTTTAAAATATTCTTTCGATATAGGAAAATATATCTCCGGCAAAATTAGGTATTCATTGTCTTTTACATACTTCATTCGAATGTATATCCCTTAACCTATGCCACAACCATCAGATATTCATTTCCTGATGTGAACTTAAGCCACCTGCTGGCGTGAACCCTCAGACGCTAACCCCAGTAGTGAAACAAACGCGCAAATGGCGCGCACTTGTTTTTTTTTCCACTATTTAATGTTGGCAGTGTCACGCGTAGGTATGAGGTGAATTTATGCACCTTAAGGCTCATACCGATGGTATCTTTTTATATGATTCCTTGGCAAGATCAGATAAATATACACCTCCACCCCCTGCGTCTTCCATGCCGGATGTGGTGCCAGGTGTGATATGATGATGGTGGAAAAAAATGAACAAAAAAATTAGTGCGCTACACTGCTCTCTCCATAGGTGGTCTTCAGACTGTATATATAGCTTATTTCTAATGAAATGAAATGAAATATGAAATAGACACTCTCCATCTTTCATATTTGTCAATGCCCTAAGAGCCAAAAAACAATCTCGGTATTTAGATTCCCTAAATACACTTAAGTTCTGAACTATATTCTCTGAAATTTAAAGAACACAGTGTTTTGTTTTTCCTCCATTGTCGTAAACACGTTTAGTTTTCCGTTTGCATCATTGTTTTTATTTCAAAATAGGTCCTGTTTATTAATTATTTATTTATTTGCAAAGTTCATCCAATTTTTCCATTGTGTTAAACGAGACAAAACACTTTGATACTTAGCGTCTAAACTGAGCAAGAAAGGTGCAGCTATTCGTACAGAGTGAGGTACATCCATTCAAACTGGATTCAAAATAGACGCGCAACCTATTCATGCTTTTGTTGACATTACCATAGTTAAGCTCGTTTTTTAACAATACTGTTAATGGCATAGTTGAAAGTACTTTCTAATGACTAGTAAGATCTATAAAATGGTGTATTAAATCTAATTATAAAACGTCATCGAATATATATAATCACTTTATTCTAGTATGTCGCCTACTAAAAGACGGAAATGGAGTAGGTGCCATATTTGGTCCTATGGCCACCATCTCGGCCTCTCACGTACAGTCAATCTGTGATACATTAGAAGTCCCCCACATAGAGACGCGTTGGGATTACAAAGAATTCAAGGATTATTACTCTGTGAATCTTCACCCCCATTATACCTCCATTGGGAAGTCACTGCTGGATTTGGTGACGCACTGGAAGTGGGGTGCCGTCACCATTCTGTATGAGGACAACAATGGTGAGAGACGTTATGTACTTAATGCCAGAGAGAGAGAGAGAGAGAGAGAGAGAGAGAGAGAGAGAGAGAGAGAGCAGGATAAACAAAAAAATATTAATGCTGTTCAGCGTTAGTTTATTACATTGTGCAATATTTGTGTTTGGCATGTATTGGTGCGTATGTTTGCAGTTGAACTATACACTTTGAAATACCATAAATAAAAAAGAAAGAAAATAAACCAATAAAAGAAATGCATATGTTCACTTAATCAGCCCTCAAAATATACCAAAGATACAATTCATCAGAATTCTTCTTCCTTTTTATCAGGATTATTGAAATTGCAAGATTTGCTCCGAGTTCCTGGAAAGAAGAAATCTTTGCAGACGACCATTCGCAAACTCGAGGCATTTGAAGATGGCGACTATAGACCTCTGCTCAAGGATCTTAAAAGTCAAAACCAGTTCCGATTTATAGTAGATTGTGACTATAAGAAGATACCCACTTTGTTGGCACAGGTAATTTTCCTCATTGCTCAGTTACTGTTTACAACGATAGTATTAATCTGTGATAGTCGTAACTTTCATTCCTCTAGTATAAAATTACATATAAAGTAGGTGCAATTAGAATAATTGAATATCTTAACCATGAGTGATTATTATATTTCAGGCGATGTCTCTAAGCATGCTGTCACAGTATTATCATTTCCATTTTACAAGTTTGGTGAGTATCCCGGATAATTTTTAAATTGTGGTTAGATATGTAGCGTTATATAAATAATCGTCTTCAGGGCGCGTCGCACTGCAGTATTTGGAATTAATGAATAAGGTGGAAATAAAGCCCTAAGTTCCTTCAGCGTTTTACATACCTGGCTCCTTGCTTCATCAGAATTGCTCTCGACAGTTAAAAAGATCACTCATGTAGCCATTGTTTGTCTTTTAATCTTTATAGCAGGCCCTTCTCCAAATTTAAAAACAGATTATGTCCTTTGAAAGTGATGACTTACGGAGATAATAAAAAGAGACATGAAATGACGTTTCTGACAACCTTATATTGCAAGACATGCATTTGCCATTCACATGTTTTAAAATAAATGGAGTACAGGTGATATCGCAAAATAGATTTGTGTCGAAAAACCGAAATGTTTTCACTTTCGTGGATAGGCTGCATCAGTTGACCGAAGACGTACAGCCCGTGACTTAACGTCCAATTAATTCGTCCATTCCCATTGTTTCTTTTCAAAGGCTACTTTATGCATATTTTTATTAACTATTTGTCAGATGCATCTGTGGGGCTACAATCAACCAAACTTTTATTCAAAAAGAAACCCAAATTTATGAACCAATCTTTTTCAAAACACAAATAAACGTTCATTAATCGTCATTTGTCTTCGTCATAAGCTAAGTAGATAGAAGGCCTCTGAGCGTTTTTTATATATATTTCCAAAGCCCCGCTGGTAATGTGTTGTTGATGCTATGCACCCTCTGCGCGCATGTCCTGTATTGCTTGTTGCACGTGGGCTGGCGCCTCGAGGTCCCCCTCCGGCAACAAGCCCACCATCAGTTTGACGTCCATGCCAAATACTTCTTCCATTATATTAAACACAACGTCATCTAGCTCTAACATTTGTTGCAAAAAGTTGTCCATCAACTCTGGGTCTTCTGTGACTATTGTTGTCAGCCCTGCTATTTCAGCGTCCTCAAGATCCGACTTCTTCACTGATGAGTCGCCATTGCTCTGCGGACTGGAAGCTGGAGAGGTCCCGTTTTCGAACCCGTGAACCGTACCGTTGCCCCGCCTTAGGCTCGCCGACTCGAGAGAGTGCGAATCCCCATCACCATCAGCCTGTAGCAGACGCTCAACAATAAACTGTTTTAGTCTTTTTCGGATGAATTCGATCAATCGTCCTTCAAGTTTCCGGTTGGTAGTTTCCTGATTTTTGTGAACGGTACCATCTTCAGATCTACCAAGCTGGTCCCCATGATGGTTTCCAAAATGGTTGTGTATCCTATTAACTTGACCAGTATTAGTGCTGTTGTCGCCATCATTGTTGCTTGAGTATCGGTGACTGTCACCACTGTGAGCGTGGAGAGAGTCGTAAATATGTCCTTTTTTCAAAAGCAAGATTTTAAGCAATGACTTAATGAGTTCTTTATGGCCTGGGTTGGGGTGGTGGTGGTGGTGATGGTGATACTTGTGATCATATTTCTGAGTGGTCGTCTCCGCTTTTCCAGTGGTGGTGTCTGTTGAGGCAGACGTGCTGACCGTAGAAAGAATTGTTTGAGCGGTAGGCAATGTGTCAGTGAGGGTCCTCACTACTGTCGTTGCTGTGACAGTACTTGTTGTTCTTTCGAAAGGTTTCCTCTCATATTGTTCGCACAGGTGCCCACAGGGATCGCCGTAAGCGTCAGGAAGCATAAAAATTTCGTCATAAAGATCTGGTGGAATGATCAGACGATCTATGGTATGAATTACGCCATTGGTTGTACAAATATCTGTCGTCTGCAGGGTCGCACCATTAACTTGGATGCTGCCGTTATCTTTAGAGAAAAAGAAGATATTGATTTATTTAAACATTTTAATAATATGTGGCTCATTATTTATTATCATGAGTTCACCGGCAATAAAGGCATGAGGGCATATTTTTCTCCACACGGTTGATTGAGGACTTTATAAGACGGAATAACATTTATAATATTTAATTCATCATTATCATTAGTTCATTGGAAATATAGGCACACTTTACTCCATCACAATGTAGATAGTGGACTAAGTATTTTAAATTGGCCAAACATAACATATATTTCGTTATTGCCATTGGCTGACAGAATCAATTGGACGCGTAACCAATTTGTTTGTTGTTCTGTTTGATCAAGAACAGAAACTTATGAAACAAGTTTTCAACTTACAAGCCTTCGTGATCCAAAGCTTGAGTCCGCACTTCGTCTTCACTGCCATGTCGTAATGCAGGGACTTCTCATAAAAAGTCCCAATTATTTTATGACATTTGGCCAACTCTGTAGATAAAAAACATGAGATAGTTTAATGATTATAAATATATCACTTCTGGTAACAAATTGACAAGTCACCCTGTTTTGAAATATTCTATTTTATGCAGGAGAGATAAAACCAAATGGTGAAGAAAAAGTGATAACATGGCATTTTCCTTACAATCACTAAAGAGTTTTAAGTTAAATCATTGCGAATATGCTAGCAAGTTCATTTGCCTAAATAATTATTTTGCTTACTGAAGAAAAGGTAAAAATATATACGACTTATCTGAAATATAAAGGGCTCAGGTAAATATGCCCTAATTGATGTAAATATAAATAATTGGTAACTGTGAAAGATTTGTGTGCAACGCAAATTCAAATTTCTCTACATACCCCTTTTTGGTTAAAAATAGATCCATGCAGTGATATATAAAAAGGGTAAATCTAAAATAGGAAGAAAAAACATAATATGAAATATTTACCTTTTAAGACATCTGAGTTTTCGCTGGCCATTAGAAAATTTTGAACTTCTGTTGGGAGATTGTTGAAAGCGTCATCTGTGGGGATTAAGAAAGTGCAACCCTTCCCATACCCGCTGTAGTATCCGTGGTCGTTGTAGTCGTCTGTGTGGTCTATGAAAAAAAAAGCCAATTATTTGTTGTCTTTCTCTGTTTGTTTGCATGGTAATTAATCAATTACTTCCTCCAAAGAGGTTATGATTTTGCCTTTGTTGGTTTGTGACACCATGCAGTGACAGTACTGCTTTGACGCATTTCGTATATTTATCATGTGGGAACGAGAAACATACGAGAACTGTGGAATATTGTCAAATAGTGTCCATTTTTAGATTTAAACAACACAACTACAAAAATTCCCCTTACCTGTGTGGTCAAAGAGATCCACTCCATTAAATAGATCAAAGAAAATCTGGAAATTGTTATCGCTGGCAATACTTTGGGCTTCTGTCGTGTTGGAAAGGTCCAAGAATGGGAAACATAAGTAACAGTCGACCAAATGAACGACGCCATTTTTGGCCCACAGGTCTCTTTTCAATATCTTTGAACCGGAGGCAATAGTAGCCTAAGAACAACAACGAAAAAAAAAAAGAAAAGAAAAGAAATATTCATTTGATACGAAGAAAATGAGTTATTATCTGACATTTCAATGATATAGTGCGTTCATTGCATCGATTGAAATATCAAGTACTTCACATATTTAAATACCCATAGAGATATCTTTAAGAGTACTAAAGTTTGACCATCTAGCCTGTAAAGCATTTCAGTACGTACATAACCATCGTTCGTTACGCGAATCCTGTCGTTATTCAGAGTCAGGAAAGAAGCTTCGTTCTTGAATTCCTTGCTCATCACAAACCCGCTCACTATGTGGTTCCGCAGAAAGTCGATGGCGGTCTGGTTGCATTCTTCCAGGGCGACCTGCAGGTCGTCTGACAGCTTGTCGAACGCATAGTCGGTTGGGGCAAACACGGTAAATGGACCTAATGGTTTTAATAAATTCGGGATTTTAAGTAGTTTGGCGTGTTTTTATTCATCATTGTATTTTAAAAAGTACAAAAACTTTAAACAACACGCCCGCGACATCTTCCATCTTCGTAAACGAGTGGGAATTCTGATGAATCATATGAAATAAGAACAGAAATCCATGGCACTGTAAGAAACTACATACATTTATAGCTTATAGAAAACAAAACATTACCCGCTCCATACGTGCAGACCTCTTCCAATGTCGAATCATTGCTTGAACATCTGAGAAGAATGGTGGCAAACTTTGAAGCTTTGATAAAAAGCAACTGCTTTATATTCGGTTTGAATTCCTTCCGGTAGTTTCTAGAGGATTTGTATCCTCTTCTCTTCGAACCGTAACCTCCACCTCCGTGTCGAAATTCGAATCCATCGTGCCCACCATTATACCCGCTGTCATCATCATATCCGCCATGAGACGAACTATAGAAACTGTGGGAATCATGATGGCGAATATATCCACTCCTGCCATTCTGCCCATGGTGCCCTCCGCCATACCCATGAGCATTATGATCTACGTCGTATCCATGGGAACTACCACCGTGTCCATGCGAGTCGTGACCACCGTTGTAACCACGGTAACCATATTCACCATGACTAGGATGATCACTGTAATGGCTGTCGTCGTACCCGCCATCATCCTCGTACCCATCATACCCACCAAAATCACCGTGTCCATAATTACCATGGTCATGACTGTGAACCCCAGCGTTTGCTTGGTGCAAGAAGTCTACTGCTTCAAGTGCAGCAATAATTCCAAGGAATAAGATATATCTAAAAACCATGGTGACAAGGGGCTCACGTACGTCCCCTCCTCGCCTATATTTGTGTGAAAGCGCTATGTGAGTTTAGGTCATAACAAAGAACAGTGATGTTGAGATCGTGGCGTTTACACCAAGCTTTTTCACCTTCCATTGTCTGATTTTACAGTAAAGTTTCGTATTCGTGCGTCGTTAACTCTTGGTGAGTCATTCTGCTCACTGTTTGTTTTCTGTTTTTGTCATAAAGGATGCACGTTATCTTCTACATATATGGGCATTCAATGTTTAAAGCTGTTTAATCGGATCTAACTATGCAGACATTGCAATGCTCACTATTTAATGACAGCCCTCAGGCATGCCGCTTGCGGGGTAAGTAGAACAAGGCGAGGTGTTTTCAACTGTTTCGGATATTTGGTGTCAACGATATTATTTCCTATTCAGGTACTGTAGTCTGTACTTGGATCCCTTCACAGACTGGCTAGTTTCCCCACATCGCTTCTTACCTCAAGTATTTATTATATGCTTCCTGCTTATCAACAAGATCTATTCTGTCTTTTTTTTTTACATAAGCATACTGGGGTATTTTGGAGGCGAATGTACAATCAATGCATCCAAAATATGCAATAAGCTCAAGTCGGTCGAATCTTTAAAAAATAGCATATGGGAATATTCATGCCCATAAAAGATATTAGGTATTATATTATGAAATTGTTCCAAGACCGCGGGGGAATTAGTTGTGGTATTATTTCCCTCCAAATCAAAATTCTTAATCAGTAAGCATGGTTTGGCAAAATAATAAAAAAAAATTTAATTAATTTTTACACTCTGTATTTTTGCACGTAGGACTTGGACCTTCTGGACCTAGGAGACTACAGGTATGGAGGTGCCAATCTGACGGGCTTTCGGCTGATAGACTGGGACGATCCCGAGGTGAAGATAGCCATGCTTGATCTGGCCAGTCCCAAAGCTCTCCCGGTAAGCACGCCTAACCTTTTCTCACTTTGTTACATAAAAAATAGCCTGCGGTTCAGTACACATTACCGCCTCGCTGTCTAGCCTTGTTGCCTGCAATATATATATTAATGTATATTTGAATGCCACTAGGTAGGTTTTAAATAATTTGCAGGAAACTGGGAGGAAATTGGCACAAATAAAGAATGACTATCGTAAAATAAGGCATAAAGTGCCTCCTTATTTTTCTCCATTTTTATGTTAAGTAATGTCCATATTTTCTAGATAAAGCACCACGAAGGATGCTAGTTCACCTAAAGATTGTTAGTAAAGGATACGATATTGAAATGGCAAGAGCAAGAACTTGTATAATACTAAACATTATAATTAAATTAACCAAGTTGGTGACATCCCAAAATGGCGCTTTAATTCTCAGGGAACACCTTTCGTCGGCGCTGTCCAAACAAAGACCAAGGTAACCGTAGGGCGCCAGAGAGCACCCTGTATACTGGCTTTACAATTAACCATTGTAGTTGGGATGTTAAATCTTTCTCTCTTTTTCTCTCAACTAAATAAGAGCATAAAGTGCATCATCTATAATTTATGTATCGACTTTGTGTCTCGTCTCGTGTTTTGGAAGTGGCATCTGTTTTTCATTTCGTGGCAGCTTGATATTTTAGGTCGTCCGAGAATTCATTTTCTTTCAAACGTTTATTTCCAAATGAATAATGGATAGTTGAAGATCTGAAATCAAATTGATCCTCAGTAAAAAAAATCAAAGTGTCGCTCTTTTCTTGTGTACGCTTATTCTTGGTCAAACAACCCCTACACCAAAACTTTATTTGAAGCCAGCTTTTTTAAATCAAAGTCTGCTTTCCCTTCAAGCCAGACCTAGCATCGATTCAATCCATGTTTTCAGTTTTATCAACTATATGAATTCTGTCATCGATCCGAATCACCCCTTTGAAAGCGTTGTCTGGTCCCAAAAGCGTGACATTGACCCCGCTTCACGCGAGCAAGCACCACCCAAATTCAGCGAGCCGCCACATGTTTGACTTCATTTTGCTATCCTTTCTTCACTGACCACCTTCACTTCACGATTTACGTACTCTTTTCTTAACCAGGACGATAATGCAGAGATAAAGAGCAATGTTACGGTAGGTATGGCCTTCGGCAACATCGTTCACTATATGTAGTTCTCTATATGCTGTGACTGCCTGGGAATGCATTTCAAAGCTTGCAAACCGTACCATTCATCTACAGTTACACCTGCCTTTTTGGGGACTCTAGTATAGACACCTGTACAGAAACATAGTTGCGTTTGAACTTGGAACCTAGGTACACATAGAAACCAATATACGGTAATCATATTGGTTTCTATGAAAAAGAAAACAGTTTGGTGGTTTGACTACATGAACGGACGTTAGGTGCAGTGATTTTTTAATCTGCTTATTGCACGCCTTGGGCTTGGTTTTGACAGTCTCCCTGCATGTGTCGCCAGTGGCAGCATGTGGACGACATTTTCTCTCCATATTTCACTTGCTTTTGCCTCCCATATTTATTTCCTAATATTCTTATATGCTAGTGAATTTTGGGATATTAATAATAAAAGAAACATTAACTTGTTTCTTTTTAGAAAAATCATGTACGGAATACATCTTTTTCAATCTTTATTACCGACTTGTTTTTATATATTAACATCTCACTTAGGAATAAGGCTTTTTCCTTCTGATCATAATCCCCTTACCCCTTTACCTCTGTGCGATAGAGCGAAATTAAAGGTAATTTAAGTAAGTCTAAGAACCCCATGTTCGCGTAGAACTATGAACACATTGTAGTAGATCTGCGAGCACTGTAAGGTGACATCCTGACAGCAGGTCTTGCAATAGACAATATTTCAGTATTACGCATGACCATGTTTGACCTCTATGACGACCGCAAAAAAGAGGCGGTTTGTTTAAATGCATGCTCTGTCCCGAATTCAGGAATGCTGGGAAATTTACGTAGCGTAGCGAGTGAAAGGCAACCAAAAAAGTAGATAGCTCCTCAGAAATTCCGACCAGAATGCTGGTAGTGTGTGAATAGAAAGGATAAAAGAAATATAGATATCTATATATAGGGTTGACCCAAAAAGATAAATATGCCCGTTTCCATCACTGATGACTATTACAAATAACAGTGATGCTAGGCATTCGCCGTGTATCTCAAAACTTATACTTACTTCGTTCTTGTTGCTATGTTTTCATTCATTGTCTTATATTACAGTTTATAACGGTGGAGGAGAGCTTTAATTTTTGAGGGAGAAGCTTAATTTCTTTGCAGTTTTTTCTTTAATATATTGCTTGAATTATTTTTTCTCTATTTTTCCCCAATATCAGTTGTCTAGATTGAATATTTATTAAACGTGTATTTGAACCTTTTTTTCTTATGTACAGGTACGTATCATACAGGTTTATATTTAACAAGAGTTTTGCTTTAAAAGCTGCCTTATAACCTTTTCTGCTAAAATACTATCAATATAAATACCAATATTGCATCAAACAAAATTCACACCAAACGACATATTCATGATCAGTTAAAATATTGTAGAATCGACCTCTGGTTTTCAGGTACAGGCCGCCGTGATGGTAGACGCCGTGATGGTCTTCGCACGAGCAATTACAGACCTGTCGCGCTCACAGACCATCCAAACTCGCAGTTTGGGCTGCTCTAATCCCGGGCAGACATGGACTCAAGGCAGCAGCCTGTTCAATTTTCTTACAAGAGTGAGGGCTACTAAGCTTTTTAATTCTCCTTAGGTTCCATGGCTGAGTACTTTGTAAACATACCGTTAAATAGAGTTGCATTTTAGTATTTTACATGTTAGAAATGACATTGATAAACAGTCGGGTTGCCGATGAATCAGTGGTGGATTTTAGTTTTGAGATAACAAATACCTATGAACTGATTGAAAGTCCATGTATTATTTGTAATTAATAAAAAAATGCCCCGTTTCCAGGTAGGGTTGACTGGTCTGACAGGCAGGATTAAATTTGATGGCGACGGAAAGAGAAGAGACTTCGACTTGGGGATTGTTAAAATGGGGAAAAGGACTCTAGAAAGGGTATTATGAAATTTCTGGCAACTTTCAAGCCTTCAATGATTCGTAATTCCTAAAAAAAAGCAAAATCCAAGCTACACATGTAACTGAAGTTTAAAGATTAATTCAGAAGTCAGAAACTTGACATTTGAGCAACCAGTGCTAGCCTATTTCATTTTCGTTTGTAGCTTTTATATTTTTTTCCTTTAAGTGAGCTACCGAAACCATGTGCGCTTAAACGCTGCCATTACTGTAATTTGCCAGCATCGTAAGGGCTTTTTAATGGGAGATCCTATAATTCTCGTTTAGAGTTATGCTGGTTTATTTGTCGCACGCGTTCAATATGTCTAATGGCCTGAGCGGGTCGCTTTCAGTACAAAAATGAAATCTAAAGACAATATCGGTAATTTACTCTTTTCTTTGACCGCTCACATCTTGTCGAAGTGCGCAAACCTCGCGTTCTATAACACTCTGGTCACAATGGTACCCACTTAACGTCTCCTCCATTTCGAGAAATGCGTGTGTCCATTAAAGAGATAAATTACAAACACAATAGGAATATAAGCTGATTGATGCTTGCTTGGTTAAATATAGGTAGCCATTATTTATTTTTATAAAGAAGACTAAAGATTTAATTCAACAGTTACTTCATTTTAATGGATTATTACGGATTTATGTTGAATTGAAGTAGACCAGATTATCTGACTTATTTTTGTAAGATCCTTAGTGAAATTATTTTCTTAGATCGTATTATTTTACTATAGATTGGTTTCTGGACTCTGGAAGGAGGTGTGAATATCACAGCAAACTTCACCGAGCTGAAGGATCAGCTTCATGACACTCTGCAAAACAAAACCCTTATTGTCACCACCATTCAGGTAAGTTTGATCTGTAAAAAGAAAATAAACTAAGAGACAATCAAAGTATTGATTACGCCAAAAAGGCAACCGCCACTCATGCTCCTAACTAACCAGCGTATTGCAGGGATATATTATGTCTATCATGAGAAAAAATTAATGAATATTCGCATTATTAGTATTTCGTGCCATTTAAGAGAAAATACTAAAAAGATGCCACTTTTGTAGGAGCCACCGTATTTGATGCTTCGCAAGGCTCAGCCTGGTGTGGAACTGAAGGGCAATGCGCGTTTTTATGGTTACTGTGTCGACTTGCTGGCCGAGATCTCCAAGCTGTTGAATTTTAACTTCACCATCAAACTGGTAGACGATGGAAACTACGGGGCACCTGTTGGACCAAATGGAGAATGGAATGGTATGGTGCGGGAACTAATAGACATGGTAGGTAGCAAATCCCTCGAATTGTGTTAGGTGTGACTAGACGTTAATACCATGCACAGTATTGTGTTGGTTGTGATTGGGGCTAACTCACCAAATTAACTGACATTTACAGAAAACTAATATCAAACGAATATTCATTACATTGGTGCTAGAGCGGCTTTTTACTTAATTGTATTCACTCAGTGAGTCAGTGAGTGCACCAAATAATAAAAAACCTATTTTAATTTTTTTAATTTACTTAAAAGTACATAATAAAAACTAAATCACTAAAAATTATCAAATAATACAATTTAAAAACAACATTTTTTGGTATTATTTTCAGAAAGCAGATCTAACTGTGGCACCCATGACAATCACATATGTCCGTGAGCAAGTGATAGACTTCACCAAACCATTCATGAACCTGGGGATCAGCATCCTGTTCAAGAAACCAGAAGCTTCAACTCCAGACCTTTTCGCCTTCATGTCCCCTCTTTCTTTCGAAGTGTGGCTCTACATGTTGGCTGCCTATGTTGGAGTCAGTATAACTCTCTTTGTGTTGGCCAGGTTCAGCCCATATGAGTGGTACAACACGCACCCTTGCAACCAGGAATCTGACATTGTAGAGAATCAGTTCAACATGCTCAACAGTCTCTGGTTTACCATCGGCTCTCTTATGCAGCAAGGTTAGTACACCAGTCACAATGTGTGCATTATCCACTGGTGGATCCAGGATTTTGGTAAGGATTGGATAGAAGAATGAAGGTTTTTTCTTCTCGTTGCTTGGCAAATATGAACAGTACATGAGAACGGGGATTAAAATTGCTTGTTTTGTACTGCTTTTTATTTATTTATTTATTATTTGGGGAGATGGGAGAGGCGGAGAAATGTGTGCCAGCCCTCCACCCCTCTTCCCTCACTCCCCCCCAAAATCTGCCATTGATTGCTCTCAACATGATCAAATCAATCATTGGGAAGGACTTTGACAAATCCCACTTGTTACAAATGTCACTTATTAAATTCAAACAAAATGAATGATAATATTCTTCAAAACAATATTTTATTAGTAATAGTCTACACTGTACATAAAAATGTCCAAGTAAGCTGGCTTCAAAACAGAAGTACTTTTCGTAAATAACTAAAAATATAAATCTTGAAAAGGTGAAATGCTGGAGTGAGTGAGAAAAAAAATTAAAGTTATTACTGTAATGCTATGTATAACACTGTACATTATGTAAGCTGTCTAATTAGCATGAATTTCCTATTTCAGGTTCTGATCTTGCCCCTAGAGCTCTTTCCACTCGTATGATAAGCGGCATCTGGTGGTTCTTCACTCTTATTATGATTTCCTCGTACACTGCTAACCTGGCAGCTTTCCTCACAGTGGAGAGGATGATCTCTCCCATTGAAAATGCTGATGACCTGGCAAAACAGACCGATATCAAATATGGCAGCCAATATGGTGGTTCAACCATGACTTTTTTCAAAGTAAGAACTAATACGTAATTTTTTTTTTTTTGAAAGTGGACTTGGTTTTGGAAAAAGTACAAAGATTTAGATACTTGACAAGCAGAGAAAACCAGACAAATGATAAGTTTTAAACCAGCAGGGTTTTTTTCCCAGTAGTTAATTTTTTTAGTTTTCATTGAAGCTTCAGCACAAAAATAATAATAATAATAATAATAATAATAATAATAATAATGTATCAAAAATCTAGAAAGTTCCAATTATTCCAAATATTCCTACCTGTTTGAATTTTTCTTTAAATTTTAATAACTTATTCATCAATTTTACACGGATATGCTCCTAAACCATACATATGTTGCTTTCAAGGATTTGTTTACCATTTTTTCATGCAGAGTTTTTTTTTCAAATCTATTTTAATTACATTTAGACCTCCAAAATTCCAACATATGAGCGTATGTGGAACTTCATGTCCAGCACTGAGCCCAGTGTTTTTGTGAACAGTTCCAAAGAAGGAATTGACCGTGTGATGAAGGGGAAGTATGCCTACCTCATGGAGTCCACAATGATTGAATACACTGTGCAGAGAAACTGCAAGCTGATGCAAGTGGGAGGCCTACTTGATTCCAAGGGTTATGGAATAGGAACACCAAGAGGTGGGCCTGCTATATAATGTATTAAACAGTGTGTAGAAAAAAGTATGTAATTGTGAATGCCCATGTGTGTGCACTTGTGTGTGTGTGTTTGTATGTGTGCGTTCTTAGTGTTCCTATACCATGTATCTTGGTATAGAAACATTAATAGGTAAATTCAAATTAGGTAATTACCTCAAAACCTGGAAACAGATTATTGAATCATCATATGCTGTGTGGATAGACAAATTGTAGCTGCTTTAATTCCATGTTCTGGTTGTGACCCTTTAAATTCACAAATATTTTTCAATTGTTCCCCAGGATCCCCTTATACAGAGATTTTGTCAGAGGCCATCTTGAAACTCCAAGAGCAACAGGTCCTGCAGGTCCTGTACACAAAATGGTGGAAGGAGAAAGAGGGCGGAGGGCAGTGTGAGGAGGCACCGTCTAACAAAGCCAGTGAACTGGGAGTTATACATGTGGGTGGAGTGTTTGTAGTACTGCTGGCAGGACTGGGGCTGGCATGTCTGTTTGCTTTGGGAGAGTTCATCTACAAAGCAAGGCAAAATGCTGATGAAGACAGGGTAGGTGGAACTAGGTGGACATGTTCAAATAGTCTTTTCACCTAATGTTTCTCCCCTTTTAAATTATTTTGAAAGTACTTCAGCTTTATATCTGTAACTCTTAATGTAACTATAAATATAAAAGCAAAAAAAAAAAAATAAATAAATAAAAAATAAATAAATAAATAAAATAAAATAATAATAATAATAAAATCAAGAGTGAATTTGATAAAATTCTGTACAATTTAGGTACTGTTTAAACATATATTGATTGATTAAAATATTATTTTAAAGTAATTAACTTTTGTTTTGTGCATTTTGTTTATAGTCAATCAGTTGGAAAGTTTAATTAATAATTGATATAAATAACAATCTAGCTTCATGGTTTTCAGCAATCCATATGTTCTGAGATCATAGAAGAATTGCGTTTTGCCATAAGATGTTTTGGATCTTCTAAAAAGCCTGCTGTACACAAATCCAGCCATAGGAAACATGACAATGGCCTCATAGACAATGGGATGACAATGGTTCCCCTGACAGCCAACAATTTCCCAGGCAAGGAGTCATTTGCTTGATCATGGTACAGAACATGTACATAGCAGCAAATCTATTTTCCTAGCAGAGGTTTACAAAATCATTTTAGTGCCTGGTTACAGAATGCATGCAATTTACCATGCAGCAGATGCCTTGGGGCACAGCCAGTGGCAGCCATTTTGGGTCTTGCCAATTGTGAAGCTGTTGCCCTTGTTGCCTGCAGAGCGACCAGGTGCAAAACTCCCTTGTGAGTGATGCATGTTGGTTTACATTTTGATCTATCATGTTGGCACATGATGAAAGGCATTGGTTGAACCAATTGCAAAGGACACACCATTATGAACAGCTTGATCTGCGTGAGACATAAACAGACATTTGTCTGGAGTTTTTGTAGATGAAAAAAGTAAGAACTGTATACATAGATATAATGTCTTCCAGATGGTGCAGTTTTATACAGTGCCTAGTCTATGCAAATATAACAGTAATACAACAAAGGAGTGTGTATGAAAATGAAAACACCCATGACAACGGAGGCCTGGTGTTTAGAAAAATAAGCAATGTTGCCACATATTTGTATATTGCTCTTTCATTCTTTGGGTAATGATTTACAGTTGTTTTGTTTTTCACTATTTTATAATCAGAATCATTTTTCTATAGAAGACATTTAGTCACAGAGTGAAGCTTCATTTTTTTATTTTTATTTTTAATTCATTTTTGTAGTGTTGATTGCAGCACACTTATTGGTATTTTCATTTGACTAAAAACCACTGTATATATTGACCAATAGTGTATAAATTTGGTGCAGATTTGTAAGCAGATTTGTAAAACACTTGTAGCAGAGCAAGCTATTATATAGTCTGGATGACTGGTGCTATATTTTGGCCAAATTGCTCAAAATGTGGAAAAAGCATGAAACTTGGCACAAATGTTCTTTGGTCTATGCTGATCATTTTCAAGGGCAGTGCCCAAAATTTCAAGGCGTTGCTTAGCAACCGTTGCTATGGAAGTGAATTTCCTTAGTAACAAGCTAATTAAACCTTTCTTGTCCAGTTTAAATGGTTTAGAAATGCTAAAAAGTATGTTTCAGGGCATCAGAACTATCACTAGACTATTTTAAGGCAATTAAAACCCAAATTAACCTTAGCCACGATTGCTAGACAGCATATTACCCTAGCAACAAGCATTTAAAGTTGCATTAGTCTATTAAATGAAGCAGATCTATAATACTAGCTAAGAACTACACTTTTGAGCAAGATGTTCATACTTTTAATCCAGTAAGTTGAAACAATTGGGTGATGTTTACACACATCCGATCAAAAACATTGCCAGTGCAGATACTAAGGCAGCATGTTCAAAGTTAGTAACCAGGCATTTCCATGCTTTTATCACCTTACGACTCTTTATAAAACTTTGCAATAGTTAAGACGTTAAATTCTCCCTTGTATGTGCAATATACAGTGCATTTTGCCCTTGCACATTGTCAGCCTCTAAATCTGCACCTACATGCACACTGGAGCAACTCTGGGCAGGTCAATAGCTTCTGGCAAATGTGTCCACAAGGGTTCACTGTTCCGCACAAGTCCAACCAGAGTGAGCACATGGTATCTGATGACATGGCACCGTAGTGCTGATTCAGATATGTTCATCTCGCAAGAATACTCTTATATTGTTGTAGAGCAGCCTTGTTGGAAGTAAGATATGGCATCTAACAGCCTTTGGGTGTGAACAGAAAGTTTTGAACTTCATTGATTAACAAAAAGAATTAAAATAGAACCATGCAGGTGTATTTAAGTTACTTGGTAGAGAATGGAAACTGACAAAATACAATGTGAAAAAACTTTTTAGAAAAATTTTGAACAAAATGAAAAATATCTTGGAAATATGGTCTCTGAGAAACCTTTCAATAATAGGAAAGTCAACAGTGGTTAAACCTTTAATATTTCTCATCTTACGTAGTGCATGTACAAACTCTCCTACCAGCCCCCCCCCCCCTCAATACTTAAAAAAAAAATGCATATCATATTTAACTTTATCAGGAATGGGAAAAGACACAAAATAAAATGAGCAAGGATGGCGTCTGATTACAAAAATGGCCGGTAAAAGGTACCACAAATAAAAATTTTATCAAGGCCCTAAACTTAACATGGCTTAAAAGACTTCTTTGTGAAGAAAATAAGAGTAAGTGGAGAGCGTTTTTCTCGGCAAAATGTCAGGAATCGGTAGTAACAAAAGGTGGATTAAAAAAACTAAAAGCAACTTCTTATCCTTTTTGGCAAAGATTATTGGGTCTTTGAGTGAAATTCAGGAAAATTTCAATTTAACACCAGATGAAATCCAATCACAACCATTATGTCAAAACTCAAAAATTGAAAGAAACTGAAAAACTATTTTCCATAAAAGATGGTGTAAAAATGTTTTTTTTTACATCAATGATATTATAAATGACATTTGAAATCCCCTCTGTCTAGAGGAACTCAACAAAATATTAACCTTAACACCAACTTTCTAGGCTAATTTAGCTTCCAAAGAGCTTACCATCTGAATGGCTATCTCTTCCCATGGAAGGAAATTACTCATAGCATTCCAAGAAATAATAGACTCAATTAAACAAGTTACCAAGCCATCCAGATATTTTTTCGCAAAAAATCTTCCAAAGCCGTATAATATCACCAGATAAAGGTGTAGGTGAATGGCAGACATATTTTAAAAAAACCTTGAGTACTAATAATTGGGAACTAACATTTAAGAAACAGATCACAAGAAAATGAAGTTGCTCCAATTCAGAATAAACCATAGAATATTCAATACTTATGCTTATCTTATGAATTTGAGAAATTTGCAATACTGCTAGAGAAAATATTCTGTACGTTTTTTGGGATTGTCCACATGTAATAAATCTTTGGATGTGCATCATTTGCCCCGCTGAAGATAATTTAGGTGTGGTCATTGATAGATCTCCGGAGATATTTGTATTTGGGTTTGTGCAAGCATACACTATTTATGTATCTATATTAATAACTAAGAAACATGTTAGTATATGTAGAATAGGAACAGAAAGATGGGAAGGAACTGGAGGGTATGTAAAATGCTACAGAGATATCTGTATATATATTATTTAATGTGTATTATTAAATATATAATGTTAAATACCTGTTGCTAGGGTAATATGCTGCCTAGCAACTGTTGCAATGGTTTACTTGGGTTTTTAATGTCTTTAAATAGTATAGTGATAGTTCTGATGGCTTAAAACATTATTAAAACCCTTTTTAAATCATTTAAACTGAACAAGAAAGGTCAAATTAGCTTGTTACTAAGGTAGATCACTTCCTTAGCAACGGTTGCTAAGCAACGCCTTGAAATTTTGGGCACTACCCTTGAAAATGATCAGCATAGTCCAAAGAACATTTGTGCCAAGTTTCATGCTTTTTCCACATTTTGAGCAATTTTTGCACCAGTCATCTAGACTAATAAAACTGAAGTTACATATTTTGCAGTTTGGTTGAATTCTGAAAGGTTCAAATATTTTCAGAAACTTATATAACTGTATATTGATACTGTACAATAGCCATAATACATACCAATACAAAATAGGAAACTTTACTTTGTAAATGAATTTGTCCATGACTCACACAAAAAAACCAAGCATATAAGTATAACTTTGGTATGACATAGCATTATTTTGGGAGTATAAGCTGTACAAAATACATGTAGCACATTTTTGACTGAAAAGATAATGAATTTACAGCACATTAGTAATTTTTTCTGACCTGCTGTCACTTAATGCAAAACTAAGTCTTTCTTTAATATGCTTTTCATTCTTTTAAAAAATTATTTATTTTATTAATTTTTTGTTAAATAAGAAATGCACCAGAGAAATTTTCATCATTTTAAAAATGTTTCACCCTTGCCAATCATTGTTTCATATCATCCTTCACGCTTGCTTTAGTTTATGCAGTCATTTGTAGTTACTATATGCAAAAAGTGATTTTAATTCTACTTGCTTTCTTGCCCTGTTGTGGACTCCAGTGTATAAACACAGTCAACTACGGCAGTTGGTAGAACACTTGGGTTTTCTTGGAATAAAGAATTTTCAAGACTATTATTATGCTCATTTTGTTTACTTTACTTCAAAAGAGAAGAAAACGAAAATAACTTGGAAATAAAAGAAAAAGAAAAGAAAATGGGCAATTAAGAGACTAAGGAAAGCAATTGAAAGTTTTTTTGTAAAGAAGCATATTTATTTTAAAAGCAAAGGTTTATGCATGTAATGTGAAAAGGTCAAAACAAAAGAAACTAAGCTATTTAACAATTTATCAAATGAGGTACTTTTGTGAAAATATTTTTCCTCCAGATAGCGCCATAGTGCAGTCTGGTCTGTCAAAGGTTGGTAAAAACTGCTCAGATAAAAGCATGCAGTTGACCATGTTAGGATAGCCAGTGACCTACATAGTGTCGTCACTTTTGGGATGGGGTTGGGTCTGGCATTATTTTTCAAATATTTTCAGATATTTTTCCAAATTTTGAACACTTATGCACACTATGCATCGTGTCTTTTTTATTTATTGTGCATGATGTTCCACCTATTAGATGAAGATGAGGGTTGAAAAAAAAGCCCCCACATCACCCTGACCCTTCCCCCATGAATCTAATTGAACCCAACTGGGCAAGAGATGTCACTTTTTGTTTAGTGTTGCGCGAGCCGGGAGTGGACGTGAGGCGGCCAAGATGCAAAATATATACGGATATTTTGACTCCAGCCGATACGGTATACTTAGAAAACTTATAGATGCTAAGCATTTGATGATAACTTAATTGTGATATGTTTTTAAAAAACATTTTGATGTCTGCATGATTTAAACTACATGTAGTTCTGGGCATTCCCATATTTTCCCCGCGTAACCTTTGCTACGTCCATTTAATTTTCATATCTTCATTGTCAATGAAAATGAAATGTTCAGTTACTCCTAATGTTAACTTTTCTTAAAGCCGTCGGTAGAAATAGCAGTGGTAGTTCAAGTTTTGCGTGAGCCGTAGCCAAGAAGGGGAAAATGCTGTGGAATGACCTTGATTGAACACCTAGCTTTTGGTAGGGGAGACCGGGGCTAGTTGGCCCAGTTAGACACTTTTAGCCTTGTAGAGCCAACTAGGAATGAGTTAGAGTAACAAAACCGGTTTTAAAGTAAGCCCCATGAACTAAGCTACGTATGCAACGTCATTATTTTTCAAATATAATGCCAGATGGCTCACAATTTGACAAAAAACGCAGTTGGCCCCAGTGTCGGGGCAAGTTGGCCCCCTATACAAAAATGAAGTAAATTTACCATGTAAACGCCTTGAATTACATTATTATACATTTTTAATTTATTAAATTGATTTTTGAGATTCTTTGATGAATAAATAGTTCAAATGAGGCAGATTTATTGAGGTTTCCGTACGTCACGTTGTAGTCGGTCTATGTGTTGCAAGAACCAAAATATCTATCAACAGAATTTGTTTTGTTTTAATAAAGAATAAATTAATGATGGTATAAAGCAGGTTTTTAGTGAAAGAAAACGAATAATAAATTTTCGTTTAAAAAGAAAGGAACAAATTCAGTTTTAAATCATCGAGTTTGTTTTAACCTAAGATCTAATAAACGGAGTATTAGATCTTAGTTTTAACAATGGTCTCTAGCTCTGTTGCGCGCAAAGGTTTGTGGGTAATATGATGGTCCAACTTGCCCCGAGTCAAGGGGGCCAACTAGCCCCGGACGCACACTTTTTATTTTAAAGGATGGCAGCCATTTATGGTGCTAGAATGAGCAACGATGATACATCTCTGTGAAACTTGAAACAATGAGCTTCAGTTTGATGCCCTATACATATATTATATTTGATCAAAAGCCTATGAAAATAGATTTTTAAATCTCTTAAACAAAACTACTTTTAGGTGCAAAAATCGTTTATTTCGACTCACCGCTTAAGTAAAACTTTTTAACGTCCGACACTTCCTTAGCATTGTAGGCTACAGTCCCTTTACAAGAGTATGTGGCCAATTTTTTTTTACCCCGTAGTTACTTTTTCATAAATTGACGGGGGGCCAACTTACCCCGGGGTCCAACTATAGCCCCGGTCTCCCATACCCTGTATATTGATATTTATTGAGTCGAACTCAAGACCAGTAACAGGTTTCCATTTCCGAATTAAAGATCATAATGATACTCGTAGGTATACATGTAGCAGTATAATTTCATTTTCAATTTTGGGACGGTTTCAAAAAGTAAATGTAAAACTTAAATATTTCTTGACAGGTTAGATCAACCTTTGAAGGCATAGGGGCAAATTGAAAGCGCAAAATACCGGTACTGTTTGAATCTGATTTTGATCGTACTCGATACTTCTATTCATTCCTAACATGTTAACGTCAAACTGTTCATTCAAAACGTTCTGTCCAAAGACATTTTCCATATGATCTTAACGAACGCGACATCTGGACTTTTGAAGTCTTTACAAATAAAACATTTCATATTTGACCCCCCCAACCCCCTGTAAATCCGCCACTGGTTACCATTTCGGGCTCTTTACATAATGTGAAGACATGGTAAAAATTTAAAAAACAAATTAAAATAGAGACAGTGGTAGATTTTTGTTCTATGCACATTTATGTTTTAAAAAATTGAATATAAGTTTGAATTCATTCTATTTTATTTTTGGACACTACAGTATGTAAAATACACCTCTATATTGGGTTTGGGTGTAAAACGTTGTCTTCAGAGCAGATTCCACCAAATAGACCATTCACGAATGTAGTGCTGTGAGAAAAGTTAATGATTTTTTTCCCAATTTTTTCCTGACATTTCTTGTGTGTTTTGCTAGAGTTAATTCTGGTGTCAACTAGCAGGCTAAGGTGTTAACTATGCATATTTTTTCAGGACCAGACACGGGTGTCGTGCAGTGTGGGGAATCACTGGCGGAGGACTGAGCGGTGCAGTGGTTTGTTTACAAACAAGAGGGGTCCACGTGATAAGAAAAGAAGCTTTTCAACAGTAAATCTTTGTGCCATTGGAAGTTATGTCAGGTCCATGGTGTTAGGAAATGTTTCATTTAATCATTTTGTTCATGCAGTTTTGCAGGCATTTCTTAGTATGGGCGTCAATGGGAAATTATTTGGTGGTTTCTGCCCTGAATTCCAAGGGCGTGATGCATAGCAATAACATTCAATAGTATGCATAATTACGATCCACAAATGAAATGGGTTGTCTTTTCATATGGTTTTTAATCAAGATATTTCAAAATGTCTTCTGCATATTTTGATGAAATTTTCAAGACGCACAGTTATTCAGATGGGAAAGAAATTATTACAATTTCGACTGAATCTGGGTTTCCTCGTATTTTTATATTTATTATTATTCAGGACCGTAGCCGGGGGGTTCGGGGGGTTCGAAAGAACCGCCCCCTTTGTCAGGAAAAGGTCCATTTTGGGTAAAATTTGATCTAGGTACACATAAGTTTCATAGTAAAAGGTCCACTTTTTCAGAAAAAGAACCCCCCTTGTGATTTTGCTGGCTACGGGCCTGTTATTATTATTATTATTATTATTATTATTATTATTATTATTAACTTACCATTACATGATGGTCTGCATTCTAGGAGTATTCTCTAAGCATGTTATTAATTCATTTTGGACCATGTTTAACATAAGACAACCTCGACTTATTTCCTGCTTGCCTATATTTTGGACAAGCCAATGCGTGCTTAAATCACTCTATCCCGTGTGATATATCATTGATTAGTAACAATAGTAGCCTGTCAGTTTAACTCAAAAATTGCAAAAATAATTTTCTCATTTCAGAAATCTTCCGAGGTACAGCTCAACATGCGCCTGCTAGCAGCCTTACCTTTAGTTCACATCCAGGAACTCTACGCCTATTCAGGCATTTATTTTATGAGAATTGAATAAATATATTTGTCTGGGATTTTTTTTATATTTTGATATGAAAAATTATGATAATGATAATGATAATAGATAGAAAAGGAGAATGAAGATATAAATATAATAACTGTTTCAGCAGTTTCAAATTCAATCTACCGAATATAATCTGTAAATATTGCCCTTGGTATTGCTTTGACGATTTGCGTTGGTACATGAAAATATTTGAAATTGAAATGGTTTAAAAGCTTTGCAAACGTACCTTGTATTAAAAAACGATTGTATTTGAGTACTTAAAAATCTAAAGTCTGCTGCAAGGCTGTAGGCGAATCAAAAGATTTTAAAACTATAAACGCACATTTATAAAGTGTAATTACAAACCTGCTTTTTGGAGTTCAATTTTGTTTCTAAATTTTGTTCCATGTCATGATATTTTCAATGTACTTTAGAACAAATTTGTCTATCCTCCGGAATGACATTTCCTCACTTTTAATAATGTAATTCATCGCTTTTTTATAGGACATTTTTTTTGCTACCGCCAATTTGACTATTTGAATACTTGCATATTTAATTCTATTACAAATCTGAATAAAATTATCAAGTGAAAAAGATTTTGCCGCTTTTTAGTAAATGACATCGGAATTGGGCCGTTTTATTTTGATGATATAGTACTGATCACATGCCTCCTAGTCCATTTTTTAAATTTTATTTATTTGTATACATTTTGCTTGGTCTATTCGAAATAATATTCTAATCAATGCACAATTCCTTCATGTATTTGAAAACCAATTTTGAATTCCAAATAGTCCTATGCAGTAAATGCTCTTACAATATTTTATCGTCTCACTTATCACCCCTAAAATGTAATTGATTGGCCCTACCTGTCACCCCTCAAGACGCAATGGACTCTTCCCACCTATCACCCCTTATATTTAAATGGACTCACCCCACCTGTCACCCCTTTAAATTGAATGGACTCTTCCCACCTGTCACCCCTCAAAACAAAATGGACTCTTCCCACCTGTCACCCCTTTAAANTCAAGACGCAATGGACTCTTCCCACCTATCACCCCTTATATTTAAATGGACTCACCCCACCTGTCACCCCTTTAAATTGAATGGACTCTTCCCACCTGTCACCCCTCAAAACAAAATGGACTCTTCCCACCTGTCACCCCTTTAAATTGAATTGACTCGCCCCACCTGTCAACCCCTCAAAAACAAAATGGACTCACCCCACCGGTCACCCCTAAAAAACAAAGTGAACTCTTCCCACCTGTCACCCCTTTAAATTGAATTGACTCGCCCCACCTGTCACCCCTTAAAAACAAAATGGACTCTTCCCACCTGTCACCCCTCAAAAAAAAAATGGACTCTTCCCACCTGTCACCCCTTAATTTTGAATGGACTTGCCTCACCTGTCACCCCTCAAAAACGTATAGACTCGTCCCACCTACCTTCCCTCAAAAACAAATGGGCTCACCCAACCTATCACGTTCCAAATATACGTTGTTCTTAAAATCTAGAGTATTACTTTCACTTCTGTATCTTTAGGATCAAACTGAAAACGTCTTCAAAAAGCGTATTTATTCATGTAAAAATGACCGTCATTCACAAATGTCAGAGTACAGTTACAAATGATAAAATAAAATTTTCCTCTACAATGTACATCATCATAACGAATAATAAAGTAGTGAATTATAATAAATAATTGTACTTTGAGATTATATTATGGCTTTTCATAGTATAGTATAGCTTTATTTTATGAAACTATGGCATAACATGAGAAAATTGAAGAGAAACTGACCGGTCAAGTGGAATCAAATTAAATTAAAGTTTTATCATATAATTATATTTATTTTATTATTTATATCGATCAATCCTTATGGCATGATTTGATAATTAAAACAATTGATGTCTGATTTTAAGGAAAATGAAACACGACCATTGATTCAATCTCAGTGCGCCGTGTCAGTATGCAGAAAATTTAATATAAAACTAGCGATTTGAAAATCATGAACGATTGTCAACATGTAACTTTTGCATGTGCCAGTCCGTGTCCTGTTCCAAAATACGGAAGACTACGGCAGCTTCGTTCAGTCGTATGTGCATTTTGCAGTATCTTGGCAAAGTATCTTGGCAGTGTTCTGAAATATGAAAATAACACACGTTATTGGCATAATTAAATATCCCCATGTCATTTAAACTTAGGTAAAATGATAATGGAAGAGGCATGCAGTCCAAGATCCCAAATTATCCGATATTTCACAAATTTCAATGGATGTTGTACATCCATTTCTACTACACTACGAGAATGACATGGAAAAACGCGACAGAATTATTAGAAAGCGTTCTCAAAGTAAAGGTTTAAACGAATACGAATTATTCCGTCAAGGAACAGAATTCATTACTGAACTGAATAAAGATTTTATAGAAGGCAAATGAAATAATGCATAATTTAGTTTTCTCGTGAACAATTAACAGATCTAATAATGAACAGCTCAACATTCATATAGTTCAGGAATACGACAATCAAAATAATACTAGCCAGAATTGAAAAAAAATTAAACCCATGACTAGAATTAATTGATTGGAAAGCGAGTCATTCTACTTGGCAATTTTTTTGACATTTGTTTAGTGGTCTTGTAGCTGATCTCAAATTTCATTGTGTGACATTTTTGTTCAAATTTGATAGCGTGAGCAATACTGAAAATTCAAAATGTATACAATATCATGTTAGCGTTATCCCCGCACGAACGCGCCTCGTTCAATATCGTCGTGCTGTTGTGCGCACAAAAAGGTAGCCAAAAATAATTAATTAGGTAAGATTCGTATGTGTTTTACTCTTCGATAGATGTAGCTAAAGTTTTACAGCATTTGTTTTCTTCACTTCTTATGATTTATCCATCCTAAAATCGGTAATTTTGAGCGATGGCTATTTGAAAGTGCAAAACGTGCGAATGGGGCAGGCATAATCCTTGACCATGGTCAGTATACAAACTTGTCCAAGTCATGGTAATTTTTAAGAATGATATGCGAACAAAACAGAAAACGTAACACAACATGAGTTCCCTTGTATTAACTTAACACATTCTTTCAGAAAATGCTGAAAATTAACTTTGTTCTCCCGTATTCAGTGATCAATCAACCCTAGGGAAAAAAAGCCACACAGGATGTGAAAGACCGACATCTAATCAGGCCTTGTCTTCTCAGTCAAATAATAGAATTCAGAAAGTGCCAATTACACAACCAACCTTAATTAAAACTCCAACCTGCAAATGTTTTTTACAAGTTTTGATAACCAAATTATCAAGCCAGTTTTGATAATAAAATATCAAACGGATCTGCAACAATTTGTATATAATAAGGATTTTTCGAACATTTGAAATAAAAAAAGAAAATGATGAACGTCAGTCCTACAAAGACCTCTTTAATGTAAAATGCCGAAATCAAACACTTTCAAACACTTTTTTCTTTTATGAACATTTACCATATCTGCTTTGGAAAATTGGTAGAAAGCAAAGGCAACGCACAAATGGGCTCAATGCCGATGATGAAATTCTGGTTGCAACCGTTTACCTTATCGAGTACGCAAAAAATTATCCTATGCAAAGGAAGTTGCACATCAATTTTGTGAGAAATCCACCCTACCCGGTTTCATTTTCTTAAAACAAATATTTTGGACTCCTCCAAGCAGTAATAATAAGGGTCTTTCATTGATCAGATGCACAATATCAAAACACCGAGAACCAAAGAAAGCTTAATCATAACTTGCGTCACAATCGCATATTAACAGTTTTAGAAATAACTCTTCAATACGTGTGGGCAATTCCGTGATAACTTCCGTACATTCTGTCTGTTTCATCATGCTGTAACTGTTGTAATTTAGATTACCAAATTGTAGTTTTCCTCTTCAACCGAACACGCACTGTTTCTCTCCCGAAAGAAGTTTTCTCTTTGCATTTTACGTGATGGGGTTGCCACAACTTTTTATCTGATTCGTCATTATGTCCAACCCAGCAGGCATAGTTGCGTTGTATCAACGTTGAAAACAGGTTGATACGTTGAATTGCCGTTGATCTACCTAAATTCAACGTCAAATCAACGTTGATCCAGCCACGTCAAAACACCGTCATAATGTGACGTTGACTCAACGTTGTATTTTGGTCAATGACACAACCTTGCAGTTATAGATTGTAATTTAAAATATTAATTATTGAAAACGTGATACTTTGTTTATCAATACTGTAACTAAATTTATCAAAATAATAACAAAATGGTTTTAAAGTAAAATTGACAGTTGTTTTGTGTCTTTAGTTAACTAGTGAATTTTCTTATCTTGTTATTCAGAAATACATTCCAATAAACTGAATTGCTTGCAAGGTCAGCTAACACTAGGATGAATACGTTGCTGTAAATGTGATGGAGTTAACAGTCTTGGTAACCTGTTATAGATAGACAGGTTGCGGTGACTGTGACTTTGTTATATATAAATATATATATATATAGTTGTAGTTATCTTCTGTAATATATATAAGAAAAAGACTATACATATTAATCTAAATCTTGGAAATTCTAACTTAAAGGCCATACATTTATACCCTACATATATTTAGCCATCAAACATGTCCTACTGCTAAACACNTTAACTTAACACATTCTTTCAGAAAATGCTGAAAATTAACTTTGTTCTCCCGTATTCAGTGATCAATCAACCCTAGGGAAAAAAAGCCACACAGGATGTGAAAGACCGACATCTAATCAGGCCTTGTCTTCTCAGTCAAATAATAGAATTCAGAAAGTGCCAATTACACAACCAACCTTAAATAAAACTCCAACCTGCAAATGTTTTTTACAAGTTTTGATAACCAAATTATCAAGCCAGTTTTGATAATAAAATATCAAACGGATCTGCAACAATTTGTATATAATAAGGATTTTTCGAACATTTGAAATAAAAAAAGAAAATGATGAACGTCAGTCCTACAAAGACCTCTTTAATGTAAAATGCCGAAATCAAACACTTTCAAACACTTTTTTCTTTTATGAACATTTACCATATCTGCTTTGGAAAATTGGTAGAAAGCAAAGGCAACGCACAAATGGGCTCAATGCCGATGATGAAATTCTGGTTGCAACCGTTTACCTTATCGAGTACGCAAAAAATTATCCTATGCAAAGGAAGTTGCACATCAATTTTGTGAGAAATCCACCCTACCCGGTTTCATTTTCTTAAAACAAATATTTTGGACTCCTCCAAGCAGTAATAATAAGGGTCTTTCATTGATCAGATGCACAATATCAAAACACCGAGAACCAAAGAAAGCTTAATCATAACTTGCGTCACAATCGTATATTAACAGTTTTAGAAATAACTCTTCAATACGTGTGGGCAATTCCGCGATAACTTCCGTACATTCTGTCTGTTTCATCATGCTGTAACTGTTGTAATTTAGATTACCAAATTGTAGTTTTCCTCTTCAACCGAACACGCACTGTTTCTCTCCCGAAAGAAGTTTTCTCTTTGCATTTTACGTGATGGGGTTGCCACAACTTTTTATCTGATTCGTCATTATGTCCAACCCAGCAGGCATAGTTGCGTTGTATCAACGTTGAAAACAGGTTGATACGTTGAATTGCCGTTGATCTACCTAAATTCAACGTCAAATCAACGTTGATCCAGCCACGTCAAAACACCGTCATAATGTGACGTTGACTCAACGTTGTATTTTGGTCAATGACACAACCTTGCAGTTATAGATTGTAATTTAAAATATTAATTATTGAAAACGTGATACTTTGTTTATCAATACTGTAACTAAATTTATCAAAATAATAACAAAATGGTTTTAAAGTAAAATTGACAGTTGTTTTGTGTCTTTAGTTAACTAGTGAATTTTCTTATCTTGTTATTCAGAAATACATTCCAATAAACTGAATTGCTTGCAAGGTCAGCTAACACTAGGATGAATACGAGGATCAGAGAGGCGATACCGCTTCCGAATATTGTACCACCAGCTGGAGCAAGCGCATTCGTATAGACCCCCACATACACAAAATAAGGGACACAGCCACCAGTCTTGTGCTTGACAAGCTGTAAACATGCAATCAACAAGAATTTTCAATATATGCAAAAAATATATGAAACTAAAATTGGTACAATCAAATTTAAGTTCATCGTAAGGTAGGTGAAAGGTCATTTTCAAGGTCACAGTAAATTGCCAGTATATGACTTCCTATTCAAGTTCAATAGTAACTATGGACCTATCTCTGCCAGTTTTAGAGATAAAAGGGAAGCAAAATTTGCAAAATTCAGTTCATGGTGAAAAGTAGGNAAGTTGCTGTAAATGTGATGGAGTTAACAGTCTTGGTAACCTGTAATAGATAGACAGGTTGCGGTGACTGTGACTTTGTTATATATATATATATATATATATATATATATATATATATATATTTATATAGTTGTAGTTATCTTCTGTAATATATATAAGAAAAAGACTATACATATTAATCTAAATCTTGGAAATTCTAACTTAAAGGCCATACATTTATACCCTACATATATTTAGACATCAAACATGTCCTACTGCTAAACACATCCAGGCTAATTTCCCGCTGGGTGGGGTTGATATAACCTTGTTTTCTGACGTTGATACAACGTTGTTATCTGAGGTTGACACAACTTTCAAATCCAACGTTTATTCAATGTCTACTCAACGTTATGGTTCAACGTTGTTTCAACGTTAAAACAACATAATTTGCCCGCTGGGAAGCTTCTATCAAGAACGTCCTTGCTACTATTTACAGTGAATTAATATGATACCAATAACCTAAATTTTATTCCAAGGAACCAAAATGGAATGTTTTCAAGTTCAGGACAAACCTTTTAAATTTTAATGACCTTATACCAGACGTTTTAATTGTTATATTTAGAAGCGAATAAAAAATATCTTGAACACTGAAACTGAGTGAATTTGTTCTTACCTGCAAGCTCAAAAAAAGGTTAGTTCGGTAGAGAAACATTTATATGTTATCAGTTTCTTTAATAAAAGTGGTATTTTTGTTTTAGAAAACAAATAGCTGTGGTTGTGATATAAAAGAGTGCCCTAGAGCCTAACAATTTGAAAATATAGTTACCTCCTAAAATCATTTAAGTCGGAAGCAGCATTGGGTATTTTTAACAGCGGGAATTAGCCTCTAACATCTTTATTGGGAAACGAGTTCCCTCTGGAAAAATATCAGATGATAAATTATTTAAACTTCAAGCTGATTTTGGACTTTTATGGGAAAGCATCGTTCACGTCAATAAACTGTCACCATGCTCGTCATACTCAGAGTGCGAAAGGTATCATTTTGGATAAATATCATTAACGCAAAGAAAAGCAATGTTATCTTACAACATTTATACGTACTGCTGTCGTTTTTACTGGCAAATTTTCGGCTAACATGTAGAAATATTGAAGCAACGTGGCATGTTGCTTCCTTCCATCTTCTTCTGACCTTGGTCATATCTGAACACCTCTCACCTAAAATGCTCACCTGATTTACATAATCATATACAGTTCACTCACTTTCCGTACCGAAGTCTCGATGTAAAATTTAGTCTTTAATATTATAAAGTGTAAAGAATAGCAATCCCGGGAAAGCGATTCGCGTTTGCTGAAATCATATTAAAATGAATGAATGGTTCCAAAAACGAGATGCAGTTTTACCAATTTTACCATCAGGTTACCGTGTAATCATATCATCTTGAAAAATAACAGAAACGTTAATTTTTTTGATGTATGAAATATTTATAAACTATAATCTCTTTTCTATTCGTAAAATAAAGAAATATACAGTTCCAGGAGACAGTTTCCCAGCAGAGCTTAGGGAGGAAACAAGAAGTAACCGGCTTTTTAACGCATTCGATCAATATGTGCAAAACTTCCCTTCTAATCTCAGGGGTACCCATTGCGATAGGGATAATCGTTTACTAATTTTACGTTAGGCAATAATAATAATAATATTAATAATAATAATAATAAACTTCTCTGTCGCAATTCGTGTGCCCAAAACTTCCCTGCATCTTGAGTCTGATAGAAAAGGAAAACCAGTTATCAAGCTCTATAAGGGTGGCAATTGCATTTTCTTTTGGATAAAAGATAGGGTTGCATACAAATCGAGTCAAAAGGACCTTAAAACCAAAAGTCAAAACCCGTAAAAAAATTTAAACTGCAGTTTTTGGGCGCTTGTACATTAATGTTCAGACTTATAAGCTTAAAAAATAGCACTTGTGAAAATATGCTCTTCCAAGTGAATGCAAAAAAAAAAATAATAATAATAATAATAAATAAATAAATAAATAATAATAATAAATAAATAAATAAATAATAATAATAAATAAATAAATAAAAAAAAAAATGAAATAAAAATTCATCTTGAAAACCAATGTTGAATATTTCTTTTAAATTTGTTTCAAGTGCAACCAGAAAACAATGTTTTGTCTGGGTCCAGGCCAAAATACTAAGAGATCTGTCCAATTTGAGGCTTCTGGCTTCCCCAGAAACCATATAATAATCAAATTTGACAACAAGTACTTCCAGAGAAAAAAAAAACACTTTTTTTGGAGGGGGGAAGGGGGGAGAGATTCCAAGTGAAGTGCATCTCTCCGGATAAATGAGGAGAAAAATCAAACTCTGAACCATGTCCGAATATATTTTATTCTTCCAGACCTCTGCTCTTAATGTTTGCTGAAGTAAAGCATATCCAAAAAAATATATAAACCATTTAGAGTTTGATTTAACTGCCAAGTGTTAGGACTTCAGTTTCCTTTTCTTAATATATATATATTTATGTATAAGCCGACAGATATACAGAAATATTTTGAATGAATAAGTACCAGCAAACAAAGACTTCTCCCATCACTATACATCATTTCAACTCCAAACTTGAAAAGAATCCAATAATGCTTTAACTATAAACAACCTTCCTTTGTCATCAACTGGATTTCACATTGAAAAACGACACTTATATAATTTAATATTATTACTCTACACAGTATGCCAGCATTACTTCATATAAAATAATATATTTCAGAGTAACAACTGCATGCAGACATGATAATCAATATATGGAACTTCACACTGTTTCATGCATCTTTTCATAATCTTTTGGTGATAAATCTAATAACGTCTTCATATTTCTGTACATGAGAAACAGCCATCGTCATTTCATCAATATAAGCCCATAAGCTACACTCAGTGACGAAGCATTCACATATACTTGTATGATATAATCTATCACAGACAAATGTACACGTAACAGGCAGTCTCCAGCATAACAAGGTTATGTATAACCACAACGATATGTCACAGTGATTATGTGTTTTCACTCTTAATACATTTACATGAATCCTCATGATACAATATTGGGCTTATACACCTTTCTCACTAATTGATTACAATAATTAGTATGCCAATTTTAAGAATGTGATGAAGTATTTGATAAGCCAGTTTGTGGGAGTTTTCAGCACATACATAAACACACACTATTCAAATAAAAATAAATAAAACTCTACAAATTGTGGCAATAAAAAAGTTCAATCAGTAACTAAAAGCTCTAATATCTAAATGCTCTATAACTGGTCAAAAATTTACACCCTCTGAAATTATTGGACGGACAAAAGTCAACTGACACTTGATTAGTGCTTTAATGTAAAACAGATCTCATATACTTCAAACAGCTGCTTTAATCTATGAAAGAACCTAATACTTTTGATAAATAAGAATATCTAATACTGTTATTTTGTTCTGCCAAATGTAAAGAGAGAAGGGAAAAAACTCAACATTTAGGTACAAAGACAACTACCTCTCTCTCTTCACATTATCAAACTAATTGTTGGACTGGGCTCACACTTAAGATCAACTCAAGTCAAATAGCCCTAGAAATTTTACCAAATCAATATTTTGTGTACAATTGAAAACTGGCAAGAAAAGAAAATCTCCAATCATCATTTGTTATCCTTTACCAAGAATAAAAGGTACTGATATCTATATTTCTAAACTGACCAGGGGAAAGAAACAGTGGACTGAAAAACATGATTTAAAGGAAAATTCTCTTATTATCATTTTAGGGAAAAGAGATGATGTCCTCTGTTGATACCAGTTATACCATGTCCATCTGTCCTTAACTTCATAGTAGGCACTGTAGGATTATCACAATTTACAAATGCAACACAGGCAAATGGTGCCTGGGTCCAATATATAAATAGAACCCAAGATAGTCAATTAACAGCTACTGTTAAATGTACTCTCCCCTTTCATTTAATAGTATTTGTCGACTGTCAACAATACAACTGTCAGAAATTAATGGTGTCAAGTATTAAGTAGATTGAAACCCTGTGGAATCTACCCAGAAGTAAAGCTGCATACCCATATGAAACTACACAATATGAAAAATCTTACATTTTGAACTGTATTAATAAAATACTAATAATAGATAATAAGTGCTGAACAGTGTTCCTAGAATGACTCCGATGTTTATGGTTTTATTTGAATGTATTGCAAGAATGAATACGCTGTTTGAAACCACCACTGTCCCTGAACACCTCAAATCTTACACCTTCCATCCACATCCAGAGACACTGTCATATGCTGAAGAATCATTTCTCCTTAGTCTAATGAAATCATGCACTGTCCATGAGGTCCAGTAAGTCGTCACCACCACCATTGTCTTGGTCATCGCTGGCAACATTCAACTCACCCATGATCTTATTTAGCTCTTGATTTTGTTGCTTCTGCAATGCCATGAATGTAGTTTAAACACTGTGACAAGTTGTAAATGTTATCATAATTTATCATGCGCATATCACGCATGTACAGGAATATACATGCTGTGTGTGTTTGCATTTCAAAATAGAGAGTGATTTAAGATGAAGCCAATACTTCTCACTTAAAAATGACATGACAAAAACTGGCAACAATGTGTGTTTAATTAAGTCGTACTTAATTATATGTCAGAGGTACCAGAATTTCTTACCTTAGTAGCATCTATATTGATAACCTGTGACCCTGGTTCCTCTGCTGGCCTTAGTGCAGCCGCTTCTCTGGAGAAATGAAGATGTAATCACACAAGAATGGCACGCATTTCAAACCAAAATACCACACATTTTGGACATCAAAGGAACTTGACAGCAACACACTTGCTTTCTCAATAATAAAAATTGCAAAGATTTCATGTTATTTACATTAATCTCCAGACTCGTCCTGAAGTAGCCATATACTTACTCCTCCTCTGCATCAGTGGTGAATAAATTTAATCTGAATTCCGATTTTTTGGTTGTCTTTTTCTCCCCACCACCAATAAGCCTTGAAAGTAAATCTAGTTGAGCTTTTGCCATTGGATTAGGCCCATGGTCCTGGAAAAGTAACCATATGATATTAGCGCAGCTGCAGACAAAGGAAACATGCTGTAATTCTTGGAATAATAGATACTTAGATTGAATCCTATTGAATAAGCCTCAACATGCATCCGTAATTAAGCTTATGAGCCTGTGAGGTTGTTCACACACGTGTGCATGTGCTTGCATGTTTGTATATGAGTAGCACATCTTCACATTGTGGTAAGTTTATAACAGATAGGGACTAAAGGTAAAAAAGAAGTAAACAGAAATTGCAATACCTAACAATATTACACATATCTCCAGATAGTCTGCTGCATTAATTATTTCAAAGACATTAATCGTATCAGGTATGTGAGTGAAAGGCAAAAAAAATCTGAGAATCCCCTTAAAAACCACACTCAAGGCCCAGATCTGGTCAGAATTAAATCTCCCAACATCATGTAATCCAGTAAATAATTTATCAATTACACATCTTATGCATATAGCATACTCCATAATTACCATGTCTGTTGCTGAAGAAGTTGTGGAGCCAGGTTTTGAAGGTCCACTGCCTGCCATTGCCTCTACACTGCTTTTAGCCACATTGTACCTGAGGGGTAGGTATGATATAAAATATACTTCAAAACATACTACCTAGTCAACAAAGACATATCTTCTACATCTATGCTTGCAAATACATTAGTGCACATGGTTCATCATATGCAACACCTAAGCAAACAACTCTAGATTACTATGGAGTCATATTCTAAATTTGAATTCAATTGAAGAAAAATGCTATAAATTAGGCAAGAAGTATGTTCCCAATTCTGAGTTCTCGAAGCTTACATGTTGGTCCCCAACTTCGTCTCCCTGTTTCCTTTCATATCAGAGCTGCCTTCTTTCTCTGTCAGTTTGTATGGCCCAGCTGCGTAGAATGAACTGGTCTTTACTTGGTCACCTTGAGAGTTAAATATTCTGGAGAAAAGAAACACAAAATAAACATAACAAAATATTAGAAAAACAAAATTCTGTGTGCTGAACTGTCTCAGTAAACTCCCCAGTAGACAAATATTCATTCAAGATTAATCAACTGAGAGTATAAATGAAATAAGGTGACTGTGTTATTTCATCATTGGCTAATCTCATAATGAACTTCCAGGGAGAATCAATCTCAGCTCAATACAATGTAATACTATTACATAATGTACAGATCCTGGTGTGTTAACATTGGCAAAATTTATTAAAAGTTTAAACCCTAAAAACTTATCTCCCATTTTCTCGACGCATTTAAACCTTATGAAAAAAAAAAAAAAAAAGATCAAAGTGAAGATTGAAAATCCTGAACTCTGGCATAATCTTTTTTTTTCAAATGGTCATTTTTTGAATTTTTTATTCTACCTGTGTGTTCAACATGCTCATGTGAAAGGTCTGACAATGCTATGAATGCAAGTGGGTTGCAAGCAGCATGTGATAGGAAGTTGAGTGTGACAGTGTGTTAGTTGTGATAATGTGTCACGTAAGACTTAATACAAACCTAATCGTTCCTGGCATTTCTGTCCCATATGGTAAAGCCCCAGAAGTGGACAATACAAACCGCCCATTAGAATTTTGAACTTTGTCTTTTAGGAATATTGACACCTAGAAAAAATCATCCCTCAATAATACTGGATCCTTTTATCTGTAATGCTCAACAGAATGAAAATTCCACTGACAGATGAGTGACAATCCATGTTAATCTAGCTAATGCATGCCCTTTGGCAGTACAGATCTCAACAATTAAATCAATGATGCGTTAGTGCATTGGCATGGCCCTGGTTGAGGTTTATATAGAAAATAGTTCAATAATACATGAAGCAACAAAATGGGAACACTTATATGGCTCTAGGTAAAGATTATGAAATAGTTTGCTTACATTAACAGCATTACTTCTACTGCAGTAAGTCAATCTGATACATTGGCTTGGAATAAGAAAATCAATAACTCCACAAATCTGATGAGTAATTAATTGGAATTCCAATTCTCCTTCTAGTGTTTAACTAGTTCAAGCCTGCTTATATTTTTGTGACTTGTATCTTAAAACAAAATTATAACTTACTCTTATATGCATATCTTGGAAGAAAATTAATAACGTCTGCCTAATCAACTGGAATTCACCCAAAGACATACTGCCAAAGTTCTGAAGAGAAAAATGAAACAATAAAATACAAATTTTGAAAAATGACCCCTGAGAGGATGTGACAAAGAATTACATAAAATGAATCTGTTTTTACAATTTTTTGTGCTTTATAAAATATTTATGCAATACTATGCATCTGATGAGGTTTTACATTTGTAAGTGTATATAGAAAACCAAGTATTAAAATGGTTCCAATTACTAAATCAAGATTGCCTATGAAGTATATGGTGATCAGTAATTGCTATGTTGCCAGCTTCAACTTGACATTTTGCCTGCTCATTAATCAAATGTGCTTTCACATTAATGGATAAAGGGAGAACAAAATACAGACTTTATGACAGCAACATTCAAAGAGAGAGAGAGAGAGGGAAGTATCTAAGAATCTTTCAAACCAGTGGTACAGTAATCAATATCATGCATCCAATAAAGATGAATTAATAAAAGTAGCTGTTATCTTTCTGCTAACTAGAGCAAAGGCCAGCATATCCTGGATACCTGATCAACACTGCTGAACACTAGCAACAATGCTTGACCACTCATCAAACATTTTGTTAACTGAGTCAGACAATTGTCAGCATCTGAAGCACACTAGGGTTTGTGCATACAAGATACACTATATGTTGTTCTTTCAGAAATAATAAATCTGTGTTGCGAAAAGAGAGTTCGGATTTCTGTCTGAAACAGACTTGTATTTCTGCATCAGAGAGTCAGTACTAGTACATGTTACTTTTTATAACTTGTATTTATAACTAGTTTTAAATGTAATTAGAGAGATTAACATGGTAAGTGAGGGTTCTGACTTCTAAAAAAAATTGTCACATGATCAAACTACCCAAGTTACATACATAAATGAAGGAAATATAGCTGGTGACCATTTCTGTTTCATCAAGTACTTCAATTCATCATCGCTCACTGAGAAACAAGCACATATTTGATAAAAACAGTGCTCAAATATTGTGAGCACAAATGCCTTTACAGATCTAAGGAAATGATACGGAACTGGGGTATATCCTGCAGATATGTACATAAACTAGGCAGAAGAAAAGTGGGTAAATACTGCCACTTCATCAAATATTCGATAACTTTGTGCTCGCACCTGACATCTTATCAAATAATGTTTAACAGGCCATAATGCTTCTTTTAAGAAAAAACGAGAGCAAATATAGCACAGCTTATCCTTATTTTATTTGTTGATATGTGTAAACACACTACTAATGGCATGTACAGAAATATCCCTTAGTGGTTAAAATCATTATCATGGGTTATAGAAAATGAAAAATATATATTAAACTGTCTCCATGATTATTTCCCTACAATTATGAAGTAGGGCCAATTTAAATATATTTTATGTTTATGCCCCAATAAATCATTTCAGTGAGGTCAGTTTACAGGACTCAAGATTTTTTCAGTGATTGCATTTTTGATCACTCATAACGAAAGATGACTTTTTTGTACTTTCCCAACTACTGTGTGCTATTTAGCTGGGAATGCATCAGTTGTCTCTAAATGTAACATGTGTTATCATGCTGAGTTCTGATATACATCCTGAAAATGTTTATAATATAAAGGAGCTGATGTGTTTTAAAACCTACCTGTTTAATCAGTGTATATACGTACTCCACCTGTGACTTGGCATTGGGTGCATCTTGAACAAAGGCGGCAATGGCATCCATGTGGTTCAGTGTGATCATGAGGATGTCGCGGGGACGTAGACACAAGGACACTTGGTATTTGAAGGCCATGGTCATCAGATCATACAGCTGCAAAACAATTGTGTAAAATAATATTTCATATATAGTACAAATTCATTCTCTTGACGAAGAATACAGCCAGCAAATGTAACTAAATCTAAATTAAGTTTTCAATTTTACTTATTAAAATATCAAGATATCAATGAACTTGCTGCCAAACTAAGACCCCATTCCCAAAGATTTTAGATCGATCTATCCCTGTGGGGAGTCTCACTAGATTACTGTCAGCTTAGCCGGCTTAAGCGTCTGTCCTGTCTACTAAAAGCTCTAAGGGGGTAATTAACTATGGTGTGCGCTCGGCTGACTGCAATTTAGCGTGAACCCCCAGGGAGTTAGGTCGATCTAAATCTCTGGATCGATCTAAATCTCTGGGAATGCACTCTAAGGCTCATTGTGGCAAATGGCAGATATATTTAAAACCTGGTCAAATTCTTCAGTATCTTTGGTAAATTATTTCTTTGTGACAGGGTAAAGGTATTATTGTGTGTGTGAATGCATGTGCGTGTGTGTGTGTGCCTGGGGGGGGGGGACTTTTCAAGAAAAACAGGCAATTCACAGGACTGATTCTTTTTCAAATACCTCATAATGTTTAAAATCAATCCCAATGCATTTTCTCCCTTTCAACAAAACCTATGTTTAAGGCTCATTCAATATTCTTTAAAGAAATTAAAAAAGCAATAAGCCACAAAATTGCTCTTACACTTGACTGAAAAACTAAAGCACTCAATGCCACGTCATACATATTTACAAATTCAGAACAATGATCAGTCAACAGTATGCATTTGGGTTTACTGCTAACACCTTGTAAACAACTACATCAATATAGGTCACAGAATATTGAATCTCAATAATAAACTCAAAGAGAAGGCCAATCTCTGCATTGTTTTCGGTTAATCTGCCACGAGAGCTGTGGACTTCAGACACCTCTGATACGGATAAAGTGCATTGATTTTAGGAAATGAACCATGCTGTGAGAAATGATACTTGGTATAATTTCTATCATGCGATCAACACTTTCCATTTACCAAGGCACTAAAGTACTGCTCACTTTCAATAGCTAAATATACAGATTGCTTGACGTTCAATGTGTTTAAAAGTCCCCATGACTTTCAGTGTCCCAGAAGTACAACTGACCACATACACTAAATTGAAGTCCAATTTTTTCTTTACCCTTGGGTCTAATATATGTTCAGTACTACATATATTCTGATCTTGCAACTGAAGTCTGAATAAATGCAATATTAAGGTATTAAAATGGTTAAGAAAATGTGCATGTGTCCTGCAAAAATATGTACTAGTACTTGCCAAAATGGTCTGAGATGTGCATTCTACTGATTACTGCCAAAGTGAACAACATTTTTTTCTTCAATTTAATTATTTTCAATGGGGTTATCGAAACAATTCCTTGAGCCCCCCTTGTTGACTCATAATACCTTGCTTTCATAAAGTCAAAACAAGAAAATATGAAATTAACACATTCTGTTTATTTGTTGCCCAAGCAGAAGAGTTCATAAATTGGACTTTTGGATGGGGGCCCAGGGAGGGAGGGAGTCCCTTGGGGTGACATTACTGTAGAGTCTAATACCATTTTGCACATGTGCAAGCATTTCATTTCTGTGCTGAAATGGCCCTAATGTCATGCTTACACATATGCAGAACTATAGTCCTGAAAAGTAATACGATCATCAAATATTATTATGTAAACAGAGAGCGTAAATTCATATACACAGGTTAGGGAGAAAAAAAGAGCATTCATGCTACCACATTCACAGGCATATTTGAACAAAAGCATTTACATAAATACCTTATCCATACTGGCTGCATTAAGTCGCATAATAGACGCATGTGCTAGACGATCAAATACCGTCCTCATGGCTTTGCGCGAATATAGCTCCTGTGGCTTGAACAGCTCTTCCATAAATCTCTTGTTGAACATTGTGGCAATGATATCATGAAGCACTGAAACATGACACGTTTCATAAATAATAAATAATAATAAAATAGGAAATAAATATCACGTCAAATTTTGAGGTGAAACAAACGTGTATGACTTAAATATATGACTAAGCTAAACATAGACTGCATTACAGAGATGAAAGAGATCCTTTTTTTAAAAATCTGGGGACTACAAGTGCCAAAGCCAAGCAAGTCTGTGTGGGGATACTGGGGACATAGATATAATACCCAAATACTGGAATAACCAGATAAACCTTGAAGACTTCCATCTCTAAATACATCATGATATCCCTTTATGAGAAATGAACTGAAAACAAAATGCTAAGAACTAAATCATGATAAGGCTTGTTGATTGGTTTGAAATGCAATGATTTAAGCAATCAAATAAATCTTAACTGATATATTGTAAATTTGGTTAAAAATAATCAACTCCTTCATTCAGTGTTTATAAAAAATGCCACAACTATATACATGTTGAGTTACATTGCTTTTCATATAGCACAAAGTGATTCAAAGTTTCAGGTCAGATGTGGGCAGATGACAACTCAAAACTTCCATTCTTCTTTTCATTTAAACAGAGATAAAATCATGGATATAACAACTTCAGTACTGCGGAACACACCAAACCCATAAACAGGGTTAGGTATTTATATTATGACCACAGCTGGAGTTGTATTTTTTACCCTGCTATGACTACCAATAAAATTTCACTGATTGGGCAGCAATCCAATATTGTAATATTTAAAGTAACAGTAACTCAACTACCATTTTTGCTATAGTATACTATATACTTTTGAGGCAGATTCAAAAACTTGGGTTTAAACTTTGTTAGAGTTCAGGGATTCATCAAATGTTGAATGTTACAGTAATATAAGTGACTAATTTGTTAGACTAACATTATCATCTTAATCTAGCAGATAACTTACTTCGGATCATGTTATGAGTCATGACCAAGAGAAATGCTCCAGATTTATCAAATCAGGACTGTTGGAAATGGGCAATGTTGAGATAAAAACAAACAAATCAATAAAATGCTATTCAATATCAAAGAATAGGTTTAATCTTCATATTATGGTAATATCACCATCATAATTACAGATTGCATAACACTTTAACTACCTTTTCCGATTTCCCATTATTTTTATTATATATGTTAAATATAATAACATAAACCAACAAGTCATCACACTGCTGAAGAGAGCACATTTCTTTTTGTTTGGAGTTGTGCTGACTTCCTGTGTAGCAATTTTAACTAAGTGAACAAAATATTCTTATTATTTGGATTGGGTTTAGACAAGGAATTAGACAGCATATTTAATTCTTTGGATTAGCCTATGTACAGTTTATTTTTTCCTCTCTGATTTATTTTTGTGTCAATCATTCTGTCATGGTGTAAAAAAGGACCATTAACGAGGAATTTTGTCAATCTAGCTAAGTGATTCAAAGTGACTCTTGCTGAATGCAGTCAGATTAATAGACTCACGTCTCCTCCTGGCATTGAAAAGAACATAGAAAACCTGGCGATTATACAATTAAGTTCTTTTGAAACAAGAGAAAGCCTGTGAGTCCATGAATCTGATTGCATTCAACAACAGTCTTCATGCATGGAGTTAGCATGAAAATTCATGCGTTACGGTTAGCACTCCTATTGACGATTCTGATATGTACTGGCTGTGCTGGGGATACTGGGGACATAGATATAATACCCAAATACTGGAATAACCAGATAAACCTTGAAGACTTCCATCTCTAAATACATCATGATATCCCTTAATGAGAAATGAACTGAAAACAAAATGCTAACGCACAGACAGTACATATCAGAATCGTCAATAGGAGTGCTAACACATGAATTTTCGTGCTAGCATGGAGTTAGTGTGGATCAGCTAGGTCGAAGAAATTCATTGTGGACTGTCCCTTACACCATGTTTTGTAAATATATGCATAAATGTAAAACTGGTGCACTAAAAGACAGATTACACCTACTGCCTGTCTGTGGAAGACTAGCACTAGCAGTAGTTGTTATATTTTATTAGTGCTGTCCATAAAATCCTATTGAAATATAAACAACCTCCAACTGACCAATACTGCTATGGTTCCGGATAATATTTTTCATTGTCTTAATAGGACTTAACTTGAGTTAACTGTTTGATTTAAGTTTAATACGTATTCTGCATAAGGCCGGAATCTTGATCCAAACACGGCAACTGAGGTTCAGTGGCATTGGCACTGCACAAGATTTGAAACCTGTGAATCTTTACCTTTTGCTGCTTTATCCTGGGGTATATTCTGTGCACGTAGTCTCTGGTCCAATATATACATCATCTCACCACCTAAATTAATGAACAACAAGGATAAACTTTTCAGCGACATTTTGTTAGAGTCACCGCTACTTTCCTACTAGTGAATCGCGAAACCTGGGACTCAAACAAAAATGGACGATAGAGGTCAGTGTAGGGCAATGCCAAGACGAGACATGGCAATGTGGTTTGGTTAAGATCAGTTGTAGGACTAATAACTTAGGTCCTTGGTTAAGAAAACATTAGTTCATTTAGCAAAAGGTATGATGGAACGCAGACAAATGTTCAGTGGAACACCAGGGATTTTGTCCTTTTACATTTATATTTAGCACTGCTAAGCAGACATAAGTTTAAATATAGCTACAGTAGCTGCAGGAATGGTTTGGAAAATATTTTTGAATTTGATTTTACACTTATTTTGCCAGAAAAGCTTATACAGAAATACACAATTAAAAAGTAAGTCATGTTGTGAGTTGAAAGTGGAGATTAATGGTTCATTTTTAATAAAGTAAAAATAAAAAATCAGAAATTAAGGTGCAAAATTAATTGCAATATAAGGGTGCATTATGTTCATTCTTTACAGGGTATTTTTTTCAGAAACTGTTCAAATTTAAAAACACAATATAGTTTTACAGAAAAGGTACATGTACATTGTTTTATTTATTTTAATTAATCAATGTATTTAATTACAACCACAAAGTGCATCACATCTCAACTTTGGTAGTAGTTAATCTAATGAACATCAGATCAAATGATTATAGGAAAGTCTGTCTTTTAATAATCTAAGCCTTAATTTTGAAAATAATCATCAACGTGGCAATCACTCTGCTTCATGAAAGTGTACAGCACCACAGCAACCAATAACATCTTTTAGATTTTAACAATGCAACATGATAACATATTTAGGCACACTCAATAGTATTACAGTATTATTTAAAACAAGAAAGGCAACATATTTCATAATATTAGTTTTTATGGACAGATCAATGTTAAAGAATGATATTTGATCAATTTCCCTAATGTAGGGACTTTTGACAACAAAAAACTTACTACAGATAAATGTTCTTTTATCAAACAGTATCACAGGTCAATATATAGGATTTATAATATCAAAAAGAAAAAACTGTACAGTATGCACTAAACATATAGAAACAAAATTTCTCATGCATAAGTGGAATGTATAAACAACAGGGTTTGTTATATCAAAATATTTCATAATCAAAGATTGCACATTTCTAATAAAACAAGTTAGATATCTGTTGTGTGCAAAACCTTCAGGGCAATTTCAGTAGAAGATATCACTATCTACATAATATAATGTTTTTATTACTCTCTACATACAATAATGCTTTTTTACATTACTGTAACAGCATTTCTTCTTCAATAATGCTCTAGTTATACTGTATATAGGCTAATGTTTGTAGCCAGAATTTCACCCTTTTTTCAAAATTCCTTCATAAAAGGATTGAGTAAAATTAATCAGTTCTTAAAATCTCTTTAAATCTTTAAGGCTGTCATTCTAATATCAGCCTGTCCAGCAGCTAGTATGTGATTCAATCTTCATCATCATCATCTGAGGCAACTTGTGGAACCCGCTTCATGGGGACCATGCTTCCCCCAACCAGGCCATTGGCTGTATTGAACAGATTGATAGGGGAACTGCCATCTGTGATCAGAGTGGACTTCAAGCCCAGTGCCTTCAAGAGTTTCACCTGGAATTAGGAATGTGAGGGTTAAAATGATGTTATTAACCATTTCCCATGTCAGTTAAATGTTGTTCCTCCCAGTGTTCTGTGACAACTTTACGAAAACTTTCAACCACACATATACAAAAATACTTCAACACATTGAGAAGAACAACAATTTTATTATATGCATAGTTGTAAATCATATAATCAGCATAATCAGAACAAACCATGATAGAACTAGCCATGAAATCTACTTGCCTGCATCTCGGGTCCAGAAGTTGCAATGGCTCTGATGGTGTCTGCACCTATGGAATTCACCATGTCTTTAAACTTGCCAGTCTCAATGGCAGTCATCTCCTTGGACTTGGACAGCTCAAGCTCATTCTGTTCACGAAGGAACCTGATCTCTGCTTCACGGGCACTGGTAAGGCGTTCAAGTTCTCCTTCCTGTAAGTAACAATAATTCATGTATATAAATAACTGTCTGTGCAAAATAATTTTGCACCTAGTAGCCCTTTCACACAATTGAGTCAAAGAGCAAACTGACCCAAAAGCCAAAATAATCAACACTATCTTAAGAAATTTACACAAATTTATAATCATTACTGGCATTTTTAAAATTAAATATATGTTTAAAAAATGAAAATTTTACAACTGTTTTGCATGTCAATAAATACGTATCATTAATATTATCAAAGCCCAGCTTCAATTTTGCTAACATTAGGCATGGGGCCTTAAATAAAATTGCAGACTGAAATCAGTGCAACTTTTTGTATTAACATCTAGTTCACTAAATACTAAGATATAAAACATAATCATACGTACTGCTTCAATTTTCATAGCCTGCGCCTTCAGTTTGGCTTGCTCCACATTAGCCTCTCCCTCTATTCTGGCAGACTCTGCCCTGGACTGTGCCTCTGCCTTGGCTTGCCCTGTGCTCTCTACGGCAGCACTCTGAGCCTGGAGTTCTAGAAGAGCACGGCGAGATTTCTCAGCCTCAGCTTCATCACTGATCTTTTGACGCTCCAGGCGACCTTTTGCCTCCTGCTCTAGACGCTCTGCTTCATGTCTGAAAATGATCAAATACAACATGAGACCTTTCTGTATGCTGTTTGTATAATATTAGTTCAACAATTGTGATAAATTTCTCTCGACTAAAACTAGCTGACCATTCATCAGAATATCATACTGTATGTGATCATTATACAATGTAGTTAAAGAAGCACTAGGAGTAGGGCAGCAATACTGGTGGGTGTGGTTAAAATAAAAGCTTTCACAATCTTCACCCAATCAAGGTCTCTGTTACATCTGACATAAGACTACAGTTTACCTGGCTGCTGCCTCCTGTGAGTTGGTAGTAATTTCAATGGCCAGTTGGACAGACTTCTGCAAGGCATCTCTAGTTCTCTGGTCCACTGGTTCCACAGACTGAATATCTATGCTGGTGATGATCAAGTTGTTCTGTTTGAACACAAAGCGATCTCGCACTTTCTTGCTGTCGTCAATTCCAAACACAGACGCACGGATAATTTTGGCGGAGTTCTGAAATGGAAATTTGCATTCTCAGTCACTGACATTTTAATTTTAGTGAAATTCTGAGGTTGGGTGAAAAGACTGCCATTGAGTGAAAAGACTGCCACTAATTTTCAACAATTCTAGCACTTATATTAAATTTTTTTATCCAATGTCCGTTTTTAAAAACCACCGACTCAGAAATGATTGACTCAATCATATTTCTTGAGAAGTATGCCAAACACATTGAGAGACTTACAATGGAGAAAATAGTCCAATGAAGTTTACCTTATGAAAGTCATCAAACTGAACTTGTGCCACAGCTCCTCTGACTCTAGATGCAATTGCTTTACAAGCATCGCCAACAAAGTCGGGAACACTGAACAACTTAGCTGCCTCAGTTTCAAAGTCTTTGTCTCCAGCCTTGGTTGAAATTTCAAAGTGCCTAAAACCAAAGGCAAATTATAGTGCTTTACAAATTCTGCTTTCATTACAATGTTCATACAAATTTTTCAAAAAATCTGAATTGTGCTAAACTGTGATGGTTTTAAACCACAAAAGACCCAACTAAGAAAAATAGTTTCCATTGCTGTCTATTTTCTTGTCAAGCAAGAGTTTTTAAACATGAAAAACAAACATATATAAATACAAAATACACACCAATTATAAGACAGCTGCAGAGAGAGCCTTGCGTGATCTGCCGTCTCCACCACTATAATATCTGTGCAGAAGTCGGGACCCATGAGAAGGCACAGTGATTTGATAAGATTGGGTTTCTTGGGTTTACCACCAGACAAACTGAGCTGAGTAAACTGTTCATCTGGACCCAGCATCACCAGATCTGGACCAAACACAACTCTGCAAAATTGTGAAAAATTTATTACAAATATATAACAAGCAACTGTTCGTCAAGTGAAATTTGAAAACTGTTTGACAAGAAAGTCACAAGACTGACAACAATCCATGAGGCTTCATGGAGATGATTTGTCTGCTTCAAAATTAAGAAGTCACAAATATAAAATATTATTTGTTGGCAACTCTGTATACATTTATCAATTAAGCATCTGAATGACTGTAGAAATCTCCAAGTCAAAAATCTTTAAATCAGTTAATCCTCTAAAAAATTCTTGGCATAACAAATACCTTGCTTTTTTCTCCTTGTAATCATATATCTGCACTGCTGCATTGTGTGGCACTCTGAAGGTGACTACTCTGGTTTTGTCACGTGTTTGGGTGCTTGCCCCTCTGCCGCGCTCTCCTCTATCAGCCAGTGGATCTTTCCCTTGGGCCAGAAGTGCCTCCACAGCAGGTGGCAGCTCCTTACACCACAACTCCTCATCTTGGTTCAACATGTAGGTCTCCCCAGTGATGGCTCTTACCTATAATAAAAATAATTACACTTTGAATTTCAGCAAGGTATCTCCAGATATAAATAAAAGATGAGTGCCAGCAGGTCTACACCAGTAACTTTTTGCCCAATAAAACAATTTTATCTGTATTTTTTAATTTATTAACTATGGGACCATTCAGAATGAGAAGAGCCGAGTGTTAGCTAGGCCAGGACCTAAATATGGCAGACCTACATGAAAGGAAGACTGCTTAATCCTGTAATGGTATCTCCGCCTCTCACATGCCTCCCCATGCGTCGTCCCTGCAGGGGCACAGTAATTTAATCTTGGCTCAATTCAACCTGTCAAAGGATGACGCGTGGGTAGCCATGTGAGAGGCGGAGAGACCATTACAGGATTCCAAAATGCTTTTACATGCCTCTGTTTTGCAATAATGAAACAAAACAACAACTTATATGCTGGTCCTTGCATTTTCAAATTCAGACAAAAATACACCATAGCAAAAGTGTGACCTTAGTACACATATTTCTATTTTCTTTAACTGATAACTTAAAATGACCTTCCAAATAAAAGTGTAACAACTGAGCTAAAGAAATTGATGCCTCCTTGATTAAAGCAAAATTTTCAAGCAAACCCACCTTGCCAGTTTTGACATTTCTGACATAGATTCCTTCATTTTCATCTAGTGGGATGGCTTGACGTTTGCAGACAACTTCTACTTCAACTGGAGGAACATATTCCTTGGGGCCTCTGATCATCCAACGATCTCCAGGGTGGCGCTCAATGCCCTAGGTGTAAGATTATGAATAAGTAAATTTCTTGGCAACAATGCTATAAACACTCTGATAGACNGAAAAAAGTAGGAAAAAAACAAAGGCAGTAAACCACCATGTCAAAATATTTGATTTCAATTTTATGTTCCCCACTTACCAATATAAAACTTGTATGAACATTTTCCTATGTTTGCAAATATGGTTATCAAAAATCACTTACTGCCCCAGCATCCTTGAACAACTCTGTAGATCTGAGGATAAGACCTTCATCTTCCCCAAGAATGTAGACATCTTGGATTCCTTCCTCCAGACTCTCACCAGGCATCAAGAAGAAAGACTTCTCTCCCTACAATGTAAAAAGTGGAAATTCATTGTTCTATTAAATTAATATTTTCGTACAAAAAATTGCATGGAAGGCACATTTGTTTCGTACATCAATAGTGAACAATAAATAATACTGCACTTACAAAAACTACAGGTAGGCTTTTTACATAACTTCACTCACCTTCACTAATTTCTTCTTTCCAAGTTGGGGTTTCCCATCGTCATCCACGGGGTCCAGGATGACACAGTACTGTCTGCTGCTCAAAGTGGTGATATCAACAACGCCAACAACTTCCTCGTACACTTGAGGAATGTGAGTTTCTGTGTCCGACATCTTGATTAACCACTCCTCTCCATTTTTACGCACATTGCCAAAGTCATCCTTGAATGTTCTTATGGCCCTCATGTGCAAAGCTTTCTATAATTGAGAGCAAACAAGGGTTACTTTGTTAATGAATGGGCTTTCTTTGACATACTGTATTTTTATTAAATACTTTTAAAAAAATTAAGGTTATCAAGTTCATACAAAAATATCACATCACCATGGAAACTGATATTATCCAACAAGTTCTTTAAGGTCTCCTGTATTGCTTAATAAGCACAACTTCAGCAAGCATGTAAAAAAAAAAAAAAAAAAAAAAAAATTCTAAAGGTTGTATCACACATAAATTCTATATATAATAGAAAACAGATCTTAGCATGCTATTAGCTCCACAATAATGAAGACAACAAGATACCTTTTCTGTAAGTACAAAGGCATCCTCTACATCCACTACTTCCTCATATGCTCCAGGCAGGTAAGCCCCAGTCTTCTTCACTATCCACTCCTCTCCTGTGACACGAGGGACACCATCACGATCTATGCACTCTTTGCGTGCACGTAGTTTGCATGCCTGGTTGGGTTTGATAACTGTGGCACGTATTGTCTCCTCTACTGCTACCTCCTTTCTGGGAATATAAGTTCCTACAAACAGAGAAAACTTGTATGTAGCAGCATGCTTCCCAAGATGTATTTATCTGTTGTGGAGATTACCAAAAATGAAGTTTAGAATAATGAGATTTTTCATCAAAAATTCAGATTACACAGATATAAGAAACTCACACACATATTTAAAAATAATCACTATATTTTTCTTTAAAAAAAAACAAAAAACTCCGCAAAATCAAGGTATTGTATTTTGAGAGGAAAATATTTTTCTTAACAAAAATCAGTATGGGTACTATTGGGCAATACCACAATCTTTTAGATCGTAAAAAAAAAAACTGAATAATCTAAATGATTTTAACTGATTAAAATCACAAATCATTACTCAAGCTGGTTATAACATATAAAATATTACCACGATCTGATCTTACCTGGCCCCTCAAACAGCCATTCATCCCCAGCTGTTCTTTTCTCACCAGTCTCATCTTCAAAGTCCAAAACAGCACGCAGGCGTATTGCTGCATTTGCTGCAACTATTTTCAAGGGTACGACTGGCTGTAAATAAAGAATTTATAAGATACCATCTTCATGAAGAGGATGTATGCAATCAACAAGTGCCTCTATGATAAAACTGCCCAGGTTTTCTAAATTAGGTTTGCCCATAAAACATAAGTAAAATGATATAATCAATCTTGAAGTAGCTTGTACATTCATTGAGCCATTACAAGCTTCTGAATCTGTTAGCTGTAATTTTCAAGAGTATTTTGTGTGACTGTCACTAGCTTTGTACCTGCTTGAGCACCTCCCCTGGATAAAGAGGGAAAGGATCTTGTGCAAGGCGTATCTCCTGGTCAGCATGCAGCAGCTTGGGCTGTCCACTCTTGTCAAACACACATTTGCCGTCCTTGTCTTTGAGGATAGGGTTTTCAATGACGCAAAAATGCCTAGGGGGCACTGTCACCATCTTCTCAGGCCCCAAAACAACCCTAAACAGGCAAATGACATCATATATACTTTTGAGTTAAAATTCCCTTTAAAAATGCAATAGGAAATCATATGGATGAAACTTGAAGCCAAAGTGAAACAAATTTTCTCTGTTAAAGGATGAAAGATCCTTAATTTTACCTTTCATTGTCCTGTCTGATGTATGTGTTTGGCCCAATCTCCAGTCGTGTGACATTGGTGTTCTGATCCAACACATGGATGTAGAAGTAGGGAGGAATACGGAACAAAGACTCATCCTTGCTTCTGGATGCCATCTTCAAAGCTTTATTCTCAGATCTGTTTAACCTGTAATGAGCAATATGACTAATAAAGAATAAATTTTAAGGTGACTGACTCATCCCTGTCTTTTACTGGATGAACTTAAATTACCACTTTGTAGTCACCTATAATGTCCCACAGCATAACATACCACACCATATCATAGAGATATAACAGATGAACCAAACTATAAATCATTTTAGATCCTGCTTTTTATATTTGTGCTACATCCATAAGAATATGGTAATGAGATGTCATAGTTTTCAGGTAGCTGAAGTATAAATTTATCATCACCAATTAAACTCATTAAGAGGGAGCACAATCTTTTAAATAACAGGGACCATGCTTATTAAAGTTTTTAACATCTATATCTTGGGGTAAGAAGTTATTTTTTCTTTAGCTATTATTATTGTACTAAAGATATGATAACAATTTAAACTAAGACTTGAACTTCTTATTTTACAGTAAGATAAAATATTTACAGACATTCAAAGATAGTCAATTGTTTTTTTTTCTTTAAAAAATGTTTTCTTTAGAGATTATTACAGAGGATAGCAATTTATGAAGGTCCACGTAGTCCAGTGTCACGCAAAGACTTTAAGTAAAATGAAAACATTGTTTGGCACTTGTGGGACAATTGTTGCCAAAATAAATGGAAAAAAATTTGTAAAACAATCTTATCATGTTGGATTTTCAAAAGGAACCTTCCACTTCACCAAACAAAACCAAGTTATATAAAGATACAGTTTGACAGTAATAGGGTGAAATAAAGATGTGTTGGACACCAATTGCAACACCATGATCAGCCACATGCACAGTGATCAGAATATATACAGACACATACAGTGTCTGCATATAAAAATATCAGCATATGCTATATATGTACGGATACAGTGTAACATATCTGAATCAATAACACTCATTTTATGCATCTGAATAATATATCCAAGCTCCTTTTAATTTTGCAAACATTTCTATGCAGCTTACATTTTGGATCCAAATGCACGTAATTGTTATCAATGTCACAGAGATATCAATGTCACACAGAACAATAAGTTTGTCATTAAATTATTAATATAAACCATCAATGATAATAACAAGAACATTTTATCATCAGTCACAAGATATCTGGTTGCTATGTCAGTATAGTTACATTTATCATGACCCATTTTATGCAGTGCCACCTGAATTTGGTAATTTCAGTATTTGATATGCATATGTAGTTCTTATTTGCAATTATTCCATTTCCAGTTTAAAGAATATTAAAAAATCTTTTAATATTTAGTTAATGTAAATTAACATTAATAACAACATTAGGAAATAATAATATTAATAATATATAATAAAAAGAATACGGATCAATCAACCAGTATTTAGAAAATATTTAAAATGTCTATATTTAAATTACAGTAGCTATATTGCAAAAAAGTAACCTTTTAACAATGTCACATCACCATTACTGATGTAGTTCTCACCTCAGCACCACCAGCCAACCAGGCCTAGGAATTGAGGATTCTGCTCAAATTTATAAGGTTTTGCACGAGCCAGTTAAATATAACTTGATGAAAAAGCTGATGTAGCAAAAATGGACCACATGCAAACGCATACGTGTTTGGAAAAACCGCTGACGCAAGGCAATTGCAATGAAATAATGGTGTTAGTGATGTTGCACAAGCTGCTGACATCAGCAACGCCAAATAGACCGATCAAGTTACAGATATTTGCTTACTCATATTGACCACAATGACGTCAAGGCCTAAGCAGGGAAGCCGGAGAAACATTTACAGGTGTATCAATTAATTGTATTATGCCTTTTTTCAAAAAAGCAAATTATACTGCGGTTTAATAGATTTTTTAAATAAACCTTTTTTACACTATGAAAAGAAACCACGCAAGTCCTCAACTTCTGGAAATTTTGTTTACCCATTTACGTCACAAGCTTTCAATTAAAAACACTATGCTACCCAATGCAATGGCACTCTTGTAGAAGAAGCAAAGCTGGTCATATCTTTACCCTGTTTTCACCATGACAACCCATAATAAAAAAGTCTTTACTTACGCCAGTAAGTGAGTTAGTGAAACGAGGAAGCGAGCACCTGACCGACAGGAATGCGAAAGAGGTCAATATATACACCTCCAGAGCAACCAATCAGTGTATGTATTCGCTGCGGAGATATAAACCTCAGAAATAAAAATAAAGATAATCAGTTAAATTGATCATACGTGTGATTATCAGTTTAATAAGATTTACATTCTCGTGGTTGATAACGAAAATTTTCAAAGAGTAAAACAAGTATTACCTCATCTATTTTACCCATTGAAATTTGTGCAATGTGTTTGCTGCACATGTAACTTGCCCTATTTTGTGTTTCTCTTAGATTTCATATTTCAGCATGAAACGAGTTAGAAGTGAACAAATTAATAGCTATGTAGGTCATTATTTGAAAAGACGACAATTTAAGGTAGGTATGTCATTTTGGAGTAAATAACAGAGTGGAAAAGAATCATTATTGGCACAAATGATCGGCATTTCAGAAGTTATGAACTGTATATTGCCTAGGCTGTAGAGAAAGTACATAGAAAATGATTCAAAGTTATATTTCGTATGCTTGAGTATTCTGAAAAACTACTGCTTTTTCCCCAAGTTGCACCGTGAAAACCAGAAAAGTACCTGATATTGATATTTCCTTCTGAAATGTTAAGAAGACATGGTCTAAATGAAGACTGATTGATCCTGATCCATTAGAACCCAAATGATTTTAAAAATTAGTCTAGAAAAAGAACTGTTATATTGCTGGGGCAAGTTGAGTGATATTTATTGAACTGAGGACAATTGCTTATTTTTTAAAAGGAAAATTAGTATTGCCACAGAAATCGGTTACCTTTTATTTCCATTGTTAATAACAGATCTGTACATGCTTCAGTTAAAATTAATCTGTATAAAAATGGGTAAAGAAATGTAAGATGTACTAGTAGGTGTAATATTGTTATGTGCATCAATAGAGACATTTTCTTTTGCCTCCTCTAGAAACCCTGCACCCAACTGAAAATCATAATTAGTAAATTGTCCTTGTCCTTACAACTATCACTTTGTGCCATATACTAGTAGGAGTACATGTGCCAGGGGTAGCACTAACACTAGCCAATTTAGGCAAATGCTAAAACTGACTTAGGTTGGCTAAACAAAAATGGTTGATTTGACTTGTTTTAGTCAAATTTAAACCTTTTGGGAAAAAAGGTGATGAAAAAGTAGTGATTTGACTAAAAGAAAAAAATTGCCAGCACTACCCCATTGTAATGCATATTTATGTGTTGCTTATGATTGGTTTATAGATGTTGCATTACCATCTTAACATAAAATTTACAGGGAGACAGTGAACATATAAATAAGAAAGACCTGAAAGTCCAGCAAACTATAGAAGAGATGTCATTGCATGAGGCTTGCAATGCAGCTGTAGGTGTTGACAGTTCTTTCTCATTTAGCAGCATCACTGGGGATGCTACAGCTTGCGATCAACAGTATGTCAGGTAAGTATTTTTTTGGCTCTGTGTGGCAGTTTATATTAACAGTCATTCCAAAAAAATATGTGTTTTCATTGACCTGCGTACAAAGACTACCTTTGGCCTCATATTTATTGAATAATGTTGATCAATATTGATAACTTCAGTATGATGCTCTGACTTCAACTGTGCCTGATGGACATGCACTAGTATTCAGAACCCATTTGTCATCCATAGCAGTACATTTTCATTTTTTTTTCACTATGATCTCTCTATTGGCAGGTGAAATACTAAGCCATACCCATAACCATAACATGTCCATTTATAACAGTTTTTTTGATACAGCATTTACTGGCCAGTTAATTATTAGATGCAGTGTGATGCAGTAGGATAATAAAATTATTTTCTAAGTCAAAGGAATTTTTCACATGCTCTTTGAAGTTTCATGTTTGATCCAATATTGAAAAATTGAATGCAAACAACTATGGATGCTTCAGCTATGGATGAAGATATCCGGTTTGATAATACACAAAGTTAACAAATATTTATTAAGGATCTATATGATTATTCTTAATCTCAGAGTAACAAAAATAACAGATGGCATGTTATATTGGATAATAATGTATCTAAAAATCTTTAATTCTCTTTCAGATTTCGCACATTTATTCAGGACTCAGTGGAGCCATACAGGACAGACCTGTTGTTACTTCTGTATCCAGTTTTTGTGCATGTTTACCTCGAGTTAATCTGCAATGGTCACAAAACTCCAGGTGAGACATCTCCTTGATGCTCTTGATACATTGTAATTTTTAATGTCAGTTCTTATTTAATAGCATATTTTGAGGAACCTTCACCTGTAATTAATACTGACTGAAAGGGATAAGTATAATCTAAACAGCATCAGTTTTTATTTTTGTATATATTTTACATCATTTAAATATTAATATTTGAGTGCATTTATGGTATTTTTTACGGTAGCTAAAATAAACTGTAAATAAAAATGTATACCAATGATCTGTTGTTTATAAATTGATATAATTGATATTTTCAGCCCACAAGTTTTACAGTCGGCACCACTCTTACTTCCTAGAAAACTCAGAGTACAGAATGATTGTAGAGGCACTGGCACAGTTATTTCACAAAGAAGATGTGTACAGCAATGACTATATTAGAAAATTTAGGTAAAATAACGTCTAATCTTTATTTTAAACTGGGGCAATTTTTACTTCTCTCTAAACAAATTATTAACTAGAAAGATGCAATGGATCACATGCAGACTTTTATCAGTATGAAAAGCTTTAATGTTTGGAAGATATACATGTACCAGTATGTGCAAGTAACAGTGTGTGGGACTTGCCTTTAACCATAAGTATTAACTGCTTGAAATATGATATGTAGTATTGCCATTCTCTTCTTACATAGGGAAGATAAATTCAAAGTGGTCCTGTCAGAAGATGCTTTACAATATCTGTTTCGATACCTCAAGGTAATGATAGGTATATTTTATCAACCTGTTCACAAATACAAGGTTTAACGTGTCATTTTTTGATTTATTATTACTTAAATAATGATACTTAAAATGTGGTCAAATGGTTGCTTAAGTTGAGGTGTTTACATTTCTAGGACCATTTTTAATAGTAAATGATGTAAAACTCTTATTGTAACATCTTGTAATGACAATGTTAATTACGATGTAACATTTTACTTCAGAACGAGGACAACATGATCATGTTGCAGATATTCAACCACCATATCCACATTAAAGGTATGTATTGAAAGTATGCTTTGGATATTAGTAGCTGGAGATTCAAAGTAAATAAGTTGTTATATCTGTTGGCAATTTACTATACTCATTTAAGAATAACTGATATCTAAAACTTGAACAATTGATGTGTGGTTAGTAACGGAATATGCCTACAATTTTTGTGTGAAATTTTTAAAAATTGAGTTTATTTAATTGAAACGACTCACTTTAAATGAATATGCATTTGTAAATATGTTCTTCACAAATATAAGCTAGTAAGTTATCATTGAGACATTGGGATGTACATGGACTAGAGACAACATGAACAGGGACACAACTATTTCCTGTTGCACTCATTCAGAAAACTGTGATTTTCAACCCATCATTAACTATGATCAAGGATCAACATAAATATTGAAAATTCAGCAAGATATTACAGCAGTTGGTTTGCAAAATTTCATTAGTGAGAGACAACGTACCCGTGTACTTAGTCATACTAAAAGTGTATGAATTTTGAATTAAATTTTGAGAAAAGCCTTCGGTTGCATTCAATTATGTTTCTCATTAACAGCAAAGTATGGATTTCTGTGACACTAATTCCCTTAAAAGTACTTAATGAGTGGTTTCCATACACCTGCCTCTTGCAGATTTAAGGGAACTTGTAATTGCCATTGCATTTTTCACTCAGTAATAGTGTAATTATTGTTAATTAATAGCTATTCGCTATATAGGTATTGAATGGAAAAGTAGGTGTGCCAGGTACAGTAATTGTGCTCAGTGCAGATTTTCCTAGCTTATGAAATTAACTGAAAGTGAAATTGCTTTATGCTTATTTTACTTCCAGTGAAGATGCCCACAGATGTGGAGTTAGACCTTCAGGACTTTGTAAACTTCCATGACCTTGTTCTTCCTTCTGCTCCTGACACCCCACAAAACAAAGTGATCAGGAATGAAGTGTCCCTCAGCTCTCTACAACAAAGTATACAGAAAGTGCGGGATGGGGCACCATGTCTGACTTCCATCTTGTTTTATACATTTCTCAATACACATCAAGGGTATGAGAAATGTGTTGGTCACCTTTTTACAATTTTTTGATAGGCAATGAGTATGGTTATAAACATTGCTACATAATCTTGTACATAATAAAATAAATGTAAAAAGAAAATGAAAGAAAGATCTTATGTAATTCCTTCATCTCCTGGAAATTGGGAGAATTTATAAATCTTCACTAAAACTTGTCACAATACTCATACATATTTATCATTTAGCTTAAAAAAGTGAACATTGAACAATTTCTATTCTCCCCTCTTTAAGAATCAATTTTGATCTTGAATTAATCAGTTAGAATTAAAATGAAACATTTTTATTTTTAATAATTAGATTGTGTTGCACAAGTATTTCACCAAATGAGGCACTCATCTGTGGAGGCTTTGAGGAAAATTCAATCAAAATCTGGAGTTTAACACCATCAAAATTGCACCCTAAAAAGGCAGTAGTCAGGACAGACAGAATCACAATGGTTGGAGATTATTTAGAGGACGTAGAGGAAAAAGAGTGGTAAGAGGATATGTTTTACAAGTAGCATTTAAGGTATTTAAGGAACCTTAAATTTGTCATCTATTAAAATATTTTGAGACTACATGTAAGTGTTTCCAGCTTTTGTAAAAAATCATCCTTATTGAAAAGTGCTTTTTTTTTAGTTCCAGAACGAGACCAAATGAAGTTATCACAATGAGGGCACATAGTGGTTCTGTTTATGGAACTGCATTTACTGCTGATTCCAAGTACCTGCTGTCTTGTTCAGAGGATAAATCAGGTGAGCTGCAAGATAAGTCACTGGCAGGTCTAGTCTCTCAAAGTCAGTTTGGATGCCCTACCATTTATTTCACATTCTGAAATTATCTTTTTAGAACATATTGACCATGTTTCTTTTTTTTCTTAAAGACCCCTGAAGGCATCCAAATGTTCTTTGTCTGTAGCATGTTAAGTTTATTAATGCTTTTTGTTTTGTTATTTTTTCAGTACGGCTATGGGATCTTGACACTTACAATAATGTAGCACTATACAGAGGACACAGCTATGCAGTTTGGGATATAGATACAAGGTTAGCTTTTTAGATGCTTTCTACCAAACAGAGTTACTGAGTAGTTTTATTTATTTTTAAGTAGATTATTTTAAATAGCAGCCTTAGCTTTAAAAAGATCAAGTGAGCAAGGGTTACAAAAAAATGTAATAAAATGATTTACATTTGGTCCTCAGCAGTTTTCTGGTATCTTTGCGTTCAAAGCTCAAAGATGTTTTAAAGACCACATGAGTGAACATTTGATTGCATTCCTTGCATTTTTGCTTTGTTGTCTTTTGGTAGTATTTCCTTACTTAAAAAGGCTGTAATATACTTAGTCTACCAGTATCTGGGTACATTGTGTGGGAAGATTTAAAAGTTCACATCCAGTTTATATATTTATTTATTTATTTGCTAAAAATTTGGATTCTTTGTGAATGAACTTAGTGGGCTTTTTATAGCAGGCTTTGAATAGCCAACACTAGGTTTACCCAGCTAGAAATTTTGGGATATTTGTGAAAAGATTTGTGGTCCTTCCTTTTTCAGCCCCTCAGGCAGCTTCTTTGCCAGCTGTTCACATGACAGGACAGTAAAGTTGTGGGCAGTTGACAGAACCTATCCTCTCAGAACATTTGTAGGGCACACAATGGATGTGGATGTAAGTGATATTGACTGAAAAAAAGTTTTATCTATCACAGAAAAAGCATTTTTGTGTAGAAGAGATCAGCTAGAGACATGATCAGCAGAAACTGTGACTTGCATTGAGTGGGCACCTCATTCACCAGACTTGAACTCCCCAGATTTTTATCTGTGGGGGTATCTCAGGGGTAAAGTAATAGTATACCAGAACAACTCTCAAATAATTGGTGAACTGAAGACAACAATCACAGCGAAAATCAGGGAAATTCCTAAAGAGGAATGTGTTCGAGTGTATGACTATTTTGCACTACACATGCAAGTATGCCTATAGCTAGCATGCCCTGGAGGCCATTTGGAGCATGTTTAAAAAGCACATAACTTTTATGGAAATCTACCAAGTTAACTGAAACTTATGAGAATAATCATACACATACTGAAGTTTGAGTTCAGCAAATTTCTTGAAATATGATGGGCCTTGATAAAATTTTTATGGGTTCTCTTTCTCTCTCTCTAGTTTTTTTTCTTTTTTTTGGGAGGGGGGGAGGTTTGCGGGCACCCTATACAATAATAGCTTAGGTTTCAAATCTGATGCAGACCATTCTTCACTTTCAAAAAATTTTCACATGGAGATTGACTACAAGTGGAGACACATTGGACCTAAGCCTGGGCATTTACATATGCAGTGTTATTTTGATCAGTATTGTTGGATTTTTCAAATATTAAAGTACTGTAGATTATGTATGTCACCTTTTCAGTGTGTGAAATTCCACCCTAACTGTAACTATGTAGCCACAGGATCTGGGGACAAGTCTGTAAGGTTGTGGAGTGTGCAAGAGGGCAAATGTGTCCGCCTGATGCAGGGCCACAGGGGCAGTATATACTCTCTGGCCTTCTCTCCTGATGGACAGATGCTAGCCTCAGCTGGTAGGTTCATATCACATTGGCAGTTTTTTTTTTTTTTTGGATTTTTTTTCAGATTAACTTTAATTCTGAATTAGTATAATTGACATCACAAGACAAGCATTAATGTAACATAGTATAATGCATTCTAAGGTGCGATAGATGGTTAAGTTTGCCTGGTTCTGAATATGACCTTAACAAAGCTTGCACCAAACTTTTAATGTTTGGATTTAACTTGCTCAAGGACTTTCATTGATTTTATGCTCTCTCCAGTTGTGTTTCCAATCTGTGACATTTTTCTCAGTCTAACACAATTGCCTGGTTATGCCTATCACTTAAGATGCCACAAATTACTTGGTACTTAATAAGATCATTGGAATAGTCTTAACATTGTGATATATTCAATTTCAGGGAAAATGTGCGTCTGGGTTCTGGCTCTTGCATAAAAATGTAATTTTGTCACTGAAGTTATGTGAACTTTCAGGATAAGATCATGTTTTTTCAGGCTTTTTTTAAGCTTTTCGCATTGTGAGAGTTGACACATAATGCTATTACACTTTACTTTCTGAAAATTCAGGAGAAGATAGACGTATTAGAGTGTGGGACTTAGGCACAGGTTCTATAATAAAAGAGCTAAGGGGCCACACAGACATTGTTCACAGTTTGTGTTTTAACAGAGAAAGCAGTATGTTAGCATCAGGTATGTTTATTTTCAGTTGAAGTGCATTTCTATTGGAGTACCAGTAAAAGTACGTAGTGAGTTGAGTAAAATTTCAGAAACATTTAAGATCAAAAGTAAAAATTACTTGATGTCGAATCATTAGGTGTTCATACTGCCATGATACAGACTTCCCAAAGTCATGGGCAATTTATATAATTTTATACAATGTTTTACAATTACCAGGTGGTTTAGATTGTATGGTGAGAGTATGGGACGTAAGAAAAGCAGCCAATTTAAATGCAAGTGTGTAAGTATTTAATATTTTTAGCACCAGAGAATGAGAAATAAAATCAGCAGTGTTGAATATTTGGTCAATGATAGCCATTACACCTATTTCATTTTCAACCAGATTCCAATTCATAGAAATATCAACTTCACTAGAAATCACATGAGAAGAAACAGATGATAAAGTAATGTAAATAATGCTCTATTACAATTATTTTTTGCATCAAGGTTTAATATGTACAGTTAATTCACTGTGTATGTCGAGTTTGAGTGAAGAATGTAATGTATACACTTGTTTTTCTATTCAGTTCTGAGGGCCACATATCACCAGAACAGCTGGGGTCTTTTTCCACCAAATCTGCAGCAATTTACTACTTACGTTATGGCCAGCACAGTGTGCTGCTTGGATCTGGGGCTATACAGTGAGCTGCCACTATGATATTTGAAGATACACAACGAGATAGAAAGTACCAAGATCCAAAGCCATCTCGCCAAAATACCTTATTTTTATTTAAAAACATGATGACATTTTGTCTGGAAATCTTGGGTAATATGTGGTTAGCATTTGGGTAGGGTGAGGAATTAAACCTCCCCCCCCCCACTCCACCCCCTTGGACAGGAGCCCCACCATGAAGACAGTGATGTTCCACATAAGGGCCATGAGAGATTATATATATATATATATATATATATATATATATATATATATATATATATATGGGGATAGTGACTCACCATGAAGGCAGTGATGTTCCACAGAAGGCCTGTGAGAGATTATGTTATACGAGGATACCGACTCTTAGGCAGGAGAAAGCCCTTTAAGATGAGAAATGATAAAAAATATTTCCTCAAAGAATGGAGTATTCACAGAGACAGGAACCAATGTTAGCATGCTTTTTTACTCACGACTGAGAAATGATGAGTGTTACATAAATAAAATGAAAAGGATTATTTTTTCACCAGCTCGAGTTTTTCCTATATATTTTCTAGGTTTATTAAATTATTTTCAGTGCCTCAGAAATTTAGCTGAAAAAATATAACACTAGTCTTATATGTAGTTCATTTTCACTTGGGAATTAATTCCATCAATTAACTAACCCTTGCATTTCCATAGGAACCATAAGTACCTTAAAAACCAATTCTCTCATGTGTAAATATAATGCCATAGTAACTGAATCATAAGAGTGAAATGCCATTAAAGCTACATGTATCAGCTTCAGATAATGAATTTTTGCTTTGTTCTGGTAACTGTTGCTGCTTGTATCAGCTAGTCTGCATGTACCAGCATACAACATAATGATGAAAAATTAATGTTTGACTTTTTTCAATTAGAACAGAAATAACATAAATGTATTTTTAATCTTTCACATTTGAATCATACAAACATCACGATAAATATTGTGAACACAGACAAAAATAGGTGGCGCTAGTTGTTGTTGTTGTTTTTTTTTTTTAACTGCCATAAAACGTGTCCACAGAGTATCAGATTTCTACCCAATTTTACATTGCATGCTGCCAGGCAACTACTGCTTTGGGAACTGAACCTGTGTAAAAACATCACTAAGAACAGCTGGTACTACCACATGAAAAATGTTTTGATGATCTAGGAAAAGTTGAAAGTGAAAATTTTTAGCCAAACTTTTGAAATGAATTTTTTAGAAAGTCTGCAAAGCAGGGGGCAAGACCAAATTAATGTCATGTATTAGAAAAAGGACTTAAGTTTTTTTCACCATGATCATGCTCAGCATGGGTGCAAGCTTTCAGGATTATGCCCGATTTCAGGATTTTCATTTTTAACATTATTTTCCCATGGTCTTAATTTGATGAGAAATTGCAAATTACCTTTTCATGATTTTCAGTTTTTACAATTTCACCCATGAGCATGTCAGATTTTTGGGAGAAATTTGGGAAAAATTTTGTTACCTCCTCCTCCTCCTCCCCCCCTCTTCATCCCTATTTAGGCAATATTAAAAAAAAGTAAAGCTCTACTGCATGGCTTTTGACAGATAAATTGTATTAATTTGTATTTCCCATATCGCTTGCACCTGTGGCCCGATATTCTAACACTTTGCCTAATTCACTACTCTTCTTGGGTAAACCATTAAATCCCAATTAAAAATTTGTCTTTATGCCTAGCTCCTTTACCCATTATAATGTGACAAGTTTCAAGTTTCTCTGGCATTATCTAAGATAATCAAGTTGGGCATCTTTGGACTCCTTTGTCAAAGAGGCGTATGAATAAAAAAAAAATTAATTAATTTTTATTTCAAGCGTAGCTTAATTCGAATAAAAAAATCGTTTGGGACCCTACTACTACCGTAGAAGTCCTATAATCCACAAAACATTTCGATCGAAAAATTCTCCCCTCTGCTTACAACTTTCACGAAATATTTTGTAAAAAAATTTAACCAATATACTTTTAAACAAACTATTATTTATATCATTACTGACAATTTTCGTTGAAGTGATTTCACGAAACGCGTAATTGAATATTTACATGAATCATTTTAATACCAAATCTAGATCTAACGTTACTACAATATATAAACGCAAATACTAGAATAATTACGCCGGCCTTGGCACGCATGAACTTCAGTTTTGCCGTTTCATTGCCCCTTCTGGCAACTCGTCATTTTAATAGATACAGTTAGAAATTAATTTAACGGCGTCTCTCCTAGCACAACCACCACACTTGGTCGGTAGCTGTAAGTGCCTTCCAGCCGAGGTTAAAGGTCAAGCTGAATTATGATGGCGGAATGCAGATGAGGGACAAAAACAAAGACGGTCGCGGTAAGCTGGGTTTTATACCTTGATTATACAGGTAAGTTCACTAATTGCATCATGTCCTTGTTTTTAATATATACCCAAAATATTCTAGATAAAAACGAGCATGTTTATACATCTTTTTCGAAATCGGGATTCACCTTCGTCACTGCATGTCTACGACGGCGAAAACCTCGGGCGGTGAACGAACAGTTAAAAGAGCAATTAATAGTGGGAAAGGTCCTGTGGACTGCTGATAGCTTGCCTTTTAATACGGTAAGGTCGCCCCTCGATCATTCAGTCGATTGTCTTATGGGTTGTGAGATTTTATGGGCGGTATGGCCTAGGAGTTAAACCCCCTTTCAATCAGAAATCGAACGCAAATACTTGTGCGAGATTTTAAGTGGCAATATATGAAACGTATTCCCCGAAAATGGAGAAGTGTAATGCTTCAGAGTGAAGATATCCATGCGGGTAGGTGCCATCGTCATTGGACGTATTTCATGATTGGGATCATCGAATTTTTGTTCTATTCATTGGGTTTCTAATCCAGATTTACGAGACAAATCCTTTGGTGCTGTAAGGGCACACTTCAACGTATTGTGGACTATGTTTGCTGTAAATATTTGTCTATACGGTCGTATAAACACTGGGAAAATGAACTTGTTTGCCTTTGGCAGATGATCTCAAATATCATTCTTTCAGAGTCTTTCAGTACAGTTGCTACTGTGTGAGAATTGTGGTGGGACTCTCTGCCCTTTGTACTGAGACGGGGAAGTTTTTTATTTTCATCCTTTTAAAGGGGATGGGAGACACACTTGGTTGGCTGTTATATATAGATCTGCACCTAACGTTCTAAAAATTGGTTGGTGTTAAATTTCTTACTGACTACACAATGTGCGATGAAGATTAAGTTTTTGTTAAGATTTTTAGCTGTAACATTACGCTGCACCAATAGATATCCATATTCACATTGCTCATGTTTATCCATATTCCTGTGGAAAAATAAATCCTTTAATGTGAATTAACAGATTGAAAATAAGGTATTGGCTTTTATATTAAAATCATGTTCGATATATATAGCACAAGACGTACGTGGATTTTTAAAGATTGAAATTGTGGCAAAAGTACTAAGCCTTAGTTAGTTCTTGTTATTGAATTTAAAAACATAATCGTTCTCATGTAGTTTACGATTTTGCCTCCCACACAGGTGACAGGGCATCACTAGCTCTTATTTAATCATGACAGTGCAAGTTAATATTTTGCTCTCACATTAGTCACAAGACAAGAAGCACATTTGCTTTACACATTCTGTCTGGGCAAATTTAGTATGGAAGTTATTTGTCTCCTGATGCGGCAATAGATAGTTATTATACACTATCAGCCAATAGTTGATACCTTGGAGACTAAATTCAGTGATCCTGTTTAGAAGTTCAAACATTCCCATGCAATCCAGCAACTTATTTGTAATTTTTTTTAGCAAAAACAAATATTAAGTGTGGTTTTCCTTTCGTCCCTGTGTAAATTTACCAGATAATGGAAGATTGCTGTAGCTTCTAAATCTCTACCACTGGAGAACAATACCTTCAAGTTTACCTGGATAAGGTTTGAATAGAATTGTATTATGTCTCATGGATATGTTGCACAAAGGTTGACATTTTTAACGTTCAATGAACCTTTTATCTTCTCATATCAGTAACCAGACCAGTAGAAGACATAATTTTGTTATCAATTGTTTGCCAAAGTCATTATTATGTTTATACGAAATGATGCAGTCCCTGTATGTCAAGGTAAAAAATTTCTAAAAAAAAAAAACGTCTTTAAAAAATGTGTATCCAGATGTTTTCTTCCCACATCTAGCTCAATATTATTACTAATTGATCCTCACTTGTTTTTAATATCATCATAATAAGGAGAATGTGTGATAGACAGAGATGTGGGGTTGTAATTTGTATTTAATCTCCTAGGTGCCTGGATGTAACCTGTTGCTATTTTATCACCTGCCCAATTGCTATATATCAAGCAGAATACCTGTTCTGTTCATATTACAATGTAGACCTTGTTGTTTATTTGCCTTTTTCTCAAGGTGTATTCTTTAAGTCCACTCAATGTAGGTGGTCTGCTGAAAAGGTAGCGGTGAATAAAAATGTGGTAGTTCAAATTGATGATGAAATTGCTCCTGTATCGTTGTTATGCCCTGAATAATGGCAAGAACATTTTTTTAACATGAAGGGAAATACATTGAAAAAATGGGCCAGAGTAGAAACTTTATGCTACTGTTTGTAGAACTGGGTATGAGGTCACAAAAGAATTTAGCCCGACTAAAAATTTGGTCTAATTTTGTTCATGGTAAAGCCTTACTAGTACTTAGCCCGCTTATTAATTAACATTGACAATTGTCTTTCTTGTTACATAACATGCACAGTGATTCATTTAATTAGACTTCTACTAATACTGATTTATATTTGGTCAAAGTAGACGGTGGGTGAGTGGCCTAGTTTGATTAGTGTACTCTCACATTGTGGTCAATCATCATCAGAATGTAGACATAATATCAGTTGCATGGCTTCTTAGAGGCAGAGATCAAAGCCATTTGGTAATACTTTAGCCAGAGTATCCAAAACCACACTACAAGGGTACTTTGCTGAAAATGTGCTGCTAAAGTAGTGAAAAAACAACAGCCAATATAACTTTCAGTACTCTCATTATGGGGTTTGAACAAAAGTACTACTATTCTGAGTGTTTTCCTATGGACATGGTCAGTGTGGGTTGTCCAGGGTCAAAATAAAACCAAGCAGCTTTTAACAATAATGAGCACCAGAGCACTTTGCTGCACTTTACTACAGCTAAAGTAGCTCATCTTAATATATGGGTAAAGCATGTTCTCATTGTTAAAAGTATTTCCATAGTAAGGGTTATTGTTGAAGAGTGTCTGAGAAGTTGATAACTTCAGTCAAGGGGCCTAATGTATGTATAGAAAACCACTACAGATTATGCAACTTGTAAGAATTATCGTGACTCTTTGTAGCTGTAATTAGGGTAGTTCAGTGAAAATTAGCTGCCATTTTTCACTGTAACTTGGCATTGCAGGATCTAGACACACACTGTACTGTTAATTTGGTGTTAACCTCCTAGTGACAGTCAGTTTTACTTGTCTTGATCTTTATGGCAGTGGTCCTGATATATTTATCCCAGCTTGCTTTTCATCTGGAATATTACTACTAGTAGTAATGTTATAACCAATATTCCACTTGGAAAATTGGTTTTAACATAACTAGTACACAGTTGACCAAATAATTTGTTGGATGACAAAGTGCGTTATTCGAACAGTCAATTTAAGGAAAGAAAAGGTGTGAGGCTTATCTGGATAGGAAGAAGTAATTAGCACAAGTTTATGTAAATCAGCATGATATTCTGTCAGGTGTGGACTGCTATCTGGACAGATGGTGAGGTCACTGACAGTAAGATTTAGAAAAATCCTAGATTAATTGATAAATGGGCCTTTCCATATATTTTAGACAAGATAATGAACAATTTAGAATGTTTTACGAAAATGTCACTTTGGTAGATCTGTTGATAGTTATGATTGTGAAAAAAATTGACATTGTAACTGAGAAATAAAGCTGTTTTGTTTTAGTTTATGAAATTGTTTACAGTAACATCTGCTGAGTTTGAAAAAGAGCTTCACCCATTTTGGCTCTTACCTCACTTGTTAGATTTTTACAGTGCTTGTGTACAAATAATGTTTTTTTTTTTTTTTGGGGGGGGGGGGACAATAAATGTATGCTTAGTAAATCGATAGATTTGGTCAGAAATATTTTAAGTTATTACTGTTTTCATAGTAGTGTATTATTTTATGAACCTAGAAGATATTTTAAAACAACAACTGGGACCAAGGATCTAGATTACTACAGTACCTATTGGCTCCCACATACATAACCCAATACATTATTTTACTACACACTGTGGGTATTGACAATTCCATATTTGTATACACATTATTTTCCTCAGGATGGGTGACCACAACATGTGAGTAATAACAACTGTAGTAACAATAAAGATTACGTCCTCACACAAGACAAGACTTTGAGTCATTGTTCTCAAATATTTCTCTCCAGTTGAAATGGTTCTCTCCATCACCCAGACATGTTAAAAAATTTGTGTTTGAAGTGGTATACACCCCCCCTTCACTCGCCCCCTTTACAATGATTGATGGTTTGGGAAATAATGATGGAAAAAATTTGCCAAGAAATTTACTTGAGAATCCCTGGCACATGTTAGCTGATTCCAATCACATGTGCTGTAAGTGGGGAGATTGGGTTGTGTTAGTGGCCTCCCGCACTGAGCGTGGTGAAGAAATCTGCTGGATATAATGCTAAGAATTGTGACAAAGTGTACCAGATGAAAAACACCCTGTGCAAATTGACCTGTTTGTGTAGGAGTGATTCTGGAGGTTGGTTCTGAAAAAAAGAGATAATAGAAGCCAACTGACTCAGACTGTTAAGGAAATACCGCATACATACATATGTGTGCAGAGAGATCTATTACTTGATTCATTTTCACTAAGGTTGTCCTTCATTTGTGATTTAGCCTGTTGACCATGTTCATAAGACTTAACATGCCTCAGTATTGTTGGTAAGTAGTTGTATTTCTCTGACGAAATATTCAAGGACAATGAATATGAATTATGAATATCTTAGTTGTGAGTTTGGCAGCAGATCATTTACAGTTAGTAATTGAGTATTTTATCATGAAATAGTAAATATTTTAGAATTACGGATAATTAGAGCCATTTGTATTCTTTTATATAAACAGTTCTAAGAAACCCTCCTGTGAGACTGTCGGGTGATGTCACCTTTCCTTTGTTGTTTCAAATGAGAAATTTGAATACTTCATGCAACAAGGCAGGTTCACAATTATCAGAAATATTTTCACCAAAGCAGGGATGAAGTACATTTTGCTAAATGAATAATATTCATAATATTATATAACAATAATAATATTCATAATAGTAATCATTTTATAGGTATATTATATAGATACAATCAGTGTTTATTTCTGTTTATAAAATCCCACTTATTAGATACATTTTTTGAATTTATTTAAATAAAAGTTAAAGATGAAATTGATGTCTAGTGAAAAAAGATAAAAAGAGAGTACCAAAAGTGTGACAATAGATTATGATTGGGATTCTGATGGTTTTGCCAATTAGTTAGGTATGGCAGTGTGTTAGCTGTGACCTTGTATTAAATAATAGTTGGGGGCAAAGACGGAGCTTAGTTACAAGATACATAGAATAGGTCTGACCTATTGTTACTGGTATGAAACCAAAGGAATTGCTGCAAGCTTGATTCATGGCTTTGATATGTTGCCACATTCTTTAGTTATTTATTACTCTTGTCATGAATGAAAGAAAATCGATCTTTTCTGTTCTCCAACTGCACACCATTGTCATGTCTGACGACATGTTGCATCTTGATATCGATTTTTTGGGGCTCATTTCTCAGAATGCCAGATGAAATAACCAATGAATGAAATAGTTTGAAAGAATATTGACAAGTAGCTTTACTTTTTCTTCAGGATGATGCATTAGGTGACATATGTTCAGTAGAGCACTGAGCCCAGACTTGCCAGTTTCCAGCTCGCCTGGGAGCTGAGGATAACAGGGACGGCTAAAAATTACATTGCCTTTTTTTGTTGATGTTGTTGAGGGGGAAATTTTACCTTTGCAATCCAGGCACTGAATATGCCTGGGATTCCTGGACGGTTGAGGCCTCCTTTAGGGAACAAAAGAAATACCCTGAAATAATAATCCTCATGTTAGGTTCATAGAATGGATATCTTCAGTGGTAACCCAAAAACTTGCAACTTAACATAAAGCCAAGTTAGATTTTGCAAAATTTTTAGGAGAGGTCAAAAGCATTGGCAGATAACCATAGCGACATGTGGTGCAGCAACAAATAAAGCTAACAGAATGATTCCTTTGATATTTATCTTGTTGTTTTCTCTAAAGTTCTGTCCAAATTACAGTCTGTTGCATAACAGTATGAATTCACAATGTTTTGGGACTCAGTTTAGTGTTGTTTCCCAAGATGACATCCTAGGTGAATAGAGTTTAACCCTTATTGCTTAAAAGTTCATCCCACTTCATGCAGGTTCCTAGGATATATATTATTGGGGCCTCATAAGAATGTGACAGGGATATATATATATATATATTATTATTTTTTTTTTTGCTTTGGGTAAACATAAACTGAAGATATGGGGATAAACTGTACTCCTGGGGTATTGGATTAGAAAGACTGCTGGTGTTAAATGTTTAAGCTGACATGGAGTCATTCCACAGTATCCCCCCTCCCTTGATATGGATCATAATGTGATATGACCTTAAATAGTAAAAAGGCACAAGATTTTATGAAGAGAAAGAAAAAAGGTTGATACTGCTCTGAACAGGAAATGCTGTCAGTAATGAGTCCAAAATGTGTCTGTATTTGCTTGGCCAAGGTCGTGTAGTCAGTTTTTTAAAGAAGAAAAAACTGGTATAATGATAATAAAACAAATGGAAATTGCAAACAAATAAAGAACAAATATCTTAAAGAAAAATGTAGTCACTCAAAGCATTCAGCTTGTCCTGATGTGAGTGCAATTGCATTATAATCAAATGTGTTTGGAATGAAAGGTGGCATCAGTCCATTGGTGTTATTTTAGCTCCTGTGTGTTGATTGATAGGCTGTGTAGGCAGATGATGTGATTGCATGTCATAAGAGGCACTATCTATTTACAGTAGCGATTACATACTCACACATTGCTTTTCTTTATTATTACTTCTATATTATCACGCCATTTACGCACTTCAGGCAAAGACTGATGCAATTTTCAGTGGCAAATACTGACACCATGTGGCTCAGTAACTATCAGTATGTTTCCTTAACTATTTTAATGTTTCAGTTTATTTTGGTCTAGATTTGATTACACAGAACAATAACCATGCTTCGGATAGAGTTTTAACTTTTGAGTTTTTAAGTGTCAAATGCCCATCTGAAATATATAAATTTACAAAAAAAAGATAAAAAGCAATAAAGAAAACAATAGCTCCATGCCCATTTTTGAGACCACCTCTGCTGAGTGGCTTCTTTTGGCAGCAGGCCTGATTTTTTCCCAAAGGTTTGGTCACATTTAGTTTATTTGAATGACAGTTTATCCCTAGTGCAAATAATGGAACATGTCTGTTTAGTCAAAAGTAACATACAGTTTAGACAGTGTTGTGACTTTATACCCTCTTCTTCCAAGATAAACTATTGGGAAACCATGGTTGTTATAATAGCTGGAGAATATAATAAGCATATTTATTTAGTAACTGTGGCCTCAAATTTGATTTTATCCTGGGTCAGTGCACACTAATTTTGAGGGAATTTCTATAATATGCGACATGTAGTGCACACAAGTAGTCAATAAGATGTAATAATTTGCAGTGGTTTATTTCTTAAATATCCAAAAGATTCTTTTGTCAGCTAACAACTATTAAGAAGGGAACCCATTGATACACAGTAGTACTTTAACTGTAGAGACTCTATCCCTGTATAACCAAGGAAGTCCTGTTGAGTACCAGGTAGTCTTAATGCATACCTGTGGGAGGATGCCGAGTTGATTTTTGTGCCTGATAAAGAACTAATATTTTGATATCGGAATCCAGATCTTATCTCATCTGGTGTGCAAAGTGGGAAGAAATGAGGCTTTGGCATGAGGGGAAGTCTGTGTACAGCAGAGGAGGGCTGATGTATTGGTTGGGTTATGCAATGAATTAATGAATCAGTGCCATTCTATTTCTTTCCTGTGGCTAATGAGGTGTGGTTGTCAGCCATATTGTGGAGGCTTTGGTTTATATCTGTTGAAATTTAGAAAGGTCAAGACATAACCATATTGTAAGAGGTAAGAATGGCTAATGGAAATAGGATGCAAATATAGCATGAAAAATTATTGTTTACAAAATAATAATAATAATAATAATAATAATAATAATAATAATAATAAAGTTTTTATGCTAGGCTTATTGACAGTCAACTTAACAGTGTCCTGGGTTCCAAATTATTTTATAAGATCTTGTCAATTGACTGGATGAAGTTGGCTTCATACCACCAGTATCACTCTATTATTCATCTTTATTTCAGGAAAAATTGTCTATATTTTGATACTTTGATGCAGAGTGAGTGAGGAATTATCCTAAAGTTGCTAATCTATTGAAAATCTTTTTAAATTATAGTTAAAATTGAACCAAGGCATGCCATAAAACAAATAACCTGTCAAACAAGTTCAAGGAAAATATGTGCTAAGTGAGTCTAAAAATGTAAAAGGGGAAAAAAGGTAGAAAGAAAATACAAATTGAATGAAATATTTTAATGGTTCAGTGGTTTAATTAGTGTCTGTTAGGATGACTTTATTTACTCCCTCTGCTCTATATTATAATACCCAGTGTTTTAGATTTAACCCCCAGATTAAGTTGAGGTGCAAGAAGAAATGGAAAGGACTAGTGTCCACTTACTAGTACCAGCATGTATGTATGTCTCTAGCCAGGAGATAAAAGAAAGTGTACTGAAGGGATTATGTGAGGACTTCTACTGAGACACACCTGTTGTAACAGACAGGTAAAAAAGTTTACCTTCTCTACAGGGGTTTTATTTATTCCAAAATTATCTGGAACCCATCACCACATGTTGGCAAAGAATTTACGAAGGAATCTGATCCATGTAAAAAAAAAAAAATCAATTTCAGCAATTAAATTCAGAGTATTTAACATGGTCAGAAGTAGAAATTTTTCCAGACAAGAAGGTAGAAGGTCATCAATGATATATTGTCTTATGTTTGTAGTCATATTTAAGTGAGTTCTATAGAAGATATGAGTGTCACTTTATCATCCAAAATTAAACATGTGTGATATATCTTTAATATGAAGATCTGCTGGATAAGATATATATATATATATATATATATATATATATATATATATATATATATATATATATATATGCTAAAATGTCTGGACCCAGGATGGGAAGCATGTCAAGATATGAGTTTTTGTATTTGTCTTTCGGATTATTATGGATTATTACCCTGTGGTGCCCTAGAAGTGGTTTATTATCTATTTTCTCCTTATCAGCTGTGTGACGCAATGTTCATGATAGAGTAGGAAGATGGAAAATATTAGAAATCTCAGTGGTTGTTACCAGTGGTTGTTCTAGGATGATGTTGTTTTTGAATGACTGATTTATTGTGTAGTTATTTCGGCTTTTTATTTTTATTAGAATTTAAAGAGAAAAAAAAAGAGAAAATCTAAACCATACCAGTTCTGGTAATCCTGAATAAGATATGAGGTTATTTTGATATTGGAAGTTGTTCAGCTTAAAGAGCAACGTCACAAGCTTTTCATCTCCCATCATTTTATTGAACACAGTTTGTTGAAACATGGAATTTAACAAATTGATTTTTATGGGCAGTGAATTTAGTAATACATGGAAATTATCAATTGCCATTTTGTAGTGTTAATGATTCCAAAAATTCATGAAGTTTGATAATCTTAGTTTCTAGGAAAAGGTTTTCAATGTAAAGCGTTAATTAAGCCATTAACATAACATTGTCTGTATTTTCAGATCATTGTTTGCTGAATTGAAGATGTTAGTATAACAGCATGGGATGTGCTATAGCAAAACAAGACCAGGAGTGTTCCAATATTTTCCATGTGTACAATGTGGATGAACAAGGGAACTCCGCCAATGCTGGTAGACTGGAAATAGCCAATATGGACTTAGTTCTACACCAGCGTGGAAAGGAACCAATCAGGTGGCCTGTTAGATGCTTACGTAGATATGGCTACGACCAGGATATATTCTCTTTTGAAAGTGGGCGCCGGTGCCCCACTGGCCCTGGTATATACGCCTTTAGGTGTCGCCAGGCAGAGACTTTATTCAACATGTTGCAGGAAGTGATTCAGACTGCTGGGCAAGAGAATGATACTCACACAAATCAGAACGGCAGCATTTCGCTTAGCCGACCTGTGTCGTACACAGAGCAGCAGTCTCCTCACCTTCTCTTGCCTGCCATTCCTTCACAAAATGGCACAAGTATGGCACGGCGGGACCATTTATATGTCAATGGGACAATTGCCTCCGAGTACTTGCCGCCATCACAGGTGCCCCAGAATGGCACGGTGCTGCTTGATGCCACACATGACTATGTGAATACTGCCAATGCAGCCAGGGCTTTGAGGACCCATAACGGGACAAATTCCCTGGAACACACCAAGATTCAAATCACATTTGATAATAATGACAACCCTAGTGCTATCATAAACTATGCAGTATTAGACTTGCCCAAAAGTACTGAGAATCTGACAGAAGGTGCCAACATTACATCACGGAGCTGTGTCCAGTACACAAATCTAGTTGACCCCCCTCCAATTGAAAGGGGGAGTCCCATAAGTTCACGCAAACCCAGTAGTGGATCATGTATGAGTGGGAACTCTGTGGCTGAAATGGACACCACCACAAGTAGCACTGAGAACCTTTCCTCGCCCACTGGTCAACCCAATGGTTGGGGTGCTGCCCTAGGGAATGGGGGCCCTGGGGTTGGGGTCCACAATGGGGGCACCCAGCCGACTTATATTAATGTTGGTGCTGAAGCTAAGAAAATGGAATTCCCCAATGCACAGGACCCCAAGGTACCCCCTAAACCTTCCAGTGAACAGCATAGCTATGCCAACTTGGACCTGGTGCCACAGAACTGTAGACGAGAGCCCCTCGGGATGCGCCGTGTCAACTACATACAGTTGGATCTGGAGAAGACCCCCGATGACAGGGTGAATGGTGCAGATAAGGTACCTCCCTCGCCCCTAAGCCTGCTGTCAGTTCCAGACTCCCCTAGTAGAAAAACCGAGAGTTACGCTACTATTGATTTTAACAAGACTGCAGCGTTGTCTAAAACTGCTGGGCCCTCTCCAGGCCAAGACGAGGGACAAAGGAAGACACGCCATAACAGCACTATTGCAGATTTGGAATAATAGCTCCTGCTCAAATGTGAAATGCTCAAATTTTTAACTTGGCACGTATGCGATATGGACAAAAGAAGGGAACCCTCCATGATTAAGTAAGATGATAAGTATGTGCTTAAAAAGGAGGCAGGAAACTGTTAAGTGTGATAGATAAAATCTTCTCATAATGTAGCGAATAGCTTTAACATTGAATGAAATGTAACTCTTATGTTTTCAAAATTCGGAAATTGGTGCTCTTATTGTAAGTGTGCTCTGTAATGCTCAGTAGAATTTAATATACTTGTATTCTTCCCAGTATTTTGATGTTATTAAGTTTTATCGTAGACTCTTTTGTCATACACGTTTGGATGCCCCCACCCACCCACCCACCCACCCACACTGTGGTATTTGTACATGATGTTTAAATAGGATTAAAATGTTAGTATTTATGGCAGTTTGTAATATACTAAAATCAATTATCACAGAGTTCTTTTAACACGTTATCTCTCTGCTAGAGAATATACTCATATCTTGTACATAAGCGTACATTAATCATGCTGAAAGCACATAGTATTAAAGCTACATATTGCACAGTTCTTGTCAGTATTTTGCTCAATAGGGATAATGTAAGTAATAGCAATGTGGCTAATGAATAATTTCATAATTGATAAATATGTGTATATATAGTCACTTATGTGATTAATGCTAACATTTTTTTTTTTTTTTTTTTTTTTTTGGTGAAAAGCCAATAAGTTACATTTTTAAAGCTGAATATTTTATGCTGAAGTAGCAGTAGGTTGGTGAAGAAAATTTATTGTCCATTTTTTTTTAGCCAAAGTCAATTCTTTTAGCCAATGATTGAATTTCTGTATGTTAGTGTGGGTTCATCAAGGTATTACTATTTCTGTATTATAATCAACTGTTAAAATATCCATTCATTAATATGTGAAATGTCGGTAGGGAAAATGAACTGAGTATTATGACTTATTCTATGTAACACATTCTTGGTGAGGTAATACTGTGCTTATACATGTCAGAGCAGTCTTTTGGGTTATAAATATTTTTGGCAAGGGTGCATTAATTCAGAAGAAATGCTGGCTCTTGTACATTTATGTTGGAATGCTTTAATTATGAGAAGAAATGGCTTATACAAGGATTTGTTTGTCAAACTCTTGAGTCATTTGAAAAATAGTTGGCGTTTTAATGATAGTTTTTAAATGCGTATCAATTGAAAAGTACAGTCCTTTCTTACAAAATTCAAGGTTTAGTAGTTATATATGATATGATTTTATTAAAATTCCTTTAAATTCTAAGTCGTGTCAAAGCCAGAAACATTTTGTTAGTATCTGTTACATAAACTTAGAAATGATATAATGCTTGGATTAAGTGATGCAAATGAAGTATGTGAATAATTATAGCATGTATTCAAAATGTGAATAAGGGTAATGATGAAAAGCAGAGTTTTGGCTGTCTTGAGTGAAAAAGATCTGTCATTTAGAATTATTACAGGCTTTTTATTTGTCACTAGCTGAAAATTTTGTGAGGAAGTAGTGAGTAAGGAATTAAAGCCTACCACATTAGTCATCATTTATATCAGCACTAAATATAGTAGAATTATTTCCTGTATAGAGAATACATCTCTAAAGGGGACCATTGGTAAGGTTGGTGGGGGAAAAACAGCAACAAAACATTTCTGTGGCATATTTTATACTACCATGTTATCAAAAAACTTAAAAAACCCACACTAGAAAACAAGTCTTCTTTTACGGGACTGAACCCTGGTGAAAGTTTACATTAATATTGGGCTCTATATGCAGTAGTTGAGCAGTTTAGTTTCTTAGCGATGATACAATGTGCTATGGAAATGTAGGAATTGGCTTTGAAAAAAATAAGAAAAATTGAGGACACGTGTCACCAAATATTCCTCATGGTCCCTTTAAACTCTGTGCTGTAGAAGAATTATTCCAACCCTTTCTCTCTAAAACTTCCAGAGACTAGACACTGCAGTTACCATTTGATGAGCTGTGAAGGCAGACATTTAAGTAAGAAAGATCATAGTTGTGAGGGTCAGTGATGTAAGATCACCTGTTGCACTGAAGTGACTTGAAAAGGGGTGCCTGCAGGTTAATTGCCTTGGTTGTAGTGCCCGGTTTTTATTCATTATTTGAAAAGTAAATTTTATATGAAGTTAAAGATGCATTTAATGTAAAATTTTTGCAACAGAAGCTCACCAAATGCTACAGTATAGTTTCAAATAGTATAACTTGGAGAAGTACCAAAGGATGCCATTTCATATTATCTGAAAAATATTTGATTGGATATTTTTTGCTTTCTTTTTGTGCTGTATATAACTGGCATAAGCAGGTCAATTTTTGACAAAAAATTGGAAGGTGGAGTTTTTAAGCTCTTTAATGGCTGATGTAGTGGTTTATCCCTTCACATGTAGACATAATTTAAGTCATATAAGAAACAAGTAGAAGTGGTTTAATATATGCATTATTGGGAATTTACATTTTGTTCAAATGTGTCTTTAAGATTGTTAAGACCATAAAGAACCTGCCAAAATTTCCCCTATCCTGTCTCAAGTCTGAAATATATTTTTCTGCTTCACTTGGTTCATCAGAATATGAAAATAATTTAGCTTTCCCTTATGTAATTTGATTGCATAGTAGTTGAAGCAAGAAACTGCAATAACAAAAGCATTTTAGCAGAGATGAAGTAACCTACCTAATTTTTTAAAGAAAGTCAGAAATATACAGTGTTAAAAATGTGACAAAGATATGCTTTTCAGATTTCAGTCAACAAGTTGAGAAAAGGTGACTTTTTCCCATTTACCTCATGCTGTGTAATTTTAGGGCATTTTAGTAAACTGGTTTCGTCTTCCATCAAGGAGAGGCGTGTTTCACTCACATTTTTTTTGTTTTACACAGGTTATTACTGTAACAATAGGAAAGGAATGCAACTGAAATAGTACTCTTGAGTGCTACCATTTTGTCAGCAGTGGTGTCAGGGGTTTTCACCTCCTACTTCTACTCTACTAAAGGATCATCAGGTCTTGAATTACACTGGTTATGAGTCAAATAGCAGTTTGTATTTCAAATAGCATTTGTTGAATGGTATTTTTATGGTGGCACATTTTTATTTCATTTTTATGGTGGTAAACTTAAAGTAACTGTTCATTGCCACTGCTTAATTGAATTGGTTCTTTCCTGCAGATAGTTGAATTTGATTCCCATTTTATGTTGTCAATGGTTAATAGTGTGTTCAATCTTGCCAATTTGTTGAAGAAATCCAGAAAAATGTGATATTATAAGTTATTTGGTTTTGAATTGTAATAATAGATTACCTCATTTTCAATAATTCCCGAGCATTATATTTTAGGAGAACTGGGACTTTTGTATCAATATCATTGTGCCTGCTAATTGTGCAACAAGGCAGTAGTCAGAAGGAACTGTATGAATGTGTTAGGTGTGTAACTGCAGGGTGTGATGGACAGTGTTGGCCATACTCTGGGCCGCAAGGATTAGGATAGTGAAACTTGAATTTGTGACTGTCAGAATTTATTTTTAACAATAAACCAACGTGCTAAGAATATGCTTTATGTTAATTTATGTGTAACACACGCAAAGGCATTATCATACAAAATTGTGTGATAATTATGGTGTTCTCATTCTCAATGAAACCAACGTTCTATGTAGATCAGTCCACCTTCATAGGGACTCCAACTGAATGCAATCAGTTTAACAAATTAACATGCTTCCTAATCTTTGATGTACTCATGTAATTACCAGCTTTTCTGTATCCTACTCGATGCTGGGAGGAGGCGGGTAAATCAGAGAATGGCACTGCGTTCATAGAATGATAGTTTCATTAGTAATGAGCCCAATTAAAATTGTGAACATGCTTAATAACATCTCTATTGCTGTAGGGGGCATTGCAGTATTCCCTTAAATATTTTCATGAAAAAAAAATTGCTAAGTTTTAGATGAAAAATTTGTAAGGATTTCAAATTTTCTTTTAACCCAGATTTTCCCTGTTGAATTGACAAGAAAGTGCAAGATAAGATTTCATAAATTATTTTTGCACAAAGTGGGTACAAAAACATTTTTTCAGTCTCCTGTGCTTTGCTTCTTTCTACCAATTTTGGAATCTGCGACGTACTCCTGTGCTATATGCAAAAAATTAGTTGGCATTCACCCATCCCCCAACTTTTTGTCTCTTTGAGATGGTGTTGTTTTAAATAATCACTTGTTCGTTACCTAAACAAATAACTTCAGAGTTCTAGCAGCTCATGCACTGGTCTTGAACATCCCATAAAGCTGAAATAGCCAAAAGACAAAACAACACTAGGTAAAGAATAATGTTTAATAGATCTAATGGGTTTGTATTACACATAATATCTTTTTCATCACTGCCATTTGTTCTTAGCAGATTTGAAGGCAATCAAGAATCTATCCTTATTCAAAATGTCTTGGGAATTTAAATGAATCACAAGTAACTATATTTACACAAAACATTAAAAACACTTAGTGGGAAATGATAACATACCTCTGTAATACACAAAATAGACTAAAGTATACAGATATGAATAAATTTCCTTCTAAAATTTAAGTACTCCATTTCAACGTCGGAGTCTTACATTTCCTTTTTTGGATTTTAAAGTGACTGCACTTCTACCCATCACAAGGATAATGGGTCTTAGCAGTTGTAACTAGAAAAATTCCATGGGTCCCAAACTTTTAACAAATTTTCATGAATTTCTTCAATGCTACGAAGTGCTTACCTGTTTAAAAATGATTTTTTTTCATTTGGTCAGTCTTCTAGCTGTAGACTATTTGCATGCACAAAGCTAGAAGACATTTCCAGGATAAATAATTCAACTATGAAGTCTAAACTAAAATGTATGGTGGGGATGAGTCAGTGACAATGTCTACTAAAAGAAGATTTAAAAGATTTATGAAAATAGAAAGACTGCATTTATATGTTATAACAATTATCATAATCATGGTGTATACCACATAGATAATTCATTCCAGTTTGTATCAGTTACACTTGCCTGTCTTACCAGTCTGCTCTGCTGTCTTTCTTTCCTAAATATAAATCTTTTTTTCACAATTATTGTGTACATCTATGTACAATTTTAAAATAAGGATTTGCACGTTTTCAAACATAAAGGTATAGACAAATAAATAATTAAATAAACACACTATGAAGTGCTCTTGACAATTCTATTATTTAAACGAAAACACTTAAAGTATTCCTCTACATAAAACTTTGCAACTTATTAAAAATCCCAAAAAGGTGTGTCTGCTTAAACTTGGGACACCTTGACAATTTTGATATTTCCTCATGTACAGTTTGCAAAGTTTTGTAAAATAAACTTAAGTGCAAGTATAAAGACAGCACCTACTGTCACACAATAACTGTACTACCTAACACTTAGTAAAAGACTTAGGTGAACAATTACCATGTAAATAGCTGCCCAGGGTTCTACACAATGTTACATTTGATACTGGAGAGATTTCAGTATGCGCTAAGATGATACACTCTCTCTTGATAACATAATTAATTCTTACCACATTTGATATGACACTTTTGATTTTAAAATCAGAGTATTTCATTTTACTTTCATATCATGGCGCAACAATAACTAATACAACTCAAAGTCATCTACTTTAGTATGCTTAATTCTAAGCTGTAGTTACTGTAGCCATAGGGGGGTCTCCCATGATGCTAAAGTGAAAAAGCCATCAATATCCTGACTCACAAGCAAACCCCTACAAGGCTTCAGTACTGCATCTACTGTAGTTCTTGATTTGATTCCCTTTGCAGCAAAAAAAAAAATAAATAAATAAATAAAAATAAATAAATAAATAAATAAATAAATAAATAAAAATAAATAAAAAATAAGAAAAATAAATAAAACAAGAATCTTGTTAGTCTTTTCTTTATAATACACTTTCCTCCCTTAACCTCTCTCTTTTAACTCTGAATCTTCGTCATGCTCCATCACCCTTTGTCTCGCTATCTGCCCTGCTCTGCCTCACTCTTTACCCTTCGCAGAGTCACTATCCATCCTCCTCTGTGCTTGTTCCTGCAGTATGGTGCTGATGTTGGATCATTTTCTCCTTGGACAACATAGCAGCTTTAGAGGGATGGTGGTGAGATGTGCGATATGCTGGAACTGAAAAAAAATTATACGATAGCAATTTGAAATAATATTTTCAAGTCCATTTGGTTGTTTTTCCAAAAATACATTATGAAATTCAACATACTTACGTATCTTTATATATATATCAGTGTTAAGTATTCCTGATGGTCTCCCCACCTCCACATGCGCCGTCACTGCAGGGGCCTAGCAATTAACCCTCGGAGCAGAGATTTAATCCGTTTAAAGGAGCGTGTGGAGTCAGGGAGACAATCAGGAATCAGCGGAGGCGCTTTTGAACTGTGGTCCCTCTATTTAGTCAGCGGATCAGTAAGTACTCGAATCATCCATTCTGAATGGGGCTTAAGATGGTTACATCTTGTGATGTATGATAGATTCAACTTTTTGCAAAAAATTGGAAAGCATTCTTGGTCCAGATAATTTTAATGTGTATCTAAATTAAATGTTTACAAAATCCAAGTAGCAAAGCTATCTCCCTGGTTATTTATAACTGGGGCTGTTTTTAATATTTCAACATTACACATAAGTCATTGGCTAAAAACTACTATAATTTTTCAAAAAAAAAAAAAGGATGACACTAAGATTTTTTCTCATATATTTATCACTGCTTAAACCTAAATGTTAGTCCCAGTGGTCATCATCATGTGAATGCAAGTGTGGAAACTGAAAATAATATTATCAGTTAAACATCGAATTTAAAACATAAGAGAAAAAAAAAAGAATAAATCTAAACCATACCAGTTCTGGAAATCCTGAAGAAGATATGTTGGTAGACCTGTTTCATTCTCTCCATGTTTATGTGACTGACCTCAGCATGGTTAACCATAGGAAGAGGGTAGTCCTTACCAATGATGCACTTGGCCATCTTCTGGACATGTTCTGGGGCATTCCATGGGTCATAAATATACTTAGCAGGAAAGCCCTTCAGTGCTGGGATGTATTTCCTGTGAATAAAGGTGTTTTATAATCGGAAGAGAAACTTCAATGGTACATTTTTGCTTTGTTCAATAATTGGAATAATGTGGCAAGAGAGAGTCACCTGAAATGTTATCAGAATGGTACAGCGCGAGGAGGTTTGATTAGTATTATAACAGCACAGGAACCCATTTAGCCATAAAACAATTATTGAAGGTGGGGCTTGATCAGGCCCACAGAACACCCATGTGTGCATGGGGGTTCCTAAAAAGTCCAAGGCTACATATAAAGAAAGTAAGAATACTCTTACCTATAAAAACTGCTAAAACGGGGAATAAACTGGTGGATATATGTCGATCTTGGGGATTCGAATCTATTGAGATGTCCTCCTCCTTTTGAGAATCAGCTGTGCTGGGAGAAAGTGCTTGTGCCACGCGACTGAATACCTACCCATGATTGGAGGAGTTCTTCACACTGGNAATACCGACAAAGCCCAAATTTTACGTGGAACGAGTTGAGATTATAGGTAACCTAAATCCAAGAGATGGGTATGGAGGCCCTTACCGTCTAGGAGGAGAAGCGGTAACTTGTAGGTGGAGCCGGCGGAACGATCTGGACGGGACTAAAACCATGTGTACCGCCAGCGCTAACGCTGGTGGTACAATTACCCCCTTACAGCTTTTAGTAGGTGGGACAGACGCTTAAGCTGGCTAAGCTGACAGTAATCTAGTGAGACTCCCCACAGGGATAGATCGATCTAAAATCTATGGGAATGGGGTCTAAGATTTTTTTCTCATACATTTATCACTGACTAAATGTTAGTCCCAATGGTCATTATCATGTGATTGCGAGTGTGTAAACTGAAATTAACATTATCAGTTAAACATTGAATTTAAAACATAAGAGAAAAAAAAAGAGAATAAATCTAAACCATACCAGTTCTGGAAATCCTGAAGAAGATATGTTGGTAGACCTGTTTCATTCTCTCCATGTTTATATGACTGACCTCAGCATGGTTAACCATAGGAAGAGGGTAGTCCTTACCAATGATGCACTTGGCCATCTTTTGGACATGTTCTGGGGCATTCCATGGGTCATAAATATACTTAGCAGGAAAGCCCTTCAGTGCTGGGATGTATTTCCTGTGAATAAAGGTGTTTTATAATCGGAAGAGAAACTTCAATGGTACACTTTTGCATTGTTCAATAACTGAAAAAATGTGGCAAGAGAGAGTCACCTGAAATGTCATCAGAATGGTAGAGCGCCAGGAGTTTTGACTAGTATTATAACAGCACAGGAACCCATTTAGCCATAAAACAATTATTGAAGGTGGGGCTTGATCAGGCCCACAGAACACCCATGTGTGCATGGGGGTTCCTAAAAAGTCCAAGGCTACATATAAAGAAAGTAAGAATACTCTTACCTATAAAAACTGCTAAAACGGGGAATAAACTGGTGGATATATGTCGATCTTGGGGATTCGAATCTATTGAGATGTCCTCCTCCTTTTGAGAATCAGCTGTGCTGGGAGAAAGTGCTTGTGCCACGCGACTGAATACCTACCCATGATTGGAGGAGTTCTTCACACGGGCAGGATTATGATAATCAGATGACTCCCTCACGCAGGGTCTTTGTCTTATAAACCCAATTATTGCTTGGGCGATAATTGATCTTATATCAGCTAAATAAAACAAGGTGTGCTGGCAAATAAAATTGGACATTAAACAAAATAATGAAAATTGTTTTTCACATCCCCAGATATTTACAGAACAGTTAGGTGAAAACAAAAACACTGATAAAAGCAAGAAAACTGTGCACTTTGACATAAAAACAGCACAAACTCAGTACCTGACAAAATCTCCATTAGGGTCTGCCATCTTTCCAAACCCTACAGGACAGTAGCACTGAAAGAACTGTTGGAAAAATGAACTGCAGGAAAGCCACATCCACATGCCAGCATTCATACTCCAGTCTGTATCCAACAGAAACTCATCAAACACCTGGGACAAAGGAAACAGCAATCAGACAGGTCTCTCATTGCACACCATGACTTCAACACAATGCATCCAACTGTAATCTATTGCACAGCCATATGGATCAATTATAGATGTAATGCACTACAACTGATATAATACGCTTGCATGTACTTGCATAACTACCACATCAGTATCAAAAATTTGCCAAAAGGCAGATGAAATTTATAAATCCCATAAAAAAATCCCACAAGAAGTTACTTTCATATAAACCCTTATTCAACGGATATTAGCTATGCAAGTTCAAGATAGACAAACCTTCATGCCTTCCTCCCAAGAGATCCACAGATTACCGCGTGTAAGAAAGCAGGCCACAGCATGGCGGGCTAAGTGATGAATCCAACCTTCTTGCCGCAGCTGGATCATTATAGCATCTATCCATGGAAAACCAGTTTTACCCTTAAATAAAAAAGTGAAAAAAAAAAGTAAATTCTGTAGATTAATTATGTGTGTGCTACAGCTGTGTACAAGTCTAGCATCTTTCCAACAGAGACCATGCCTTACAAATTTGCTTGATAATTTCTTTACCCAAAGAAAGGATTCCCAAATCACCAATAATGTCGCTACTTGCATATGAGAGCTAAAAATATAATTATAGTAACATTATAATCATGGAACATAAGGCAAAAGAAACTAGTGTGATACCAGAATACTCAGTTCAATGGGAGCACATGAGCATCACATCTTTTTCTGGGTCCTTTAGGAATCCAGAAAGAGAAAATTACTGAGAAGGAAAGGGAGGAAGAAAGTTACCTCAGCCCATTTAGCTAGTGCTATAGCATTTCTATCCCATGGTATTTGTATGCACACAGGATTGCCCACCATTCTATCAAACTTTGGATTATTTGTGGCAACCACATAGAAGAACTCCCTCCACAGCAGCTGTCCAAAAAGTGAAACTGGTGGGTCACTTCTTTTCTTTACCTGTTAAATATATAATAAAAGTCTGCTAAAGATGACAAATGTACAGCCCAGAATGCACGAAGACTGAAAAGGTAAGCCTCTTTCGGTTTTTACACTTAGAAATTATTATTATCATTAAGTAAACTTTAGTAATTTCAATAAATCATTTTTGACATACCCAAGCATTGTTCAAAACAAAATTCAAAATGTTATTTGTGCAGAAATTGTAATGTAACAACATAAAGACAGTCTGACACTACAGGAAAGAAAATTACCGTTGGTTGTGTTGGATGCTGTACATAACTTAACAATTAGTAATACTATCTTACCCGTCTGTATAACTCTGTCAACTTCCAGTGGAACAGTCTCACTGATAAGCATCCAAATCTGAGGTATGGACTGACACCTGTCTGGTTGCTCATCAAGGACTGGGGGGTCATCTTGGGCTTCTCGAAGCTGGCCACCCAGGCCTGGGGAGAATGGAACATAGTTGAAATATAATATAACTAGGGTCATATTTCATTTTCATTGTCAACTCTATTTCTTTAACATGATAGATAAAGGCGTTGCAGTACCAGTGCTTTTCCTATGTGTACTTCCAAACACATAGTTCATCTTGTAAAATAATTTCTGTCATATTTTATCTTTACTTCACATAACACTATTGATTAATATGGAAAAAGTTGACATCAGGAACAACTTATACTAATTCAAATGTTTTATTTATTTGGGTTCAATAGAATCAACTTCTCACCCTTCCCATAATGTGAAATGTTTATTTGGATTCAGTAGAATCAACTGCTCACCTTTCTCTCCAAGTGTCTGACAAGGCGTGCCAAACCTTCCTGTTCTCCTCCCTTCCATTCTGCAGGTGCTAAGCCCTCTGTATCAAAGCCTAAAGTGAAAAATAGGCATCACTGTACAGTAGCACCTAATTAAGTGGATGTAAACATATCTAAATATCCAAAAGCCCAAATAAAACATTCACTTCCATAAAAAACATGTCCTTGATAAAATTCTACAACTTCAAAAAAAAAAAAAAAAAAATTTTGAGTTGGTTAGTGTTACTTCATAGTTATTTGAGGCCAGAGAGAACACTTCCTGTGACAATGTGCTGTGACAACGCCTATGCCAAGTAGTGTTAGCTGTGACACTACACTTAACATGAAAAAACACAAAAACTGAAAATTGAAAGTNATTTCATTTTCATTGTCAACTCTATTTTTTTAACATGATAGATAAAGGCGTTGCAGTACCAGTGCTTTTCCTATGTGTACTTCCAAACACATAGTTCATCATGTAAAAGAATTTCTGTCATATTTTATCTTTACTTCACATAACACTATTGATTAATATGGAAAAAGATGACATCAGGAACAACTTATACTAATTCAAATGTTTTATTTATTTGGGTTCAATAGAATCAACTTCTCACCCTTCCCATAATGTGAAATGTTTATTTGGATTCAGTAGAATCAACTGCTCACCTTTCTCTCCAAGTGTCTGACAAGGCGTGCCAAACCTTCCTGTTCTCCTCCCTTCCATTCTGCAGGTGCTAAGCCCTCTGTATCAAAGCCTAAAGTGAAAAATAGGCATCACTGTACAGTAGCACCTAATTAAGTGGATGTAAACATATCTAAATATCCAAAAGCCCAAATAAAACATTCACTTCCATAAAAAACATGTCCTTGATAAAATTCTACAACTTCAAAAAAAAAATTTTTTTGAGTTGGTTAGTGTTACTTCATAGTTATTTGAGGCCAGAGAGAACACTTCCTGTGACAATGTGCTGTGACAACGCCTATGCCAAGTAGTGTTAGCTGTGACACTACACTTAACATGAAAGAACACAAAAACTGAAAATTGAAAGTGCAAAAACCATAATAATTAGGTATCAGCTATTGTACTGTGACAGCCCTTAATTGCTAAAATCCTTTAAGCCTTCTGGCCCTTTGGGGACAAACAAGTCTAGGAATATAATGTCCCAAAGCAAAAATCGTATCCAAAAATTAAACAAATTGACAAAATTTGACTGGTTCTGATTAGATTCCAAATGGCAACTGGCACAGGGCCAAAGCTAATATTTGCAGACATCTATGGCTGATCTTACCTAGCTCATCTAGAGTGGGCACTCCATATTTCTCATCATGGTCCTCTGAGACCACCGGCAGTGTCCCACGCACCATGTCCGGCGTGATGGGGTCCAGTGCCTTGGGTGGGGGCTCCATGCCAGCAAATATGGTCTGGAACCTTTTGTATGTGAGTGGTGGTGTCCCCCCATTGAGGTCTATTATTCTGTTGGAAAAAAATGTATTGTGTCACATGTTATTGGGAATAACACCCTGTGCTACCATCCTGTTTTTAATGAAAAATAAAAGCAAATAAAATTAACACCCTATGCTTACATCCAATAAAAAGGAACAGCCCATACTAACATCCTATTTGAAAATGATAAATAAAACTCAATGCAAAAAACTTCCTGTAACTGGTACAGGGCTTCAGGCTCATTTTAGTTCAAAGTCACATCCAGAAAATGCCAATGAGTTAAAAAATAAAAATTCACAAAAACTGCATAAATTAATCGTAAAAGAATCCATGCATCACGATTACACTGACTGCCACTTAGTGAGAATCCCTGCTGAGATAGATCAATCCTCCTAGAACAATTGCAATTTCTATTCTAGACACAGCATAAGTCACACAGTTATCCATTTATTGTGTTTACAGTGAAAAATACATGATGATGACAGCGTCACCAACCCCATTTTATGTACAGACAATTAAAGCATGAAAGCATTTGTCTATTTAACTCTTTATTTGCCCTTACCTTTTAGGATCATGCAATGTATGCGAGATTCTGCTGATGACAGACACTCCAGCACTTTGTGCTAAACTGATAATAGTAGCATCTCTCTCTTTGCCATATGGCTCAGGGTCCGTCTCAAAAGACAAATGAGTGGTTTTCCATTCCTAGAATGTAACATATCAAAAATATCATTTCACAGTTTGCTTCATTTTTGCATGATTCAATAAACTAAACTTAACAAAAAGAAACTACTAGTATTTTTCAATGTGTAAAAATTAAAATTAAGATAGCTACAGCTAGGGCACTGTCAACCACAAGTAAACAAAATATATGAAGACATTACTAGTATATGCACAGTATATGCCCACAGATAACATTTCCATAGTGTGTACATAAAAATTGGCTGATCAAGGCCCATTTTCTTACATGGTCTAGAGAGAAAGAAAAACTGAAGTAAAATAGTAAAACGTTCCCCACTCTTTCTCAATCAGCCATCACTGATTGCTTACCTGTTGTCACTACTTCAATTAGTCCAATTTTCTTGAGTTAACACTCCTGTTAACACTAAACAGTTTCTGATATGTGCAATATATATGTTGAATTAGGTATGAAATATGAAACACCTTGCTACACTTTAATTGTTCTAGACTTAAAACAGTAATAAACCTATAACTTCAGTAAGATTTTCAGTGAAGTAATAATTATGTAGAAAATAATGTGTGCTATTATTGTTACCTTGAACAATTTTGGAAATACATCTGCTGGCTGCCCACGCACCACAAACAGTCTGGAATTCAACTTTCTCAGACTTGCATCTACATCTTCTAAACACTGTAAGAGGAATCTGGAAACAAGTAAATAGGGCACAATTATGTCAAGGTTATGCTTTCTCATCTGGTTAAAAGACAAGGGCAAGGAAATATTGATCTCATCTATTTAGTTCATCTCGCGTGGGCAGTGTTTTTATCAGTTTGCCATCTATTCAAACTGCACAATTTAAGATATTTGACAGCAAAACATTAAAGGTTTCTACAGACAGTGACATGGTGGACAGCTTTATCACACTTTCTAATCTTTTAAGGAATAGCAGACAAATAAAAGAATTCTCAAAATTAAAATGTATGGTCTTTGACAGTACTGGAGGCAGTTTTCACCTAGATGTCAACTGTATAGATTTTCCCATTGATTCAAAAAACCATAATCTAACTTTTTAGATATTTATTACAATCTCATACTATGCTAAACCACTGTGCATTACCAAAAACTTCATTTTTTTTTGTAATATTAAGTGTAGTCAAACTGTGTAAACGATGCAAGTTTGACATACTTAAGGTATACAGTGGTAATTAATGTGAAACCTTTATTTCAATTAAAAAAATTTTCCTTCTCCTTGAAATTGAATCTTATCTTCACTTTTAAGAACATAACAAATTTGGTCATTGTACATGTATGCAGTCTACTTCATGCAAGTTCACTGACATGTAATTGTATAACACGCGTGATGAGACACATGTGAGTTTTTATATAACTACCATGATACCTAAAGTGCCTTTGTATGAGTCTACATAAGAGTATGTCTACTGCAATCCATGAGACAGGTGTCAGATATAGGGCATATCTTCTCTTCACATTGCATATATGTAAGTCAAAGAACTCACATGTACATGAGTACACATCTTATGTAAGCATTTTTTTATGTTAATTTTTGACACACTTTCATTTCATTTTTTCTGAGAAAAGAATTTAACAATATAATAACAATAATAATCATAATAATAATTCTTTTTAAATATAATAATAGTATATAAAAAATATTTTAAGGAGGCCTTCCCCATGCAGAGAGATGTCTACCATCATTTGGATGGCCATTTTTTTTAAATGGCCAATATTTTGATGACCTCTGGACAGCTGGGCTTCCAATATGTTATCTGATATCAATATGTTGTCAGGAAATGGCTTGATTTGTCAAGATGGGTGATCGGCCTAGACATACCCAGGGTGATGTTTTCAGATTAATTGATAAAAAGTAAAATGTCAGAAATCAAAAAGACAATGTTTTTCCAAGCCATGCAGTACTTTCCAAGGCACTTTCAAAACAAGCAGTAACAGAGTAATATCCACAGCAGGACACAGTCCCCACAAATGCCCAGAAACCAGATGAAACAGGTATATGCTGTCAATTAATTTTCTGTGGCGTGCTTGATGTCATGCGTAGCTTGGATACGTACATGAGGCATTCCCAAGTCAAGAAGCCCATATAGTGATGACAGACAAGTAACAAGAAAAGGAGCGAAGACAACAGGGAAATTTGACACTTGTATTTTTTCCTGCCAACCTTCTACACACACACACACACACACACACACACACACACACACACACACACATTTATGGCATAACACACTTTTTCAATACATCTGATAAAAAAACCAAACCTCAATGAAACAAAAAAGGTGCTATCCAACTACTGTGAGTTAAAATAATTATCTTTGTTCAATAGCCCTTCTTTATTCAAAAGTCTTAGTTATCAAGGATAATATGACAATATCATACTCTATCACCATAAAAAATTACACATGCCCAGTTTATGCCAAATTCTTTTCAACCTACAGGCCACTCGAGCCACCAGGGTCTGGTGTAAGGCATGGTAAAATGTGTAAGGCATGGTGAGCTGTGTAATTATCACCTAGGAAGGTGTTGAAATTACCTGTCTTACCTATTTAATGGTTACATAGCATTAGAAGGTGTTAATAAAAGAGGAAAAACCATAGTTATGGCTCTCCTTAGTGAACAACTAAAGTAACAACTGGTGCCTAATGAGGTACCAAATCAGTTACCTAACGAACAGTCTGGGTCCCGTATCTCGAAAGAATCGCGCAAGCGTCTCAATTCCATAACTTCCCTACTCGTCCCATATAATACACTGTAGCCTCTATTTGATATAGCGATTCGCAATACGTAATGCTTTCGAGATATGGGGCCCTGGTTTACCTGTATACACGATAGTACAGCAATGCAGGAAATCTTTGAATTTTATTTGCTCAAATATCTAAGATAACCCTCAAATGAGACAATTCAAAAATGTAGAGAATTGACAGTACATGTACAAATGATAGAAAAAGACATGATATGGCCACAGCTTGCATTAGACTTGTACCTTTCCACAAACTAGATAAAGATATAAGCATGGCCGCTTGCTACTTTGATTTTATAACAAATATAATATACCACTTTCACATATCTCCACTGCCAAAAGCATTTTAAAGAACTCTGCAAGTATACTTCATCATCCCTAAAGAAACTGCAACCATGGCTCGGATGCTTGTACAGCCCACCATATTTAAATTGAGAAATAAAATATCTAATTGCTTGATTCACCGTTCAACTAACTCTGTCTCTTTGCCTGTGGTTGACGCATTTCTGTGCTTTAGCCACCTTTTTAGTTCTGGCACTGTGCACGCTTGCAATCAATTTGTAAATTCCGTGCATGGCATACGCACAATCAAACCGTATATCCAAATTCCACCTCTGATGTTTATTTCGGTCCTCTGCACAATCCAATTCAGGAAATGACGTAACCGCAGAGGTCGTATTGTCCAATGGCATGGCTTCTTTTTCGTAATTGGAGGTTAGAGAGGACCGAAATAAACATCAGAGGTGGAATTTGGATATACGGTTTGATTTTGCGTATGCCATGCACGGAATTTACAAACGAGCGACAGGATGATGTAGCCTGCAGTATTCGCGGTAAGCGTGCCAAGTTTTAGGCCGCTCGGCGCCCGGCAGTATTTTATTTCGATTATTATGTTTAAGTTGGTTGAGTTTTGTTTCACAAGCTCACTCTATTTTATTGTCTCTATGGAGGTATATGGAGACTTAACGACATTCGGTTTGAAGGCTTTAACCACTTGTTATAGTTTATTTTTGCATTGTATTGGATTAATGTGGCAGTCTAAGGTTGTCCTAGGTGGTTTTTAAGTTTATGCACCCGGTTTTAATATCATTTAGCGATTTTACGACAATCGTTTACTATCCAATCAAGGTGAGCTTGCAATAGCTCTTTTATACAAGCAACAGGTATGTCACCCTCACATACCAACACCTTGCTGTAACATTGAGGACTCTAATGATCCTTGTAGCGCACTTTTCTTGTAATGCGCAATTTCCATTTCGGTGAAAGATGAAAAAAGCCTATACCAATCCTCAGTGAAACTAATTAACTGACCGATTTTCAGAAATTTCACTGGCCTGGTCTGATTTTTACTGCCACTGGGATTGGGAACAGAGGTTAACATTACAGACTATATGCCATATTTACTATAGCAATCTATCCTGAGTATCAATTTTTATAAAGCAGCATAAACAAGAATGTAAATTATTTTACTGCAACTAAATAGTAAAACTTCTAACAGATGTTCAATACATCAACCACTTCTTGTTGAACTTATCATAGGACAAAGTTTTGATCTTATTCTAACAGATAAAAAGTGGAATTACAGGGGTAGTTAAACCATTGATTAAACAAATGGGTTTAGGACCAGATTGTTACAGGGTTATGGCGAGTGTCAGGAGATCAAAGATTGGTTAATCAGAAGAAATAATGTTCACTCCAGGATATTTTGTCAAGTATGAATTTAATCTGGGAAAATCTTACACTGTGTACCTTTAATTTTTTATGCGACCCCTTTTAAGACAAAGTGGGGCAGTACTAGAGGCAAATAATCCACAATGAAAATTACCCCCAAATCATACATGATGTGAAATACACAGGAACTACTACATACGACATAATCAAAATAAACTGTGAGGTATAATGCTTATCGATTTACATAATCATAAATTATCACAAAGAACATGCTTACCGCCATTTATTGATTCCGACTTGTGTAGAGCCAGCAAACCATGGATCTAAAATATACACACATCTGAAAGTCACAGCTCCCTCGAGAGCTTCCACTAATGCTGGGTTGTCGTGCAGACGCAATCCTTTGCGAAACCAGTGAATCACATTTTTCTGCGTACTTGTCATTCTTCGAACCGTTCTCTCGATTTAGATTGCATTTTCTTCTCGAAATAAATATGATAAATGAGGAGATTAATGCAGGTCTACCTCAAATAAAATGTCCCCAGGACAGTTAATATCCCGTATGATAACACTAAGCAGTTTGATACCCGGTATATAGACAAGAATCACAAATCAATTCGGTCTGTTTTGACGTTGCTCATGTAGATTTGGCTCACGTTTTCACGATGTGGTTTATCGTGCAGGGAGAATTTCACAGCTGTACTAAAGTTCCCAAGGCAATCAAGTAATTTTACAGTAAAAATAATGATAATTTATTAATTCATTTCGTTTAATATAATATTTTGTTTAAATTATATTGTACAATATGTTGATGTGTTGAATTTGATTTTGATATTGACTTAATAAAAAGAAGTAATTTCAACATAAATGAATGATCCCTATATTTCAAATTTGCATATGTATTTTTTTATATTTTGTGCATTAAACTGGAGTAAATGCACTATTATAGACATAATTTTAATGTTAAAGCAATAATAAGCTTATTTTATAAGTTAATTTAGTGATTTGAAAAAATATTTTTCTTGTATTTGAGAGTATATGTCTTCGCCGAACAAGGTGAAGGTTCTTGCTAGAAACGTGTCATCCGGGTACTTTTTATAGCATACAGGCGGTGGACATGTTTGTTGTGAGCAGAGGAACATTCATGCAGTTGATTTTTTGAGGGTGTTATTTTGCAATATTGGTCTTTTTACAATAAAATTGTGTTTGTTGTTTGCTTCTATTTCTTATTTTCTGTAGCGTTGAGAGAAATAATCTTATAAGAAAATGAGCCAGCGGTCTGCAAGGGTAAGTAATGAATTTTGCTAGTTTTTTTTGTGAGTTCACTGGAAATTTTCTGTTTGACTTGTTTGTATATTACCCAATTTGATGTAATTTGTTGTTATTATTCAATGTAATCGATCGAAATATACTTCTAATCTAAGAGGTTAGTGTTGCATAGTTGCGTGATCTGCAAATAAGTGTTGCTGTTACATTTGCTGATACTGTGTGTGCCTTCTGGATTTCTACTACCTTTGTGAAGATATAATACGGCGGTCTTTAACGTTCAGTTTTATTAACTTTAATTTATGTATGCAATATCCATATACAATAAACTGTGGACATAAATTTGAGCAGTGAAAAAGGCGAAGACTGAAAGGAAGTAAAACGACCTTTAAAAACGTGTTACAAACCATTTCAGTACAGACATCTATACCCTGTGAAGGATACAAGAATAGCAGGCCTTCTGTTTTAGTTTTCAGTTTCAATTTTCTGTAACCATAAGTAATGGATAAAGACATTTACAGAATCCTCAGATTGTATTTTTTTGTGTGTTATTTTTTAATTATTTGAAAATATCTTAGGCCATTTAGAATTCATCCTTTTATTTTTACTTAGTATTTATGTTACTTTTGTCTAATGCTAGATATGCTGTCATGTGAAATTAATTTTTGTTTAAACCTTCAGCACTCCAGTTTAGGATGGTAATATTGTTTCAGAGGTCTCCATATTGTGAACATACTAGATTCTGTTTTGTATACCTAGAAATTGAGAAATTTTCTGGTGAAAGGGTAAGAATTATCTTAGGGTAAGGTGTAATATAAAGTTACGCAAGATACAGTATTGCTGATTTTTGTTTTGGGAAATGTTATCTTTTGTGTGCTATACTTTTCAGGAATCTGGATATATTCCAGATAAGATTAAAAAAGCTGAAATGCGGATAGAGGAAGATCAGTTTGATATGGAAGCGTGGAGTGTTCTTATAAGAGATGCTCAGGTATTTACTTGGGAAAGATAAATTGATACATTAGCCTTAAAAATTTTTGCCCTAAAATTATTTTTGGCTTGAAGCATTTCTGTAATGTTAGATGTAAAAGTAATAAAGCCATGTTCAGTCAGAATCCGTAAAAACAAAATTGGGCAAATGTCTTTGTTCCACTCAAGTTTGAAAGTGTTATTTCTTTTAATATTGTGTATTATACGTAAAAAATGTCAAGATTGTGCTGTGCTTAACTTTGTGCAAAAAAAAAAAAAAAATTGTTTTTGAGTTTATTTGACTGAAATGATGGATTGATAATAATGAAAAGCAACATCCCAAATTCAAAAGTTCATTTAATTCAATAGTTGCACTAATCTTGCCAAAATCTTGTATGCAATGCTTTTGATTGTTTAATTTCTCCCAAGATTGCTACTTTTATATATTTAAATATTCTCGGCTTGTATGAAAACACAGTAAAAAAGAAGTTACTACAATTCTATTAAATTTTCTGTCTGACTTTTTAGCACAAAAAGATAGAAGATGCTCGGCAGCTGTTTGAAAGACTTGTCGCTCAGTTTCCTAATGCAGGCCGTTATTGGAAGCTCTACATAGAACAAGAGGTGCTACTTTTTGTCAACAGTAATGTCAACTGCAAAAAAAGCTTAAAAGTATAGAAAGTATATTAGGTACTACTGTCGGAAGTTTTGTTGATTTGACACTGCAAATTGATACGAGTTTTGGCATAATAGTTTTAAGTACACGGTGAACAATTTTTCACTTGAATTGGACATTCAACCTGCTGAATACTTCAAACTTTAAAGCTTTTGTTTGCAAATTTCCTTAGTGTATCTATTCCTTAAGATTGGTTAAGAATATAGATTAGATCTTTTTTTAGATGTAAATTGTTCTTGATTTATTACATAAAGATACAAAGTTGCTTGGTGTCTTGCCTTTTTATTGGAGAGAGTCTCTTAGCTCAGTCTTCTTAACTGTTAATTATATGGGTTTGTATTTACTGAATACAGGAAATATAAAGTGAAAGGGAGTGCCTCTGAAAAAGATTAAGTTATTTTCAATTTATAATCAAGTTATGAAAATTTCAGTCCTCTTATGGTAATATTAATTTTTGCTTGTTCTTTTTCGATTAAAGAAACATTTGTATCCTTCAAAACATATGATATGGAGTAAGATATAGAGCAAGTATTTACATTTCAATAAAATATACCAGATATATGATATATTATAAAATAAACATACAAAATATATGAGACATATGAAATATAACAAATTGTAAATGCTAAATGAGGCATAAAATGCATTAAAAATCATAGCTGACCATGGAGAAAATATGCAATTAAAATGGATTTTGAACGTAATTTTGTCGTTGGATTNAAATATACCAGATATATGATATATTATAAAATAGACATATGAAATATATGAGACATGAAATATAACAAATTGTAAATGCTAAATGAGGCATAAAATGCATTAAAAATCATAGCTGACCATGGAGAAAATATGCAATTAAAATGGATTTTGAACGTAATTTTGTCGTTGGATTTGAGATTCAAATCCTTATAACCGGGATTTTCAAATGTAATTGCATAAATTGTTAAATTTTTATTGATACGGTATCATAAAATAAGCATAAAGGATAATAATGTAATCTCTTGATTCGTCATTTTAAAGAGTTGTTCATTTCTCGTTATGTTCTATACCTATGGTTTATAAACCAGATTTTTCCCAAAGATGGGATTTCTCATATTGCATAGTAACTTAAAAAGTTGCGTATAAAAGTGTCCCAGTAATGTATGTAAACCACTTCTACTAGTTTTTACACAACTCGGATAAAGTGGACATACCAAGGGATGAACAAAATTAAAAGCTAGAAAAAGCGCTTTAAAACTGCACCTTTTTGAAATTTTTGCTCATAAATCGACCTTTTTATGTGACCTAGTTATCTGTCCCCATTATTTTCAGCACAAAGTTAGCAGCAAATAATATTCAAATATCATTTTTAAGGGTAAAACATTGTCCTGTAGTATTTTTTTTTTTAATTTTATTTATTTATTTATTTTTTTTTTTTTTGTAAGTTATACAAGTTGACACTAGGGTGGCATTTGGTCGGCCTATGTTGCAAAAAAAGAAAAAAAAATGTCTTCATATGTATCTTTAATCTTCAAAAAAAAATCTTCAAAGCTGGCTAATTTTTGTGAGTGAACTGGGTCTCTTTAAATAGATGATCATTTTAATCTGCATGTCTCTTAGCAAATTGATAACATGGTGACAATTAAAATGTGGGTTCAGTTTTTGTGCAGACCATTTCAAAAAGTGTTCTCAGAAAAATTGTGAATATAGATGGTTTAGTTTTCAACAGTTTTGAATGATTTATGGACATTTTGTGGCAAGCCTCTGGAAAATGCATGTGATTTTGATCAAGGTATCTTCATTATTTGCCATCAGTAACAGTTGGTAAAAATCGGTACCCTTCAGCCGTAAGTTGATGAAATTACAAATGCACCAGATTTAAAATTGCAAGAAGACTGTTGGCTCCACGTTCAGAGAACATTGTGTATTGGTTATCCACAGTGGTATCTATTTATCACCTCTTTGAAGCATTTTAGTGAGAATGAAGGCCCATAACTGACCTCCCTGGAGATTTCTTGTCTAGAATTGCTAAGTCCAACCTAAAGGATTTTTCAAAACAAAGTATGATGGCACTCGATAACAATTTTGAATTATGTATTATGGGACAACTAAACTGTCACCATTTCAAAAGCTAATAAATTAATTGCAGACAAAAGCCACCTTTTTTTTAAAGAAGTGATTCATTGTGAAATTGTTTTCATATTTAAGAAGCTCTGGATTGCTTAAATTTTCTTTAAAAATTTTCAGTGTGTCATATTAATTTTTTTTAAAGTAATACTGATGTTTTATGGGATGACACAGTTTGAATGTAAGTAACTTTGTTGAAATAATGTTTTTCAGTATTTATGGAATATTATGTGCATTATAAGCACTAATAATAGCTGGTAAAAAAATTTTAACTATAATAAGTTGTACACATGATTTAGAGATAATTTTTAAAAATGTCAGATTGCTGATGGGCTTCAGACTTGCCCTGGAGATAGTTTCTAATTCCTATTTACCAGTGGTACCTTAATAGACATATGCATCTTGTACACAAAGTGCCATATCAGTTCAAAAATTTGAAAAATGACAATCATTTGCCGTAATTTTACATTAACCATGAATTGCATTCTAGTACTGTTGCATTTTGGAATGCTATTATTATTAACCAACTATGAATGCCGTCTTTTCTTAAAAGCACCAAAACAAAACTAACGTTTTTGCCAGTTGTGAGGTTTTAAAAATTTGTTGCGTGAATTTTCATGGTATGACATGCCCTAAATTGAAGATACACAGTGCAAGTTTTCCTTGCAATAAAGCTTAATAAAAATTCTGCTGTAAAACGGTATTTTTCTCTGAGTAACCAATCTTTGATCTCCCTTTCCTGACTGTGGCAGCAGCTCTATGACAATGTAGGAAAATTAAAATGCCCTTAACTCCTACTTGGTGTGGGTTATTGAAGTGCTACCCAACTCCCCCTTCTGGGTTGTGCTTAATTCAAAATTGTGTCAAGATTATTGAGAGGTGGTGAGGTTAGTGAGAAGATGATAAATTTGATTATCTAACATTTAGACTGCTTTCCCATATAGCCATCGTACCAGCTGGATCATTCTATCTATGCAGGGCTTTTTGCTTTAGTTCCTTCAGTGTAATCAGCTTCATTGTCTGGCACCCTTTTGAGTAACTAGGGGGTCATTGACTATTGTTAATTATCCCTTTGCAGCTTAAGTAAGCGTGCCAGCTCCATTTTTTATGGATAAGTTTAAAAAAAAGGATAACGTGTGTTTAAAATCTTACACTGTGTCCCTATATTTTAAAAAGATGTATGTAAATATGTCAAATAAGCTGTTTTATTTGTGTATAATGTTTACTACTGCAACGCAGCCTTTTGAGTATGCTATTCATTTTTGTGTCTACTGATCTGTAACATTTTTAAATGACAAAACAATGAACACTTGAAGATATAAAGATATAATTATTGAGGTATGGAGCCATGGCTTAATGAGTTTTTTCCTGTGATTTTAACTGTGCTGTTGTGAAATGTCAAAACTTGTCAAAAACAAATCAAAACGATATTCAATCATTTATGTAATCATACCATATATATATATATATATATATTAAATATCTATCTAACATTTTACGGAATAACATTTTTACATTTTGAGCAAAAAGTATGCTTTTTCTGAGATGCTTTTTTTGATGAGATTTTTTTTGATCCTGCACTCATCGGCACCGGTGGCTTGGTTTATGCCCCGCCTTTATTGCCAAGGGTAAACTCGGTGGGTGGACCTTCGCAGCATTAGTGCGATTCGCGAAACATTATAACTGGAATGTGTCATACTTCCTTTGTCATAAACAGTGATAAATAGCCTTGCCTATTGTTCCCCTTAAGCTGTTTTGATAGTCGCTCTTGTTTGTGATCAGCGCTAAGGAGAATCTTTTCCGACACATTGGATTTGCTCAAAATACGCGTTTTCCGTTGAATTGCTTGTTGTTATACATTTTCTTTTGATTTTTTCTTGGTAACATTTTGAGATACAAAAAAAAAACAAAACATTCCACTGCTTGCTACTTGTGACAGCAACTGTCATACTATTGATCAATCTTTGACTACAGCTATGCAGTCATCAGATTTTATAGATCTATGCAACTTGGGCTAATTGGCCTAGCATTGAGGCGCAAATGTTAATCAAATCTTTAACATAACAACTTATGATTACTTGGGTCTATGATGGTGACCTTAGCCTCTAGTCATGTCTCTAGCAATAATCATCGGAAAATCAACTATGATAATATATATAACCATTCCACCTGGCACGCAGTCAATTTAAGTATTAGGAATATTGACATCAAGCTCTAGTCTTTCTAACTTGCCATACTAATTTTGACTTATGTGCAGTTATCAGGTTAGGCATCATTAAAAGGTAACGATCTGATAATATCTCCCAGTTCCAACTGACGTCCAGTCCATTCAAGTGTGTCATATAAATAACAGCACATGTGATTACAACTCATAAGTTTGATGTCAGTAAGGATAACGTGCTGTCGATATGGGTAAAAGGAATAAAAGTAAAAACTACATTTCCTCAAGAACGTAATGTAGACAAGACCGCCTGCAATGATGCTATTGTGTGCACATCCTTGAGCGCATCCCTAACATTTGCCCCAACATCCATTGGCTTGGCCACTGATTGGTTGAGTCGTTAGGGGTTACTACCCTGAGTGTCAGAGCAACGTAAAAGCTAGCTTGCTAAATATACCTTGTGGTGGAGTCGCTGGTATTGCTGCTATGGGTTATATATGAAATCAAGATCGAGCTGGCAATACCGGAATCTAGAACCTAGGTTAGGGGTTACTTGATTGCCTGTCAATTATTCTGACTGTGCTAGCAGTAGCCCCTTGAAGTTACTAACAGGAAGTGAGATTGATACAAAAATAAGATTTTCTGACATCCAAAGGCACGCAAACAAGCTAATTTCAATGG